ATTATACACTCTATCTCTGCCATATCCCCATAGGTAGGGACATTTTGGACTACATGTGCAGGTTGGTCTTCAGCGCAATAGTGGCCACCGGGAATGTTCTTTAAAGTGCTGTAACACGGTGACTATCAATCAGATGGTCATGAAATATGGTAGGCTGGTAGGAAATTGAGTGATGTACAAATGTGCAAAGTCATTTCTTAGAATAATAAAGATATTAGGTAAAATGGTGTAAGGGTTTCCAGTTTTTTTGACCACCCTGTATGATAAATGGACTGTGGCTGCTAAAAAGAAAAAAGAATAAATCAAAATGCATGGGCAAAACATAAATTATCTTTATAAAGAGGAGCAAAAGGGCCCAAACTCTAAACATTATGCCCCCTGGGTAAATTCTATTGTATTTTCCAATGACCAGTGCGCATGTATCATATAAAATTGACCAATTACATTTGAGATGTGCAGAAAATATGCGCAGAGAACCGAATCATAGAATCAAATCATTTGTAGATTGCCCTGAGTGCAGACTTGAGTCAATGTCTCTTTCAAAACTCACTTCCACATAATTATAGGCTACCAGGTACGGTGGCTTTTTTGAAAAGTCATTCTCCGATCCATATATTCTTGTAAAAGCTTATATTTCTTGTGCCAATCTGCCTGTTTCCCAATCCTAGTATATTTATTAGGAAGTATGTTTCGGAAGAAACATTGACTCAAGTACATCTTTCCAGCCAAGTTTGTTGACTAGAGCCTCTACTCAACATTTTAAATCAGAATTTCACTATCAAAAAATAACTCATTTTGAAATTGGTGGCCATATTTGTGTGTTGTTTTACGATTGCTTTAACTGAAAAAGTAGTCGAAGGATTTCGTAATGCCATTTCTTTCTCATATTCAATTCATAATTCATGATAATTTATATTTTTAGGCCAGGCAGCATTGAAGTGCTACCAATGCAACTCTTACTATGACAAGGGCTGTGCTGATTTCTTTGACAATAGTACCTATCCACTGAAACCATGCCCAGATAATACAACTATGTGTAGGAAAATTATACAAGAAAGTAAGTACTTTGTTGGCCGTCTAAATGGTTCATTTCCTATTGGCATATGAATAATTGTCAATGATATAGGGACGTATAATGATTTTAATTCAGAAGAATGAACTATAAAGGATTCCCAACACTTAATTAAGGGTGGATTTTTCCTTTATGTCTTCTTATTAACAATTGTTGAATCATCTGTAGCCTTATATATAGATGACGCTTTCCTAACCAAGCTCAGACTATTGGTAACGACATGACATAAGCTTCATTTTAGAAACAAAATTATGCAGATCTATCATTAGGTTTGCATAAAAAATGAGTAACGTACATGTATGTCTTCAGACACAGAAGTTCTGTGTTAAAACTTTTATCAATTTTTTTAAAATTCTATTTATTTATTTTTTCAGCATTCTACGATGGTATCTGGGATATTCGGTATATTCGTCAGTGTGCTTTGTTTGGAGAAGTAGGTCCAGAGGAGGGTCGTTGGTGTGAGGAGAGAACAGGGACTTATAGAACCAAGGTTAAATTCTGCCATTGTGCTAACAAAGATGGCTGTAACAGTGCCACTAGTATACATCTAAACATTGCAACTATAAGCGTCATGTTACTTCCATTCCTAGCCTACTTATTCCAACATAGGAATAAACTCTTATGAACTAACTGGATGTGTGGATAGTGGACATGTAAATAGCTGGGGAACTTCAAATTGTCGAATTCATAGTGAGATTTTAGATGCTGAATTCATCAGTGATGCTTTAATCTTAATATTGAAAATGTGATTTTATTACTTAACATTCCAAACAGGACAAATTCAGGACTTTGAAAATGAATTAGAAAATTTGAGTTGGGTTTTAGTGGCAACATTCCATACAAACAAATGTAATCGTTTAATTTTGTCAGAAAGAGAAGTTTGGAAAAAAATATTCTGACAACTCAGCTGAACAATATGAAAAGACCTCATGTATAGAGCATCTACATAAATGGAGGATTCAATACAGGAGTGAGAAACCGAATACTGGTGCTGTTGACATTCGACATAAGATGGACAGTATGATGTGTTTCAATTTCTCATATTTGCTTGACAATAATTCAAAGTTGAAACTTCAGGGATTTGATGTGTTGTTCAATGATGCATGTAGAGTTTCATGACATGTATTTCAACATGTTGTCTTCTACATTCCTTGTTTGCATTGTATTATTTCTCATACCTTTGTCCATGGTTTGTGTATTGCTCCATGATGCTAGTCTAGCTACAAGTCCCTGTGACCCCCCACTACTTAACCACACTCCTTCACACCCGATGGACTATGTAGTTAGAGGGGGGGGGGGTGGTCAGAAGGGCTTGTAGCTCGACTACATAATGCTTGCATTGTTCCAGGAAGCCTTCATTATTTCATACGCATGCAACATGCAAGTCTATTCTGAATGAACCTTTCCATTTCACCATGCCTGGTCCATTTCTACATGATGTATGCATTGTTTTAACTAAGGTACAAATGTATGTCCAGAATGTTGAAGGGTTCATGTGTAAATCAAATTCCCAAAACTTTTCTTGAAAAAGTATTATTTTTTTAAGCAAAAATGGTATCCACCATTTCATACAGATCATTTTGTAAATTTGTACACATCCATTATGGCATCATTTTTATGAAAATGACTGTATATACTGTAATCTATTCTTATTATTACAAATCGTGTTCATATAATTCTGATTTTAGATAATAAGCGTTCATATAATAATGTCCAAATACGAAAGTTTAGTCCATAGTTTAGTACACATTTGTATATACAGTATACTAGTTATTCACTGGGAGAGATTAGACAAAGAGGATATCATAAATGAAAGAATTGATCAAAGTGATGCAACCAGTAAATAACAGATTTATCCCATGATCTGTACAAAGTTGGGTGAATAACATTCATCATCCAGATTTACTTGTTATTACATAGTTTTATTCACCTTATATTGTAGTAATCATGAGATAAATACATGTAAACTAGAGTATTTAGCTTTTATAAAATGCAGTATAAATAACATTTTGTACTTTTATGCCATAAACATTGTCATTTTTTACCAAATTGGATGTGGATATGTAAATAGTCTGAAAAATAACTTATGATGCAAACTACTTTTTGTTCAAAAAGATACAAGAGCTTGTGAGATGTTCGTAAAATTTGATCTTAGTCCAGATTACAGGTCTAAGATTGTTCTCTAAGCTAAAAATTTGAATGTTTAAAATTATGCGCTATGCATTTTTTTGTCTTCTCAGCATATGAAAAATAATGAACCTGTATAAGTCTAAACACCCAGTTGAAATACTCTATATAAGTGGTGAATTCCAAGAAGTGAGGAGTCAAAAGCAATTCCTATTGTATGACAACTTATTTCATTGTTCAGATCAACAACACAAGATAATTATCATCACAAAAGTATATACCATAATTTTGATCGTCATTTTTATGCAGATGTATCATTCTCTAAGTGTTTACTAATAGTTGATTGTACTTTGAACTGCCTGAACTGATAAGATAGATCATATAAGGTTTGGTGGTTTTAGCATTGCTCTAATATCACCAGCAAATGTAAAGTATGTACCCGTTTATCAAATAGATAGAACTTTGACAATATTTTGTTCAGTTAACTGCCTGAGCTAAGTTTGTAATTTTAAAAGTTATCATAATTTTAGTCTGAATAGCCAAGATGTTTTTAAATGTGAAAAATTATTGAATTATAAATTTTTAAAGTGAGCATTTGTAATTTAGAACATTCCATATGCTATTAATTGCAGTGTATGTGTATATAAGTTCATATAATGTATTTCTTATAATAATTCTAACTACTAAGAGCGTTGTTATCCACTCACCATTTTTATTTAACAATTTTATCTACATGTGCTTTGTTTGAGACACTTAGGCTGTCAAAAATATTTTATTTGATCTTAACTGGTTGTGCATCATTATATAAAAAGTGCATTTATTGTATTTAGATTTTAATGTAAATAGATTTTATTGTATATTTTTACATAATCATGAATCTTGTAAATTTAAAAGTAAACTTGGATATATTGTAAAGAAATATTTTTAAATCAGGAAAGGTGATTTTAGCAATAAAACAATTTTTTACATAAATCTAGGACTCTTGTTTTCTTTATCCATGCATTCGATTGAGAGTTTGAGACAGCAAAATTCAATTAAAATTTGAAATATCAACATACTAACTCAACCAACTTTCTCCAGGTAATTTACTGAAGATACAAAAAGAAAAACCGGTGGAACAAATATCTGGGAAAATTAGTGATGACAGTTTTTTTGAGTGATTATATTCCACATATGATTTTTTGATATCTGAGCCTGTGGAGTAGAAGAGGTTTATGTACTTGATTGTTTTGTAACCAGTCATTGTACCCCCCCCCTCTTATACAACTTGAGATCGGGTGAACCTGTTTTAGAGAGCACAATGATTTTTATTTTTTGAAATTCCTTGGGCATAGGGCATCATAATTCAATATCACAGATTTTAGATAGTGATATAATATCTTCAAGATCGATGTGAAATAACAAAATACATCTAAAACCACAAAAAGTAACTAAGATTTTTATCTTAAAACAATCAAGATTTATGAAATATCAATTGATTTCCAGAGATTTGAAGAAAAAAATCCTGGACAAAATTGCATATTTTTTATTTAACAGTTCTGAGTTTATTTCATGATCACAGTGATGATGGTCTTTTGATTATTAGTGATGGCACTGATGATTTAGTGAATGTCCCGTTTTTTTTAATGAATTTGGATTTCAACAACTGTGTATGATCATATATCTCATGTTCAGATAGTGATTAGTGTTGTCATGTGAAATTGTTTTTCAAACATGTTTGAGTGAAAAGAATGCAGCATTTCACCCTAGGAGGCCTCAATATAAAATGACGCATGCGCAAATACAAATTCCTGCGTGAGTAATTTGGGTCAATCGAAAAGTTTATTAATACAGGTGTGTAGGGGGTATCACTTTATTTACGTTTACGTTTTTACTTTATATAAGCAAATGTTGATATTACATACATTTTTATTCTTTGAACAAATATTATAACATAGTTTGGCCTATGAAATATTTAATTTTTACGTTATGTCATAAGATATATTTACTATTCTGATTTTATTATAGATGCTGTCACCCTCCCAGGTGTTGAAGTGGAATGGTCCACCGCCATTTTGATGAAGAAACGGATCAAAATTTGAAGAAAGTTTTTAAGTTTAAATATGAAGCCCGAAATAGGGTTTCTATTAGTATTCGCAGTGTTCATAACACTGTTGAAGAAAGGTGAGTCATTTTTGATTCGATCGAAGAACTAGGCCTAAGAAAAACACCTGTAATTAGACCAGGTGATCAAAATTCTTCTAAATCATTTCCGGAAATTTGTTTTGATATTTTGATTATAAGTGAATTACGATTTATAGGCATGCTTGCCTGTTAATCGATCATTGCAAGGACCTCATTGTCCTTAGATTGTTGCATAAAAAGTTAAAAAGTCAAGTTTCCCCAACTACCTATGTACATAGCCATAATCAATGTTGTGGTCTAATTTCATTGGATGATCCATCCAGTGTTTGTCTAGCCTGTTTTTGAAAGTGTTGGTATTATCAGCCCTAATTACGAATTCAGGGAGTGCATTCCATTGTCTTATCACTCGCTGGCTGAAGGTGTTTTGTCTATTTGTCGTTGAGCAGTGGAATTTTCTGAGCATCTGTGTGTTTGCTCTTCTTAGTGTTGGTCCTGTGTTACTCGAGTCTCTAGCTTACAGCTAGACGAAACTTCATTGATTTCGTATGTACTGTGCTACACGCACCTACACGCACCTAGAACTCATTTTTAATAAATTTTATAAATATTTTTAAGAATATTAATCATATTTAGGATGAAGCGTTGCTTGTCTGGATTTAGATATTTCAAAATTTCATTTCGGAGTTTTGACACATGGTGAAATTTTCTCGCTGTAGCTAAAAATGGCTTCCGGTTCTGGACGTGAATAACATTTGAAATTATTCTCGCTTAAAGAAATCAAATATAACAATAGATTCAGACGGGGATGTGAGCTGATGTTCTTCAAATCTAAACATAAAGGTATATTTCATATTATTATGCCATATTTACTGTGCGTGTGACACAATGATTTACAATATTTATAATACTAAGGCAGCTCAATCTTCCTCCTCAAAGCCGGAATATAGAGAAGGCTTTGGACCGAAGTAAGTCCTGTGTTTCTATTCTGTTGGATTGGGAATATGTCTAGGCTATTCACATCATATAAGTTGTTCATATACTTGAAAGTTTCTATTATGTCGCCTCTAAGTCTCCTATAGGCTAGGGTTGTTAGATCTAAAGTTCTGAGCCTTTCTGAATACGATAGTTCTCTCAGGGATGGGATAATACGTGTAGCTCTTCTTTGCACATTTTCAATAAGTTCTATGTTTTTCTTGGTGAATGGATTCCAGACTGAGTTTGCAAATTCTAATTTTGGTCTTATAAGTCCATTGAAGAGAAGTTTAAAAGATTCAAGGTCCCAGTATATGTATGTCCTCTTGATCATCCCTACAGCTTGGTTGGCTTTGTTCACTATTTTACTGATGTGTTGGTTAAAATTCAGGTTAGAGTCTATAAAGACCCCCAAGTCTCTTTCACAGGTAGAGTTGTTTAGGGGGATTTCTTCTCCTGTGTTTATGTCTTTCATATTGTATCTCATGGCCTTGTTGGTTCTGCCTATGTGTAAAACTGAACATTTTTGTGCATTGAACTTTAGGTTCCACTTTTTGGCCCAGTCCTGGATTGAGTCAAGGTCGTGTTGGAGCATATTTCTATCTGCTGGATTCTTCACTATCCTGTATAGTTTTGTGTCGTCGGCAAATAGAGTGATATTGCTATGTTTTATTGTGTCTGGCATGTCGTTTACGTAGAGGACATAGAGAAGCGGCCCGAGCACACTTCCCTGAGCTATACCAGAGCCTACGTGGGTCCACGGGGCTGCTTTACTATTCAGAACTACCCTCTGTTGTCTTTCTGTTACGAAGGAGGACATCCACTTAAGAGCTTTGCCTCTTAGTCCTAATGTTTTAAGCTTGGAGAGCAGGCGCTGATTGGGGATTGCGTCTACAGCGCCCCCTGTATCGATGATCTTAGACCAGTTCTCAAGCATGGCTAGTAGATTAGTTGAGCAGGATCTATTGGGAAGGAATCCATGTTGTGTAGTTGTTAGTAGCTTGTTGCTCTGTAGATGTTGGAGTAGTTGTGGGCGTATTATGCTCTCGAGAATTTTGCATACCGTGCTGGTAAGGCTAACTGGGCGGTAGTTTGTAGGGGAGGATCTGGTGCCTTTCTTGAATATGGGTGTGATATTGGCTCTTCTCCAGTCCATAGGCAAGTAACCTTCGTCGACTGACTTGGTGAAGAGGAGGTAGATGGGTTGGGTTAATACATCAGCTAATTCCTTCAGGATTCGTCCGCTTATGTTATCAGGCCCTGGTGATTTGTTGGTTTTAGTTGTTTCTAGATGTAGTTTTACATCTTCTTCTGACACTGTCCATTCATCTATGTAGGATCCAATATATATGAAGTCCATTGATGGTATGTTCTCTACGTCCTCGTTGGTAAATACTCCAGAGAAAAAATCATTTAGTATATTAGCCTTCTGCTCATCTGAATCTGTCTTAGTGCCATCACCTTTATCTAAGTCTGGTATTCCATTCCTTGATTTTGTCTGATGATTTGCATATTTCCAGAAGAGCTTTGGGTTAGATTTGGCAGCTTTGGCTATCTTCTTCTCATACTTCCGTATTGATTTCCTTATTTCAGATTTTGCTTGTTTGCTTGCTTTTTTGTATGTCATTTTGTCATGCTCTGTTAGTGTTCCATATTTGGATTTACGTTTCATTTTATTGAAGGCTCTTCTTTTTGTTCTAATTGATTTAAGACAGTCACTGTTCATCCAGGGTGATTTTCTTTTGTTTGGGATAATTGTAGGTATGTTTTTTTCAGATGTTCCTTCTAATTTATTTTTGAAGATGTTCCAGCATTCCTCTGTGTTTTTCTCTTGGAAGAGAAGTTTCCAGTCTATATCGAGATCTTCTTTCATTGCTGTAAAGTTGGCTTTGTCTATGAGCTGTATTGGTTTGGTGGGTGGAATGTATTTTGCCCCGCAGTTCATCTCAGTATGCAATGATCACTCTTTCCAATAGGAGAGGCTGTTTTGTTGTTGTATATTGTGTCTTCTTCGTTTGTGATTATAAGGTCGAGTAGGCTTGGTACTTGTCCATCTCTGATGACTGATATAACTTCATCTGAAGGGAGCTATTTACATATGTTCTATGTAGTTTGAGTGTTTTCTTCTCTCCAAGTGATTTTGGATAATATTCACGTATAATCACTTTCAGCCTTTAGATAGAAACAAATAGCTCATCTTGGAGGGAACTGAATTTTAGGTTCAGCTGGAAAGTTACATTTTGATTACTTCCTGTTACTAAATACCACCTAGGTGTCCCCTTAGGCACCTGGATTTCTAATTCCATTTTAAACCACGTACATATTTTAAACATAGTATTATTTCCTTTGTCATATTGACTTGACATTGAATAGGCTTGAAATAATAATTTGTAGTCGAGAATATAGCAAAGAAGATTCGAAAATAAAATGTAAAAAGTTTTATTGTTATAAAATGGACACCTGGAATGTTGCTCATATGTATGGTTACTTATTTGTAGTAATAAAACACCATTAATGCTAATGCTAAAGTGTGCATTTATATTTGAAATATATATATTGTTCATACTTGTTGCTAAAATAGTGAATTTATAGCATTTTATAGTGAGCAAATGAAATATTATTCTTACAAATGACTTTTTCGACATCGATCAAAATTAAATTAAAAATATCATAAACAAACAGAAATATTTACACAAGTTCCGCGAAGATACTTTATTATGTACCATATTAACACTTAAAAATGTTATCTTGAAATAAAGTAGTAAAATATGCCAGTAAGGCATTTCAATGGGGACACCTAGGTGTGGGGCACCTAGGTGGTATTTAGCACAACCCCTGCAAAAGCTATGTGGATTTTGATACTATAGCTTTCCCACGGCGTACTTGGGCAGCTCAATAATAGTGACCTTTAAAATATGACTAAAGATTTCAGCGGCTTACTTTTGGTCTCTAACTTTGTCTTACATCAGTATCATTAATCCGTGCAAGTATTGGAGCGCTGAAATACTTCTTTTTCGTTCAAGAGTGAATGTTTTTTCAACCCATTTCCAATATGGCGGTTTGCTAGAAGCGAGATACGCAACGAACGAAATGAATTTTGACAACCTCCTGAGATTCACGGAAATGTCCGTAATTTGGCAGTAAAAACATTCACTCGACTAACAATTGCAAGTCTTGGTCAAAAAGGAAGTAATTGAGCGCTCCAATACTTGCACAGAAGGATGATAATGATGTATAACATAGTTAGAGAACAAAAGTAGGCCGCTGATCGACTCGATTCAATTTCAAAGGTCATTATTAATCAGCTGTCCACTTCCCCGTTTGAGAGCCATAAGTTTCAAAATCTAACATGGCTCTCGAAGTGAGTAAACATTTTGGTAAAAATTGCTATACCTGCACATGCTGTATGCTGTTTCTTCATTATAATCTTATAATAAGGTATTTTTGGCAAGAAAGACTAAATAAATGAATATTTCCCATGAATATTTGTTTGCTGTCCATAGATTAATGACATCATCAACAAATGTTGCGCACCCAAGAACACATAAAATTCACCGCAAATTTTTGAAAATTGAAAAGTGTCCAATTCAAATGAGAATTCTCTGTTGTATTCAGGGTCATAGGCTGACTGGTTTTGCCTGGCCACTGGTTCAGGAATTGTCCTAAAAATGGCAGACAAGCTTGCTCAGCAGCTTTAATGCCGACTCTTCAAATGTTGAGGTGATTTTGGAGCCCGATAACTCCCCAAGGAGGATTGACTCCCAGAATGCAACATGACATGCAGTGTTCGCGCTAGCCATTTAAATTTCTGAGTCCCAGGGACGCAACACATTTGGAAAATGTGAGTCCCGTCTAATATTTTTTGCGTCCCTCATATTTTGTTATTAATATTAAAGTGAAAGTAAAGTGGGCGATAATAGAGTGCTTCCGCTAAAACCGGATAAAATGACATGTATTGTAATTATATGCATTCTCCCGATAAATATCTATCATTTGGTCCTTTTCACACAATTCTTTACTAATGCTATACCAAAATTCTTCGAAATGAATGAAAGAAATATTCAAATTAAGAGTTGTTTTCACATTTTACCAACCAGCGATCTTCAAGGTCGTGTCAAGGTCGTGAACTTTTTGTTTCTTTTTATAACATTTCTCCTTTCTCTGACGACTTTTAGATGAAAAACGTTGATCTATCATTAAATAATTATATTGATGTATAACATTAGATCGATATCTAACGGTTCCTAGTGGAAGTAATTAAGGTTATCGTGAAAAACAAGTCTCAAATCTCAATTTTGAAACTAATGTTTGCGTACAACAGATTATCCAGCTTCGGTATACTCCGGAATGACTCGGAGGGCACCATAGCCAATCAAATGCTGCGTTTCAGACTAGAAACCCCGCGAATATACTGAGACACTTCGTAGCCAATCAGATTTGCAGACATAAACATTATCGAGATCAAGGAAGTAGACGATCTGAAAATTCTTCAGAAAATCATGTTTTATCACTTCTACGCTGCAGTAAAAGTTACCTGATGGTGGTGTAGAATCTTTGCGTCCCAAGGACGTAAGTTATTTCTGATTTTTCCGTCCAACCTCTTGAAATTTCCGTAAAAACGAGAAAAAAACGGCGTCAACGCGAACACTGACATGTGCCAGCTTTCAAAATGCAGTATCTTGCAAAGGCAAGGTAGAGAAATGTAATAATTATCACAATGCTTTGATATTAAAAATTTGCTTTATCTTTCAGGCAATGCTATAAGGTGCTACCAATGTGACAGCAATGAAGATTCGTCATGTCCATCACATCGCCCATTTGATACAACAGTCAATGCATTAACAGACTGTAGTAGTTTTGAAGCCAAAACACCAGGAACATTCTGCATGAAAATAGTTCAGGAAAGCCCAGGGTGTAAGTTTATATTGCTTGATTTGATATTGTTAATCAAAGAAAAAAGTCCCTTGTGGTTCAATAAACAAAAGTACATTTATTGTGTTTCGGTGCTATAATATAGAGCTATATAGATATTGATCTTGCATTAAATTTCAATTGTATTAAAACTTGCCTCCCAATTGTAATTTTTTGATTTAATTTAATAGGTACGATTGAAAAAAATAAGATAAAAATGATGCTTGGCAAGTCTGTAGGGGTTGCATCCACAAATAATTTACATTACTCAGAATGCGTATAATAAGCCATGTTATTTCTTATTTTCAGGGGGAGGTTGGATTAAGATAACAAGACGATGTGGTTCAAGGGCTGATCAGGGTAAGTTTGAGAACATGTTCATGTTGTTTTAGATGTTTGATGATTCATTTTATTCTTAATGTGTGAAAACATACATCCTGAAGCTTAGAGCCATTAGTGATTGCTACTCCCTAACTAAGACAATTTCAGTTTTGATCTTAATGACCCTAAAAGAATCTTTCTTGGCCTCTGAAGTGATTGAATAAATACTACTGGCCAGTTTGTGCTTATGATATGTATGCAAGGATACAAATGACTGCAATTTTGATCTAGTAGCTGGATTTGGATCAGCCTTATCAGATCAGATAATGTTAGATCAAAGAGGATGAAACTCTCTTTTAAAGCATTGAAATCAAACTACTATATTGAAAAGTGTACGAAACATGTATTTACCTTGTTTATGAATAAAGCTTAAATCACATTATTAATTAGTATTGCATTCATTTCAGGTGTTGCATGGGGATGCAGGTGGTTCTGGGAGGAGAATGGCGTGTGGAAGGAAGTATGTTATTGTGACAATTATGATGGATGTAATAGTTCTTCGACAATATCTAAAAACATTTTCTTAATGGCTGCTGGCTCAGTTGCTGTATGGTTGCTGAGAAGTCTATAGGGTCAATTTGGACTGTAAATCTTGAAAATAGCCAATTTAGGACCCACTTTGTATACCTATCTATGCCTTAAAGGTAGACTTGCTTAAAGGCCAAGTGACCCCCCACCCCCTCGCCTCATCTTAAAAAGGTGTAGTAAATAGTGGGGGATCCTTGATCCAAACTTGGCTTGATGCAAGACTTTTAAAAAGATTTCACAATATATAACTTTTCATCATCAACATTCCAGTATTGGTATCATCGAGAATCAAGCATGCTATAGCAGACTGAAATTTCTTAATTTGCAGAGAATAATGTTTTTATTAACAATTTTGACCATTCACAGACGCCATGGTTTGGGGAGATCTTGTCTAGATTTCTTGTCTAAATGGTTCAAAATATTACCAACTTACCTCTGCACTTAATAGGTTTTTCTGATTTTTTATAAGGTCTTACCAATTTCTCTTCCTGTAAATAATACATTATACAATATGAATCATTATCATGTATATTTTTGTTTTGAGATTTTAGTGTAAACATTGTAAAGTTAACATCATTCCAAATTTAAAAATGATTATAACCCAACTTGTATATTAGCCATTGTAATTTCTTGAATCATGCAATGTACATTCCAAAATCATATTTTTATAGCTCTGTAAAATATTTTATATATAAGTATAAAATGTACCCTTAGAATAGAGCTTATTAGATACATAGTACTGGAGAAGTACTAGAATATAGACAAACAACATAAGCTGTATCAAACGTTTAAAATTAATTTCATTGGATTTAATGGCAAATATATTTATTTTCACGATAATGATGAGTTACTGTTGATTGGGTAAGAAATAGAAATTGTTTGTACATATGTTTTTTAACCTCAAAATTTGATAAATAAATCTTTTTTATTAAAAAAATATTTATTTTGTTTTGTTTTTAGCAGCACACACCTATTCATTTTTATGTCACCACCGACGAGTGGTGACATACTGTCTCTAACTTTTTTACCGTACCTAATAAAGGTACGATATTGTCGTCAACTTGACCGGCGGGCGGGTGGCGTCTCACTTTTCAGCTTGTCTACAGCTTTCCAGCCAAACCATTTGACAGATTCATCTGAAATTTTCAGGAATGTTTCTACGTATCAAAGTTAAGAACTGATTAGTTTTTGGGCATTCTGGGTAAATTTTAAGGTGGCCATTTTGGATTTTCCGTCCTAAAATCTTCACTTTCAAGATTTGTCTACAGGTTTCCAGCCAAACCATTTGACGGATTCATCTGGAATTTTCAGGAATGTTTCTACGTATCAAAGTTAAGAACTTATTAGTTTTTGGGCATTCTGGGTAAATTTTAAGGTGGCCATTTTGGATTTTCCGTCCTAAAATCTTCACTTTCAAGACTTGTCTACAGGTTTCCAGCCAAACCATTTGACGGATTCATCTGAAATTTTCAGGAATGTTTCTACGTATCAAAGTTAAGAACTGATTAGTTTTTGGGCATTCTGGGTAAATTTAAAGGTGGCCATTTTGGATTTTCGGTCCTAAAATCTTCACTTTCAAGACTTGTCTACAGGCTAGGTTTCCAGCCAAACCATTTGACGGATTCATCTGAAATTTTCAGGAATGTTTCTAGGGGGGGGGTGTATAGAGATATTGTATATCGTATAAGAGGCTGAAAATTTATTGTATATTGTATAAGAGGGTGCAAAATTTATCGTATATGGTATAAGAGGTGTAAAAAATATGGTATATGGTATTTTAGAAAATATGGTATATGGTATCTAGAATTAAAGAAGGCTAATTATGAAGAAATTGTACCCTAAAGTTCCCCCATTGTGCCAACTCTCTTACTGTAACCGTGTTGGAAAAACATGGAAAAGTAGTCTCTATAATTGTTTTCAAATTCCAGGTCAATCGATACTGTGAGTTTAGAGAAAATCCCTCTCAAACTAAGAGTTTTGTGCCCTTTTCATTCAAATTTTCACAGGAGGTGTTAAATACAATCTCAAATAAGAATCACGCCCGGTGATCAGAAGAAATGAACGGAGGGGGGAGTAGATCTAGCTGATTTTCGGTAGAAAATTCAACAAATCTTGAAGATTTATTTTTTCAAGAGAAAGTTTACAATTGAATGGCTAAATGAATAGACGCAGTGGACGGGGGAATATGTTAGGTCTTTTTGGATTTTTTTTAACTGTGGAGTTCTAAAATAAAAGATCTATTAAAAAAGTGCAGCGTCGCCAACATGCAAATGCCAATGTTTTTGCTATAAATCAACCAACAGGGGTCTCCACGACCTGTAATAAATACTTGTAAGTGAAGTAATTATCACAAAACTATTGGGTTTTGTAAAACATGTTACCATACGTTATATAAAAAGTAATCGAAAATCATTAAAATTGAATGGAGGGGGGGAGTAATTTGTCTATAAGACATATGAAAACTTCCAATAAATCGATCCATATGTCCCCATTTTTCACTTTTCAGAGTTGTAACATCAAGTTACTGAGTAAGTGAGTTCATTTTTCAAGTACACGAATTTGTGGAAATTTCTTCCACCTTAAAGACATTTTACTCCCCCCCCTCCGTTCACTCCCCCCCCTCCGTTCAATTTTAATTATTTTCGATTATTTTTTATCTATCATTTGGAAAATTATTTTTAAAAAATGGCAATGAATTTTGTGATATAAAAATGTCGCTTATATATTTATTACATGTCATGCAGACCATTGTTGCTTGATTTATAGCAAAAACATAAGCATTTGCACGTTGGCGACGCTGCGCCTTTTTTAATAGACCTTTTATCTTAGAACTCCATCAGTTCAAAAAAATCCAAGAAGACCTAACATATTTCCCTCTGCACTGCACCTATTCATGTAGCCATTCAATTGTAAACTTTTGCTTGAAAAAATAAATCTTCAACATTTGTTGAATTTACCGAAAATCAGCTACTCCCCCTCCGTTCATTTCATCAGATCACCGGGCGTGAGACTGCCAAATGTCATTGACCATCTTAACTTTGATGAAAAATATGGTCACTATGGCTACTCGTGTTTCAGGGTATGTGGGATAAATCATGAAAATATTTGAGTATAAAGTGTTCATACAGCGCATGTTTTAATACAAGCATCACAATGCTAATATAGCATAATATAGCAAAAGGTGTTTATTTGGTCTTCAAACCGTCATGTGTTGGATTTCGGCTATTTATTGGGGATTTGAACAGGTGCATATGTCAGGCCAATGCATTAACTCCGGATCAAGCACTCATAGAGGTAATAAAATAATTTGAACTTTGAGACAGGGAAGGTTTTTCTGAAATGTTGTCCTTATTTTCAGCCCTTTCCACATATGTTTTTTCAATGTTTGATGCACCAATATGTTGCACTTTGAGACACAGTTAACCTCTAAAATATGATTTATTTGGGATAAAGTGGAAAACAGTACATGTATTTCCCATGTTATTTTCCCATAGGGAAAACTCATGTGATCCATTGTTTTCAGCTTAATTTTGGTCATCCAAAATTGATATCTTTAAAACCCCTGCATGAATCATATTTTCATTTAAAGATCTTAACCATGTCTCAAAACGCAACAGAGTGATCGATGCAACAAACATTGAAAAACAGGTGTGGAAAGGGCTGGAAATCAGGACAACATTACAGAAAAACATGTTGATGGGGTGTTTGCACCTTCCCTGTCTTAAAGTCCAAATTATTTTATAATCTCTATGACTGCTTGTCCGAGTTAATGCATTAAGCCATCAGCTTCACCCCAAAATTTAGGTTATCGGTATCAAATCAGGGGAATAATCGCCATAGTGATTTTTGGAAAGGTTAAGACCTCTAGAGTAAGAAAATATGTGATAGCATTGCAACAGTTGTAGCTAAATGGGTGTTATCACCCATTTTTCAAAATGGCCGCCGGTGCACGTGTTACAATATAAGAGTGGGTATATTTAAGTATACTGAGATGCAGAAACTGTGATTTTAGGGCTTAAGTTTTGGTTTTAGGGGTCAATGATTTCATTTATGCCGAAATCTAAGTCATCAAGCAATTACTTCTTATAGAAATCCAAGATGGCCTCCAAAATGGGTCCCAAAACGAATACCGGTATGTAACCATTGATTTAAGCTCGAAGAACAGTTAAGAACAGTGATTTTGGAGATCATGTCACAGTTCTAGAGTCAAGGATCTCATTTATGTCTAAATGGGAGTCATCAAATAATTACCTTTTCATAGAGATACAAGATGGCCACCAAAATGGATGCCAAAAGGAATACCGGTATGTAACAATTGCTTTAAACTCGAAGGAGAGTTAAGAACAGCGATTTTGGAGATAATGTCACAGTTCTAGAGTTAAGGATTTGATTTATGTCTAAATGGGAGTCATCAAATAATTACCTTTTCATAGAAATACAAGATGGCCACCAGAATGGGTGCCAAAACGAATATGCACTGTAACTATTGATTTAAGCTCAAAGAACATACAGTGATTTCATGTCTTGGTTTTAAGGGTCAAGGATTTGACTTATGTCTAAATCTGAGTCATCAAACAATTACTTTATATAGAAATCCAAGATGGCCACCAAAATGGATGCCAAAATGAATATGTAACTATTGATTTAAGCTGAAATAACAGTTAAGAACAGTAATTTTTGAGACTCTGTCTATTTTGTAGGGGCCAACGATTTCATTAATGTCTAAATTTTTATAGAAATCCAAGATGGCCACCAAAATGGGTGCTGAAATGAATATGTAACTATTGATCTAAGCTCAAAGAATAGTTAAGGACAGTGATTTTGGAGACCATGTCCAGGTTAAGAGGCCAAGAATTTTGTCTATAATTAAGTCATAAAATAATTCCTTTGTTTTGATATCCAAGATGGCCACCAAAATGGCTGCATAATATTATCACTTTGGCATCCATCTTGAATTCTGATATTAATCACAGATTGTTTCATGGCATAGCTCAAGATAACTGAAATTCATGACCTCCTTAAAGTAAACATTGCTCCAAAATTATTGTTCTTGGTGATCTATGCAGCCATTTTGAAGGCCATCTTGGATACCCATATTTGTTGATTTTATTAAAGTCAAAATTAATCAAAAATTAATGTTCTAATTCCTCTATATGTTTAGATAATTAATCTGAAATTCTTGACACCAAAAATCTTGACATGGTCTCAAATTACTGTTATAAACTGTTCTTTGAGCTTAAATCAACATTTACTTGTTATTGGCACCAATTTTGGTGACCATCTTGGATTTCTATGAAAAGCAATTGTTTGATGACTCAGATTTAGACATAGATGAAACCCTTGACCCCTAAAACTTAGTCATTGTCTCCAAAATCACTGTTCTTAACTGTTCTTTGAGATAAAATCAATACTTGAATATTCATGTTGGCACCCATTTTGATGGCCATCATGGATTTCTGCATAAAGTAATTGTTTGATGACTTAGATTTAGACATAAGTCTAATCCTTGACTGTTTAAACCTAGACATTGTCTCAAAAATCACTGTTCTCAACTGTTCTTTGACCTTAAATCAATCAAATAAATATTCATTTTGGCACCCATTTTGATGGCCATCTTGGATTTCTATATAAAGTAATTGTTTGATGACTTAGATTTACACATAAGTCTAATCCTTGACCCTTTAAACCAGACATTGTCTCAAAAATCACTGTTCTCAACTGTTCTTTGAGCTTAAATCAATCAGTTAAATATTCATTTAGGCACCCATTTTGGTGGCCATCTTGGATTTCTATATAAAGTAATTGTTTGATGACTCAGATTTAGACATAAATGAAATTCTTGACCCCTAAAACGCAGACATGTGCTCCAAAATCACTGTTCTTAACTGTTCTCTGAGCTTAAATCAATAGTTGAATATTCATTTTGGCACCCATTTTGGTGGCCATCTTGGAATTCTTATTTAAAGTAATAGTTTGATTAATTAGATTTAGACATAAGTCAAATCCTTGACCCTTAAAACCCAGATATGGTCTCCAAAATCACTGTTCTTAACTGTTCTTTGAGCTTAAATCAATAGTTACATCTTGATTTAGCATCCATTTTGGTGGCCATCTTGGATTTCTATGAAAAGTAATTATTTGATGACTCAGATTTAGACATAAATCAAATCCTTGACCCCTAAATGTAGACATGGGGTCCAAAATCACTGTTCTTAAGTGTTTCTTGACCATTAACAGTAGTTACATATTCGCTTTTGCACCCATTTTGGCGGCCATCTTGGATTTCTATAAGAAACAATTGTTTGATGACTTAGATTTAAACATAAATGAAATCCTTGACCCCTAAAACCTAGACATAGGTCCTAAAATCACAGTTTTGCATCTCAGTGTGCTTAGATAAACCCACTCTTATATTGTGACACGTGCGCCGGCGGCCATTTTGTAAAATGGGTGATAACACCCATTAAGCTACAACTGTTACAATGCTATCACATATTTTCTTACTTTTGAGGTCTTAATCTTCCCAAAAATCACTATGGCGATTATTCCCCTAATTTGATACCGACCAACCCCCCAGGCTGATGGCCTAATTGGCCTAACATATGCACCTGTTCAAATCCTCAGAAAATAGCCAAAATCCAATATATGACTGAAATCTGTTGCGATACCGTCCATGGTCCTTTAAAAGAAAGTTATTTCTAGTTACATAGAGTAGTTTTCATTCTCATCAATACATCTTTGCCTTGAAATCATCTGTGAAACATGTGGTTTGACCTTCATGGAAATTTGCTTAATTTTGACACACCTTTGTTTAACTTATACTGTCTTTGAGGCTGCCTTATCTGAAACCACGAAGTGTCTCATGTTTCAAATGTTTAAACAATCAAGTCTCATCTTGCCTTTATTTCAAACTCTAGTTTCCAGACTCGAGTCCAATCAAAATTATCCACATGGAAGTTTGTGAAGTCCTTTATTTCTGAAACTGTTTTAAATTCTTAATATTTTCCAGGTAACTGCTTTACAAAATTATTGTGCATTGTGAATCTTCATTATCTATCTGATAAATATTTTCCTCAGCAAACTTTATTTTCATAGAACACATGATGAATCTTTTATTCAACATTCTCAATTTTGCATCAATTATGTTTCAAGAATTTTTTTCCCTGGCTCACTTTGAAGGACATTTAAATAAGTCATGGGAAAGTAGGTCATAAGAAAGAGGAGCACTGGGTTCCACCCATTCCAATGATGCAGGTTTTGTACTAATTTTGAATATCTTTATGGTACTTTTACAGGTAATGGGCTAATGGCTTTAGCAAATTGCAGCAATGTCATAGTTAGTTTTTTTGGTCAAAGTAGGTTGCTAAATCACTAAAGAGAAGTCATGAATCTTATATCATAAATGTGTTTTAAATCAACTTGTTTACCTGAAAATAAAATGTGGTCACAGCTTTTCTGATGCTGATCCGAATCATGGTGTCTAATTCATAATGAAATAAATGAAATCATTGTGGTAAGTATGTGGAGTCTAGTTGCCTTACATTTACTTTAGTACATGGATTCTCTCCTAATATAATATTATTTCCTTATAAATATCCAAACTTTAATCAAAAGCAGTTTCAAAATTATCGTATATTGTATTTCACCTAAAATATCGTATATGGTATAAGAGCTGTGAAAAATATTGTATATGGTGAAAAAATATTGTATATGGTATAAGAGAGCTGAAAAATATTGTATATGCATTTCCAAGACCCTCTATACACCCCCCCCCCCTTTCTACGTATCAAAGTTAAGAACTGATTAGTTTTTGGGCATTCTGGGTAAATTTTAAGGTGGCCATTTTGGATTTTCGGTCCTAAAATCTTCACTTTCAAGACTTGTCTACAGGCTAGGTTTCCAGTCAAACCATTTGACGGATTCATCTGAAATTTTCAGGAATGTTTCTACGTATCAAACTTAAGAACTGATTAGTTTTTTGGCATTCTGGGCAAATTTTAAGGTGGCCATTTTGGATTTTCCGTCCTAAAATCTTCACTTTCAAGACTTGTCTACAGGTTTCCAGCCAAACCATTTGACGGATTCATTTGAAATTTACAGGGATGTTTCTACATATCAAAGTTAACAACTGATTAGTTTTTTGGCATTCTGGGTAAAATTTTAGGTGGCCATTTTGGATTTTCCGTCCTAAAATCTTCACTTTCAAGACTTGTCTACAGGTTTCCAGCCAAACCATTTGACGGATTCATTTGAAATTTACAGGGATGTTTCTACATATCAAAGTTAACAACTGATTAGTTTTTGAGCATTCTGGGTTAATTTTAAGGTGGCCACTTTGGATTTTCCGTCCTAAAATCTTCACTTTCAAGACTTGTCTACAGGTTTCCAGCCAAACCATTTGACGGATTCATCTGAAATTTTCAGGGATGTTTCTACGTATCAAAGTTAAGAAGTGATTAGTTTTTTGGCATTCTGGGTAAATTTTAAGGTGGCCATTTTGGATTTTCCGTCCTAAAATCTTCACTTTCAAGACTTGTCTACACAGGTTTCCATCCAAACCATTTGACGGATTCATCTGACATTTTCAGGGATATTTCTACGTATCAAACTTAAGAACTGATTAGTTTTTTTGGCATTCTGGGTAAATTTTAAGGTGGCCATTTTGGATTTTCCGTCCTAAAATCTTCACTTTCAAGACTTGTCTACATAGGTTTCCACCCAAACCATTTGACGGATTCATCTGACATTTTCAGGGATATTTCTACGTATCAAAGTTAAGAACTGATTAGTTTTTGGGCATTCTGGGTAAATTTTAAGGTGGCCATTTTGGATTTTCCGTCCTAAATTCTTCACTGTCACACTGCTGTGTTTTAGGTACGATATTGTTCACGTCTGTGCCTTGTTTGAGGATGGTGATATTTTGCGTGTTAATGCCTTATTAAAACTTTGATATTTACATTTTTACCCTTTGCTCTTAACAATGTTGTACAAGACCCCAGAATAATGTTCATTGATTTGCTTATCTCTGTATGGCTGCATAATGAGCATGCAATTTGAATTCTTTGATATAATTCTTATGGATTTTTGTCAAGTACTAGTAGATTCCTGGATGAAAGCACCAGTGAAAGATTAGAGAAAGATATAAAAACCTGCAGCCAAAAAATGCTATAACATTGCAAACTAATAGGTAAAATTGTCAAGAATGCTTTATTTAACAGAGCAAGTCACAATAGTTCAAGTAAAACAATTTGTTATCATAATTACATATCATATATCTATTGTCATAACAAATCTACCGATAACTAACTTCTCTTGCCATTAGATTGATTTCAATGTACAACGTATACGACATCTATAAAACCATTCGATAAACCATTTCTCTTCAACGAAAACTATCCAATCAGACAAGGCCACGCGACACAACCGAGCGGCTGAAGATGAAGACGAGCATGTACGTTTATAGGTCGTTTTTAGCGTTAATTCTGCAATCTATACAAATATTAGTTGATGCCCAAGGTGGAGGGGGTGACGCTATGATGGGTGATCTGATTGGAGGACTATTAAACGCAATGGGAGGAGCGGACGACAGCATTTGCAAATTTGAATGTCCGAATGGTAAGTAAATTTCAACAATCTGTATTGTGCTGCCATCTTTTAATCAGTGTATTTTAATTGTGTTGTATTGGATGAATCTAATCTAGAAGACCCGGGAAGAAGACGAAGCTCTCTTTTAAGAACTTAAGTGAAGTCAGACGAATGGCAAAGGGTAAATCTAGGATATCCTAGATCTAATCCTGGTTTTGCCTCTATTTTTGTAGAAGACAAGATCAAAATCTTTAAAGTTTCCTTCTCCTTTGTAGGACTTCTATACATTAGCCTAAATATTAAAATATGAATAAAACTTACCTTCTTATTTGACCTCACTGGCTTTACTGTATCGGCCTCTACTGTAACTTTTAATCGAATGACCGATTCACCAAGCTAAGTCTAGGCTTACCCCAAAAGCTGAAACGTGTTAGTCGGTAGGGGAGGGGGTCACTACACCGGGGTCTTAAGCAAGGCTTGCATATTTCACTATGAATAACTGAATAAGCAAATTATATTTAAAAATAACATGCCGAGGAAGGTAAAAACACATTATCGCATATGAATAAAAATCAACCTGACTAAACAGTTCGATGCTCGTGATAGCAGTTTTATTGTGTGGTTTTATCAATTGTGGGAGTATATACGTTGATTAATTCGTGACAACGAAATTAAAAATTGGATGGTTCCGTACGTAATTGATTAAATATAGGCTTACAAAATAGGCTACATGATCAACTGCATTCTTCTTCCATATTTTCTATTACACTCTCTCAACCAAGAGTAGACACACATGTTGTTCCATTAATGATAGGAAAATTCAATACGCTTTTGTAAATTGTAATATTAATTGTATTGTATTGTGTTATATTGTACTGCAGTGTGTATTGTGCATTGTATTGTATTGTGTTGTATTTAAATATAAAACTGATAAAACTTTTGAATATATGACATATGCTGTGGGTAGAGTCCTTTTTCACCCTTGGTATACGCAGCTAACGAAAATTGACCGGTACGGGTCAAAAGCTGGACTGGTACGGGTTAACGGTTTTATTTGAATTTAAAATAGCCATAACTTGCTCAATATTGACTTCCTCGTGTCTAATTTGAAATATATGATGACTCCCGATGCTTTTAAGTACCCCAATTTTTTACAGATTTTTAAACGGACCAAAACTCTCTAAATGCGCATTTATGCTCTTTTCTCTCGAGAACGACTGTCTCATTTTCACGATAACTTTTATTTAGTACTTCTAACATATAAGATCTATTTTTCCCCATCAAGGTATGATGTAAATGACATGCTATTTACATCTTGTAAGTTTCAATGACGCGCGTTTGATTTTATAAAAAATGCCAAACTTTGTGACAAAGAATTTCATCAGCTATTGCCCCGAACCGGGCCGTCTTCTCGCTACAAGCAGATTGCCCCGAACCGGTCCGTCTTCTCGCTGCAAGCAGAACTTCGGGCAGGCAGACAAACGTGTCATTTTGACATCGGTCAATTTCCATCAATTTTGATGTATCTTGATTATCATGCATGCCTAGCTATGTGAATATAAAATACAAAGTCATCACTATAAATACGCATTACTGATACACTGACATGATAATAAATGATAAAAACGGAAAGCTGCTATAAATAGAGCATATTTAGTATTCATATTTAGTTGTTTATTTTTATTCCATTTTCATTTATTTCCATTAACCTTTTCATAGTTTATTGTTTTACGTGCGTTAGAATAGTTTAACTACATATGGCTCAATATCACCTACTTTCAACATTTGTTGGAAATTCTACTTTATACGAAGTTTTTTTGTTTTTGAAATTATAACCGACTATTAATTCAAAATAAACATTTCAAAAGATTCGAACCAATATCTCGATCATTTCTAGTGAGTTTTGGAATTTTTCGCCAGGAAATAAGACCAAATTTCATGATTCAAATGTTAAAGTGAACAAAGTGGCGGCTGTTTGAATTCGAATTTTGTATCACGACATGCCCATTTTTGGGACAGAATATCGATGTTGCACTCTGGGGGCCAATTTTATGAGCAACTCATTTAACTATAAATAGTACCTGCCACTCTGCCATTCATATTTAAAAAATGAGTTGGTCATAAAATAGTGGGTTAATCCCGTAGCCGACAGTCGAAAATTGCATTTACGAATACAAGTTCAGTAAGGGAAATTGCTATTATAGGATGGGGCCGCATTGATTTATCTTTGAGTCTTATTTTGAATTTTGTCCTACGTTTATTCGTTATCTACCTACCCTGCGTGCAGAGTCTAGTTCCCAGGGTCTAGTTAAACTACTGAATGCTGAAGACGAAGCTTTCTTTTAAGAAGTGAAGTCAAACGAATGCAAAGGGTATTATTTACCATATTAGATAGTGTATAACAGAAATTATAATGTACTGCAATTAAAATAATCCCCGAATTCAAGTTAGATAACTTTTTCCGGTACCTGTGACATAAAAGGTGACACATTGATTTTGATTAGCGTATTTAATTTCTATCTTACCAAACCTATGTAATATAAAACCCCTAGATGTGTAATATAAAACCCAGACCTCGAGAGTAAACATTAATAAGAGCTAAATTTTTACCATGAACAAATAAAATCTTCTTAAATAAATAGTTTTATCATATAATTTTCTTTCCGGGGATGTAAGTGATCAATATGACAATATGATCAATATGAGCCGATTCCAATTACACCCTTTACGAAGAGATCGCACCGGTTTCGTGTAGTGGTAAAGACGACAAACCGCTTAAATCATATTAGGTTGCTCATCCCTCTAATAGGGGTGATAACAACTAAAATCTATTGTATGTGTAAGAATGAAGTTAAAATAATTAATGTTTCTTTTACTTGATCTATCATTTGGAATGAGAGTAGGAAACAATGTGTTTTACAGTTTGTGGTGTTGTATTTATTAACATAAAAATCTTCTTTTGCTGTTGCAATGGCGGTTAATTCAAATATTTAGATATTTTTGAAGAATGTCTGACAAAGAATATTTGGATGATTGAACAATATTTCCAAACTTTACATGGGGTCTTAAGCTAAAGAAAGAAGAAGACATATTTTATTCCATGACACGTCTAATAAGAAACTAGAATATCAATTTCTATTTCTACTTTGTCTTTTGATCCTTTCGTATCACTTACTAGCTATATACAATAGATATGCTGCTACGTTTTCATACTTGGTATCATCCGATCTCATTAATTCATCAGATTACGTTGTAACCGAATAATCGTTTTGCAAACCTGTGTTACAATTCAAAGATTAGACTAAATTCAATAAGACTTCACTTCAATGAGTTTTAAATAATTGTCACCAATTTTATTGGAGTAAAACAATAGAATATATTATATATTATATACATGCACACATTATTATATTTTTTGATCATGTTACAGATTCACCACAAGTTGTGGTTTGTTATATACATGTATGTACTTCTACATTATAATTGCAAGAGGCTCATAAGCCCAGTTAAGCAAATACATGGAGAGTCAAAAAAGGTAACCCAAACAAATCTTTATAACTCCGTCTTCCAGTATGGGTCTTAAGTCATAATTGGTAATAATTCTGAAATATTCTTTCAAATCTTCTTTCACTCCAACCAATAAGTTTCATGCCAAAATCACTCTGAATTTTATCGTGTTCACTAACAACAGAAACATCAGATACATCATTGGCATCAGCGAGTTAAACAAAATGTTAGAAGGAAAATTAGAGCCGTTTTGCAAGATTTATGTTAGCGTGTAGTCAGAAAAGACAAGATCGGCATTTTAAGCTTGTTTTGTAAAATGGTCATAAATTCTTGATCTTTTGGAATAGGCTACCCTTTGCATTCGTTTGACTATACTTCTTAAAAGAGAGCTTGTAGTTTAACTAGACTCTGCACGCAGGGTAGGAATAGGCCGATAAAACTTGGTAGAGTGAAAGAACATTGAAGAAGTTTCAATTATAATATGATATAAGATCCTTACCGGATGATCGAGTTATCAAAATTTGTTTGGGTTACCTTTTTTGGCTCACCCTGTATATAATACAACAATGAAAAGAATTTATATAAATAGAATACATATACTGTTCAACTTCATAAAATAACAGTTAAAAATAATTTATGATAACATACCCCCTGACTGGGTTGGTGTTCCTGTTAGGTAGAAAATGGGACCCTGCTCGATCGGTGAAGCGGTTAAGCTTGTATTCGCGAATACAAATAGCGGCTAGCGGCTACCGGATTAACCCACTGTTTTATGATCAGCTCATTTAAATATGAATGGAAAAGTGGCAGGTAATATACGTATTTAAAGTGCCCGATAAACTATAAAATGCGCATGCGTCCAGGTGTTGATAAACTATAAATAGCGAAAATCCAGGGTTTGTCACCACAAGGTAAGCCAGGACGTGTTGAGAGAACAGCTAGTGTTGATATTGAATTTATATGTAGCCAGATAAGTTTCCTTATTGAAATTACATATGGTTATTAGCAATACTTTGTAGGTGCTAAATAATAAAATATTTAGAGTATATATGAGAGAAATTGGTCATTTCGAACCTGTTGAAAAGTTTGTGGCTCTCGGCTACACCGGGGAATTTACTTCCATGAGTACACACATAAATGTGGGGTTCCCCAAGAGGTACGCGACAAGGTGACCTGGCATCAAATGTGCGACTAAATGCTACTATCGAGAAGATTAAATAACGAATACGACAATAAGTTATTGCATGTGACAATTCCGAGCCTTCATCTCACTGAAGTATTTTGAAGTGAAAATAGGATTTTTGTTTTGATACATGGATTCAGATGAACGTAACTTTATTCTGACAAGTAATCAAAACTGAACAAAATTGATTGTACGTAACAGACAATTTATTGTTTTACAATGTTTTGATTTGCTAAACGAATGAAACCAACAAATTATGACATGTAAAATGACAATTTTGAAATGTAAAATTTAAAAGTGACAAACACAACCTCCCTATCCACTCTTTGGGAGCCCTAGTAAATTAGTAATATGTACATGCAGTGGTAGTGTACAGCTTATTATCACACTACGCTTTGTATTCTAAAGCCTGTTGTTTGTAATAACACTGTTCACTCAACGTATGTTTTGTGTGTGGGCAGTCAACGATAATCATTGTTTTATCCCGGTTATATGACCTCGGCAATTATAACAGAACCGTACTAAACGAAAAAACGCAAATAAGAGAAAGCTTTCACACACATATAAAAAATGAACTAGTCTAATCCGCCAGTATAAACTCTGTGCTATACGTAGCTGGGTCAGGCGCACACTTTAAATGAGTTGCCAATAAAATAGTAAGTTAATCTGGCAGCCGACAGGCGTTAGTTGCACTCGCGTATACAAGGTTAGTCTCTATTTCTTTTTATTTAATCCTTGGAAAAGCCAAAACAATAAGAAAGGCGTGAGCGATACTTATTGATAGTGTATGTCACCGGCTGCACTGGCGGATCCAGAAGCTAATAAGCCCACATTTCAAATCAGAAGAAACTTTGGGCTCCTTAATCCAAAAAATGGGCCCAATTTTTGAAAATTTAAGGCCCATTTTTGATAATTTGACCTAAAAAGCCCAAAAGGCCAAGTAATGCCCAAGGGCCCACTAATTGAGGCCCTACACAACTTTTGGGCCCAACATTTTTTGGGGCCAAAACATTTTTTCTGGTCCCACCCAAGGGGGTGGGCATGGCCCCCCTGGATCCAACAGTGGGCTGATACGATTTAATTATTATCTCAAGGGTTGAGCCATTTTAAAGCGTCTATAGTATTTCTATCCTAAAATAACTGCACTACAGGATTCTTTCAAGAGTCTAGCCTGCCAATACAGGACAACACGGATTTATAAATAAGGCTGGCTGGCCTTAAACTGGTTGAAAACGGTCAGAAAGTTTGACATGCATAATTTAAACTCTCAAGATGAATGCCTTTTTACACCTACTGCGGACTCGATGGCTGTCTTGCCAATATTAGTCCGCGCTGTGCCCTTGTGTTAACGGTCAATAGGACCATGCATGATTCTGTCTCCATCGGCATCTACATTACTGCTCTCGGGTAACCTAAAGCTATATGTGACATTTGATTCATTTCTCCCTTTGACTCAGCAATCAGTTTCTCTGGAATATATGTACCATATGTATATGTACCATGATCAACAAAATGTTGAATATTAATGGCATTATGGTTTACCTGCCCTATGAAAAAAACATATTAACGCGAATGATCCAATTTTACTAAATGGACTAAAAACAATAGTCAATCTCATCTGGAATGTAGAGCTGTATTCAACAGGTCCAAATGTCGATGGCCAATGGCTAGCATTGTGATTTACACTTTCTCTATCTGTGTCCTTTGCCTAAATTGTGCAAAACCTGCGTGTGATTTATGAAAATGGGTCAGTTGAATTAAAATATGATCCATTTTTACCGTGTAGTTGTTCAAGAGCAGTAAAACGGTTACTTTAGCTCCTGTATTAATGATCAGAAGCCGACGCTAATGAATCTTCAACGTCCATTCTTCTTTTTCCAAGAGAGAAGATTCTGACATAAGCGGCTTTGAAGTTACTGTTACACGCGTAATATATCCAGGGGTTGAACATAGAATTCATCCATCCTAGCCAAGATACTATGCCCCATGGTACTCCTGGTATCTTGTACCCGATTGACACATCAATGATATTGAACAAGTACAGCGGCAGCCAGCAAAGGAGGAATGCTCCCATGATGATCAAAAGTGTCCTCGCCGCCTTACGCTCTCTTTTCATATTCCTGGCTTCAGAGCGTTTATCACGATCATCTGCGATCTCAAGTGCTTGGATTTTTCTAGACTGAGACCTAGCAATGTAGAAGATGATGCTGTAAACGACTATCATCATTCCAGCAGGGATGTAGAACAGTAACAGGGATGTTGCGATAGTATATGCTGGGCTGACCTTAAATGGACAGACTGGCAGGGTTCCGTTATTTGTCATTTCCTGTATCATTTCCTCAACACCAATGTCTGGCCACTTTGCAAATACACTTACAAACGAAGGAAATATCGGAAGTATCCAACAGCAAGCAATCATAGAAATTACGACCTTCTTGTTAAAGCGCTCATGATAGAAGAACGGGCGACAAATGGCAAAGTAGCGGTCAATCGCAACACAGAGCAGATTGTATATGGATGCAGTTGAGAACATTATATCCAGACTCTTAGAAAGATCGCAAATGGCATTTCCAAATGGCCAATAACCATTTCTCACTTCTCTGTATATCGCAAACGGCATTACCAAAGCTCCAACGAGAATGTCCGAAACTGCCAAAGAAACAATGAAGAACCCTGTCAATGACTGTAAGGCCGGAGTGATGTAAACGGCTATGATGACAATGACGTTCCCCACGAATGTGACAATGTTAATCAAGGCGAGAATGATCCCAATGATTGCCAAGGCTTCTTCACTGTAACCTCCGCCCGGTTCAACTTGTTTGGTAATGTTTTCAAACATAGTCGCGTCTTCCAAACCACTATTGTCGAACAAAGTTGTATTTTCCATTTTTTACACTGCTTCAGTCACAAGTAACTTTAATTGTGTAATCACTTATATCTGTATTATTGCCTCTTTGAAATCCTCTCAGGCCTATAATAAGAAATAACTAATTGAATTGCGGATAATAGAAAAATAACTCGGTCTCTTTCAACTAGAACAATTACCAATGAGCGGGTAAATGATTATGTTTTCACAATGATCGTATACATTATTAATATGATGTATGCATTTTGATCAGATCATATTATTAACGAATAATAAAAACATAGCTCTCTTTTATACACTTAGACACGACTAAAGCAATAAAAGGATCATAATTCATTCATCATCTCATTAAACGTGCTTCATAACATTTGCTTTAATAAAATGTAAGTTGTTTTCAATGTCACTTATCAGTGTTTCGTATACATTCAACAATGTGTCAATTTTGGATGAGTGGGGGGGTTAACAATAAATTCTCATTATATAGGACGATTGGAACTTTTTCTCTAATGCCTTTTCAGTGCCACCTCTTAGTGTTTCGTACATTCAACAATGTGTCAATTTGGATGAGGGGGAGAGGGGGGGGGGATAACAACAAATTCTCATTAAATAGGACGGTTGGAACTTTTTCTCTAATACGTTTTCAGTGCCACCTCTTAGTGTTTCGTACATTCAACAATGTGTCGATTTGGATAGAGGGGGGGGGGTAACAATAAATTCTCATTATATAGGACGATTTGAACTTTTTCTCTTATACGTTTTCAGTGTCACCTCTCAGTGTTTCGTACATTCAACAATGTGTCAATTTGGATGAGGTGGAGAGGGGGGGGGGGATAACAACAAATTCTCATTAAATAGGACGGTTGGAACTTTTTCTCTAATACGTTTTCAGTGCCACCTCTTAGTGTTTCGTACATTCAACAATGTGTCGATTTGGATAGAGGGGGGGGGGGGGGTAACAATAAATTCTCATTATATAGGACGATTTGAACTTTTTCTCTTATACGTTTTCAGTGTCACCTCTCAGTGTTTCGTACATTCAACAATGTGTCAATTTGGATGAGGTGGAGAGGGGGGGGGGATAACAACAAATTCTCATTAAATAGGACGGTTGGAACTTTTTCTCTAATACGTTTTCAGTGCCACCTCTTAGTGTTTCGTACATTCAACAATGTGTCAATTTGGATGAGGTGGAGAGGGGGGGGGGTAACAATAAATTCTCATTATATAGGACGGTTGGAACTTTTTCTCTAATACATTTTCAGTGCCACCTCTTAGTGTTTCGTACATTCAACAATGTGTCAATTTGGATGAGGGGGAGAGGGGGGGGATAACAACAAATTCTCATTAAATAGGACGGTTGGAACTCCAAAACGTTTTCATTGTCACCTCTCAGTGCTTCGTACGTTCATCAATGTGTCAATTTTTACTTTCATGGATACAAGGGATTAACCATAAGTTATATGGTTCTCATAATAGAGGGCGATTAGAACTTTTTCTCCAAAACGTTTTCTCTTCAGTGTCACCTCTTAGTGTTGCGTAAATTTATTGATAGAGAGTTTAAGCTTGTATTAAAAATCGAAACGCCAACCTATACGTATGACCAATCGCCCATACAAATGTACCACTTAAATATTTTCCGTTCGCATTTAGGTTGTGAAAACATTGCAAGCTTAAACTCCCTAATGTGTCAGTTTACACGTTCAGGGATACGAGGGATTATTAATAAATTCTCATTTTATATAGGGCGAATAGAAATTTTTCCGTATTCCGTAATTTTGAATTCTCCATAAAAATATGATTCTTCCTGATAAAAAGGAAAGGTGCTTGTATGTAACCAGTTTTTTTTCCAATGGGACTATAATATAAATTATCACTCCTAATTGGTCAATTCATGGTCATATGACATGAAATATAACTTCATGTTCCCTGTCATCAAACACATAGAAACACTATAAAGATGAAAATGTAAAGTTTCTAAAAAATATTCACAATGTCAAAAATCGAATGAAATTTAAATTGTCCACTATTTACTTTCATCCGAATTCTCGACAAAAGAGGAAAAATCCGAGAGCCTAGAGCTGACCTCTTAATTTACTCTCTTACTTACCACCTTCGTTTCTCCGAAATTTTACCATCTAGAGTTTCTAAATACTACACGTCGGTGTGATGTTTTGTTCAATGTAAGTATATTCTTTACATCTCACTTTATCTTGAGGTGAAATAATAAGCTCTATAATGTTGGCAAGAACGCAAAAAATCAACATGATTTTATTCGAAGCGTTTGACTAATCATCGACAGTTAGGTCATCTTTATAAATCCATTGAAAATATGGTAGTCTCTGAACCCTGTGGTATTCCCCCTCTTATATTAAACTTGACTGTATAAAAAATCTGATCAAAGTTTACTGAGATATCTTCAGTCATGAGCACACGACGAAACAATTTGAAACTAAAATACATAATGAAAGCAAAATAAGCCATACTAACCATGAAAATCACCCATTTCATCCTAGTTAATTGAATCTACTACAGTAAAATATGATATCCATAATGTCTAAAATGTACATTTAGTGTCGTAGAGCATATTTTAAAACATATTGTTCAAAGTGCCTTAAGTGACAGGTAACACTACTTGTTTAATTTGTGTGATGCGGAAAGTGCCTTTCATTGTACAATTCAATTTATTTATTTCTCTTATCACCCATTAGAATATGTAGAATAAAAGTTAGTTTATAAGATTTGAGATAAATGGACTAAAAACATAAACACGACGATACCATGATGTTATAGATTGGTGTGTCCTAGAGTCACAGGCTGGTATCGAAAGATTTGTCCGCTGTTACGGAGTATGCTATTTTTCATAAATACATTAAGAATACTTCACAATTTATTATTTAACTCATATATTTCGTTATATCAAATAAAATTACTTTCTCCATGCAATGGATATATTATTTGCGGGTAACCTTCACTTCTGGTTGAAGTCCAATAACGCTTGGAGTAAAAAGTATTGAAAACGGTACCAGAGTATCATACTTTAAAATGTACCATTTCTTTTTTTGACTTTTTAATGGCATGATGTAGTGACACAGTAATGTTTACATTTGTTTTCAGCATAACTCTGAATGTAATAATGAGATCTTGATGTATTGGGTCTTTTTATTTTTAAATATTTTGTCCGCAGTGACGGAGCAGTTTCACAGTTCACATTTGCAACTGCTCCGTCACGGCGGACAAAAAATTACATCCAATACATCAATATCTCATTAATACCTTCAGAGTTATGCTTAAAACATGTAAATATTATCATGTGCCTGTATCGTGCCATTAAAAATAAAAAATAAATGGTACATTTTGGAGTATGATACTCTGGCGCCATTTTCAATAGCTTTTCTTCGTAGCTGGGACTTCAAACAGAGGTAAAAATTACCCGCAAATGATATATTTATTGCATGGAGTAAGTATAACGAAACATTATTAGAGTTGAAAATAAATTTGGTGGTTTTCTTAGTGTTTTTTTATGAAAAATAACATGCTCCGTCACAGCGGACAAATCTTTCAATACCAGCCTGTGAGAGTATAGTATATAGTGTACGGCTCGCTATATTTACTTTTTTATCTTTTCTTTTCCTATCATAAGTTTTAAGTGTTCGTTGTCTGTTTCGTGTATTTGCATGCTTGTTGGTGGATTGGTTTGCTACAGGGTGAGCCCAAAAATACCAACACTGTCATCCAGTATGTCTTTCATTCATTTGACTAAGTTTTATTGCAAATGGTCACCATTTTATGGCCATTTTGCTCAAAATGCCGGTCTTGTCTTTGGAGACAAACTTGAATGCACCGTGTGAAGTTTCTGACTTACACACTCACAGATATCTTGTGTAATGGCTCTCATTTCCCTTCTAATCTTTTGTTGTAACTCTCTGGTGCTTCGTTTGCTCTTGATGGACGGCGTCCATTTTGATGACGTCTCGAATATCTGTCCGTTATATTTCCAGAGCTTGGGGTTGGATTGGTTTCGAAATGTCAGGGACGATTCTTTTGACCTAGAACTCATTCTTGGTCGGCGGCGTGCGTCTACGCGGTAGCTAGGCGTCGTCGTCAGTCAAAACAACAGCAATATTGTTTGTTTGTAAATAGTGATTATTTTCAATTTAACATTTACATAATTTGTATACATGTATCTCATTTATATAAAGGGCAATAAATATATACATACATACACATTAGGTTTCAGCAGGTGATATTGTTGGCTTCGCAATTTTTTCGAAAGACGAAAGAATTTTCGCTAATATAATTTTACGATTCAAAATGGCTGCCTTATGACTTCCAAAAGATACGCCAAAATCAGTTCAAATCAATGTTTCGCCGGTGAACTGAGAACAATATGAACGTACTAGCAGGCAAGGAAACACTTCAATACGTCCACAGACGACCAAATAAAACTACACCCACCTATTCTCTTGAAGAAGAGCATTTCGAAGAGCATTTCCGGTTTTACTCAACGAAAATAATATAATACGCGTTTCCATCCCTGATATCATAACACTTTTACAAATAAGGAAGTAACACAACACCAAGCTGAAAAAACATCTACTCTCAGCTTTCAATATGGCCACTTAGTTATTCAGCTTTGCTAAATATAATGCTCGAGGTATATGTACAAGCTTTTCATGCTTGCAGATAAAAATGGTCGCTTGAATTGTTATATATTTGAAATCATTTGCATTTAGATGGAATTTAGTTGGAAATCTTCCTTTTTAATTGTTCTCCAACATTTATTGCAATTGGATGAAATGTCCCACGGTCTTCTAGTCTTTGACTGATAATGTCTGAATGGTAGCAAGGCAAGGGGGCGTTTATTAGATACCCTTTCTTTGTATGTTAAGTCATTCTTTTGGATGTTACAGAATTGTTTCCTTATGGTCGGTTGTCCTCTGAAAAGTTCATTTCCAAAACTGCAACTGGCACATAGCGATGCAAATTACGGGAAAAGTGAGAAATGTGAAAAACAGACATAAAAAGAAGTGAATCAGCTGCTGACTTTGTGGATTTAACAGGAAATCCTTTTGTTATATAAGTAATAAGACATCTCAAGTTAAATTACTCCTACAAGGTGAATAACAATAGAATGATAATCCAAGCTCTTTAAATAACACAATTACTGAATGTGCAGTATCTTTATTATAACTTGCGTATGAATTTTGATCAGATCCTGTTTTACGGATATTCTGTTTACGTAAACCAGCTACGGAGGCAAGGATTTTCATTACTTGGGGATCACATTCGTTATTCTTGAAAGAGTTGACTTACATAATAAATATGTATAAAGTCTTTGTAGTTTGTCTTTCGGTGCCGCCATTGATTCGTGCTAATTAACCAAATACTTTTTTTACAAGTTTTCATTCTTTATTTCACTAGATGCATTTATAGCTTTTAAGGCTTTATTATCTAGGTCAAAGGTCAAGATCTTCCTTTTTGGTTATATACATGAATATAAATATTATTTCTTCCAATCCTGTATACTTTTTAATAATCATTAGTAGGCTTAACATTTTAGAGAGCCGTCTCGAATTATTTATTTTCCACATATTGTAGATTATCTTCGCACATATGGATTTACTGTTATTTTAATCGTTGTTATTGGTTGGTTGAATTAACTAGTAAAGTCACTTTCCCTATCTAACTTTGCATCACAATCGTACAATTGATTCAGAGAGCTTACATCAATAACAGAGAATTAATGCAATGATTCATATATTTATAGATGTAATATTTATTGTTTTCACTGGTCGTAGTAACATTAGTTGCATCATATTTGTGTTGTGTTGTATATCTATCTCTATGGAATGAAGCGTTCATAACATCCGGTGTTTGAGTAGTTGTACTTCTTTTCAGTACGGTATCATTTTATTTACATTAGCCGATAAAATAATTATTGTCTTTTGTCGCCAGGCTTGTAAAGGAGTGGTGTCGATATGGAGAACTGAATTCAACAATGTTTTTCTCTTAAATCAATCATTGAAAACATTCTGTAAGAAAAAACGGTATTTTATGTAATGTTGACTGATTGACAACAATTTAATGCGAAAATTATTTAGAAATATTTTACATAACTGTTTTTGTTAAAATCATTTGTTTTTTAGTGCAATTGTTTTTGCTCCTTTCTACCAACTCTTGAGAATGAAATAAAATGTCTTTCCGAACCTTATTGGAACAAAATAGCATATAAAACATGTTTTTAGACCTCTCAATATTATAGTTATACAAAGGAATTTTTGGTTGATTTTAAAAAAGTATTCAAAAAATTAAAACAAAATCCCCCCAAAATTTCCTTTGTACAATTACAATATTGAGAGACCTCACCATGTTGTGTTTATGTCGTTTTGTTCCAATGAGGTTCGGAAAGATGTTCCATTTCACTCTGGAAACATGATACCAAGAACAAAACAAGTGTTTGATGTGTTTTCTAAAACAATATAGATGAAAGTATTTTTCAAATTATCAAAAGATGGCCATTGATTAATTGAAGATGTGTTCAATTTTTAGATTTTTTATGTCTGGTTTAAGAGAAACGTGTGTTCAAAAAGTTCTCCATATCGATACCACTCCTTTACGATTCACCCATTTTCTTTTTTGGTGCTTCTTTTTAGACATAAAGCTTCTGATGCAACAGGATTGGTATTACAGAAAATAAAAGGAATCGCTATCGCGTTTCTATATGCGTCCTATTAAGAATTTTCAAAATGATACTAAGTATTGAATTATTTCTACCTGGCTTTAATCAGGTAGGTAGCAAGTAATACATTCACTTCATTTTTCAATATCTACGAGCATTAAAGAGGCAGTGTCTGATAGAAACACACTTTGAGCACCCCTGAATATTTTTTTGCATCAGGATATCGATGTAAAACTGGTTTAACCTCATCAATCTACTTGCCAATCTAAATGTCACTGATACCAACTCCTTCCTTTATGGTGTTAATTTCATAATGTCCGCAGAAATGATTTATTAACTTGACTGTCGGAAATTCGAAAAGAAATAAAAACCCGCTCTTATACTGATTTTTGTGTCTTGGTTCAAATCACTTGGCGACGCTCGTACCACGTGATGGGAATTCCCTGCGGAAATCTCAAATTGGGTTCAATTCTAACAGTTGGTTGTTGATTTTCTCAATATATCGACAGTGAGTAATAATGTGCCCAAAACTTGGACTCAAGATATATTTAAGGCATGTAAAATATTATATATAAGCAACAATATTGTGATATCACTGATTGTCCGGGTGAGACACCGAAAAAACAATGCATCTGTAAGCACTCACTAACAGAATGGCATGCCAAATTTTCAACTAATGGGCAACCAAAGACGCCAAGTTCATTCAGGTGGGGTTCAGGATCTAAATGATAAAATATTCATAATAACTGCACTCGAAATGACTTGATGTAATGAATACAATGCTATACTGGGTTTTGAACCATGTTCTATCTTAGCCAAATGGATTTTCCATATCTGCAGGGTGGGCCAAAAACGTCCATATTTTTTGCTGTAACTTTTATCTTTATGATGTATATCTGAGAGAAAATTTGAGGAGGAAAATTGAAAGAGTAAAATACATTTTCACAATCATCAAGTGGTTTAGAACATTCCTATACGACGAGCCACTCGTCTACACATTGCAATGCAGACTGGATATTGTTACTCCCAGGGGTATCACTCCCTTTTCATGGCACCTCATGAAAGGGAACTTGATGGACAAATAGTCAAAGCTAATATCTTTGATATCATGTCTCTGTTTCATGTACAAATATGAATGATGAAATGGTTTAAAGAGCAGTCTACAAAATGTATAATCTAAAATATATGAAGGATATTCTTCGATATTACTGAATATCTAGTATAAAACTGTGAACTGTAAAATATATTGCATGATATCATTACCACGTGATATACTATAGCAAAGCAGCTCCCCTATAAGCTCTAAATATTCTATTGGTTTCATTTGACAGAACTTCAAAAGGCATCGTTAGCCACATTAAAACATTAGCCACGAGAAAATATGGTCCGGAATGGTCATACAAGGACCATAATTTGAGACACTCTCCACCTAGACATTTAGTTCACATAATGAGACCATAACTTTAACAAAGGCAGAAGCGACAGTTTGTCGGACCATAAATTCGACGGAAAATAATTATTACATCTTCATCAGGCCCAGGGGCCAATTTTCTCTAAGTTGGGTCACCAAAAATGTGGACCTACGTATATTTGCATTATTAATGGTATCCATATATACATTTTAATAAATACCCCCAATATTATGTTTTATAGGGGAAACCCCAGTTCCAAACAAGGGCCACGTACCAACATCAAATGGATGCGGTTCCTTTGGAATACAGGTGAGTTATAGGTGGACCAAAAGGGGAGAGGAATACTCCAATTTTCAGAGATTATCAAATATTCAATCCCTGGAAATCCCATTAAAACAAGATTTCAACGATGTAATTGAATTAAAAATGTAAGCTGCATTCACAATGTAGGAAATGTTTATGTAATATATATTGAATAGGTTTACATATAGGATTAATGCATTACGTAAAAATCGGACTTTGATATTTTATTTCAGTTTGATACGTCAGCAATCCCAAAAATGGTGGAATGTTGTGACAAACACGACCATTGTTATGATACATGCAACAAGTTACGATCCGACTGTGATAAAAAGTTCCAAAAGTGTCTCTTGAACAAATGTGAAAAGTTAAAATCCAAAGAACAAAAAGGTAGGCTTCATTTAAAGGGATAATATATATATTTTTTTTATCCCAGATTACCCTTGAAATTTTAATTCAGCATGATATGTAACTCGCATATTCAAGACTTACATAGACCTTATTTTTGTGGTTATCGAACCTAGAAAAATTTTTCGTGTCGAAAATGATTGTATTTTAAAATTGAAAAAGAAGTCAGCATTTTTTTCGTTTTGGGACTTGTCAAAACGCATTTTAGGTGAAAACGTTTCTCAAGCTTTCATATTTTCAGAATCTCTATTAATGTTGTAATTATGACTTCCATAGGAACAGAAATATTGATACTGCTCTTTCAACGCGTGTTATTCAATCCATCATCAGCTGTTATACGTATACTACGCATATATCATGTTTTATTTTTCGATGTCTAATTGATTACAACAATTATCATTTATAAAGACATAACAGCAGTTATGCATAGTAATATCATCCTATCATTACCATAACAATCGAAAATCAAAAATGTCTAAAATCATTTACCCCATACAGTATTTTTGCAAAAGGTAAACAATATGTTATGGTTGCCATTTTCAGTTTTCTCGGCTCCAATGCATTAATTTTATTTCTCATTTGAGAACTTAATAATATGAAGCATGGTTAATTGAAATATCTAACATTTCCTATTGGTTTAATACGATCCATATCATCATATGATTCATTGGGAGTTCTTTCAAAAAACTGATTATGGTTATCATACTTTTCAATTTTTGAATTACATGTGTTTCTGAATTTCAGCTTGTAAGTCAACGGCACAGTTAATGTCTTCCGGAAGTGCTGCTCTGGGCTGTGAATCGTATCTACAATCACAGAAAAACGCATGCTTGTGTAAAAGGAACTCAGAACTTTGACATATATGAACACTAGGCAACAGTTTTAAGCATTAAGCAACAGAATGGACAACACATAACTATAGCGGCAACATCATTTATCACTAGGCAACACTATATGCAGCACTATATCAACAATAGGCAACACTATCCATTAATAGACAACATTATTCAAAAATAGGCAATCCTTTTCAAAGATAGGCAATAACAGCTTTATACATTACTTATGCTCAATATAGATATTTTTGATTGACTTTATATTCATTTTAAACATCAAGGTTGGAGGAATTCGAGTGATGAATCATGAATGCTGTGTATCTTGATATAATTTCATTACTTCATGTGCTACGTAAGGTAGAGAAGAACGGTGTTGATATTTGCTAGTCTAGTTGGTTGAAAAGTTTGATGTAGTTTTTGATATTAGTACAATTTACCTATACATATCTGAGATTGAGTGATTATCGCACGTACGGACAGCATAATACTCAGGAAATTTGAACTATTTATATTGTAAATGCTCCGCCCTCTACATGGAGATGAATTGCAACTCTATAAAAGATGTCTCGCTTGTATGTTATCTTTTCAATTTGTGGCCCGGGGGTTAAAGGGACACAGTTAAGAAATAAAGTATATACAGAATGCCGTGCTTCCGTTTATTCGTGCTTTGTATTTAACTATACCATGATATGCTATTGTTCATTCTAGTCACTTTTAAGTTAAAGTGGCAACAAGGCCTATAGAGAGAAAAATTGAAAATTTTCTGAGCTATCGGGGCAACGTTTGGCTTAAAGGAATATTCCTTGCCAAACCATCTCTCTCCTCATATGGTAGCTATAACCATATATATGCTTGCCATGTTTAGCAAAAGACGCAAAAATGTTTTGATATGGTCAAATTTGATCACTTAGAAATGTGATGCTCAATTCCAGTAAGCTGCCATCTTTTAAAATTTCACACAGGAAGTGATGTCATCGACTCTCAACTTTGCATATAGCATTAGGTGAGGAGCTATTAAAAATTACAAAACCAGCTAAATATTCTTTTTCAACTTTGTATATTATTTAATCCTTCTGAAAATCTCTTCTTTTATTCTAAGTTGACAAGCCCTGAAAATATTTTTGCACAGAAAGTAATGATCACTTGTCTAGAAGGGATTTTGTGCTACTTTCCTATACTGTTATGGGCAAGGTAATAGAAGTTGAGAGTTGATGACATCACTTCCTGCAAGAAATCTTAAAAGATGGCAGCTCACTGGAAATAAGCACTAGATTTTTAAATGATCAATATTGACCATATTAAAACATTTTCCCATGTTTTGCTAAATATGGAAACTATATATATGATTATAGCTACCATATCAAGAGAGAAAGGGTCTGGCAAGGAATATTCCTTTAACATCTTCTTTGTCAGAGACCTATTTTCTTAAAAAGCATGGACATGCCTATATATTTCAGCATTTAGAAGAGTTAATTAATTTTAAAGTTTCCATAAGAGTAAACCCACTTATAGATTTTTAAGATATACATTTCAAGATTTTAACTGCAGGAATTCGGAAATAACGTTCATTCAGGGGGTTTCTTTATAGATCACAATCCTAATTTTGTTTTCAGAGATATTTTATCAGCTAAGTTAAAGACGATTTAAGATGCAGAAATGTCCAAATTCAAAAGATTTGAGAAGGGGGATGACGACTTTTATAACTTTTTGCCAGCTGATAATCTTGCCAGCAGATTATCATGAGATAAAGTAAAGAACTATTGGGTGACATATTTTTTCTTACATACCTTCGTGTATATACATACAGTTTATACAAAAAACAAACTTAACTACTACAGTAACAAACATTAACAATAACATTTATACGTGAGCATTCTTTTGCCTAGCCTCGATTTAAAAGTTTTATTAGTTTATTTTTGTTTGAATTCATTAATTTCTCAAACTTCTGTGTGTTTTGACTTGTGGAATAACATTTAGGAAGGTACCTTTTTCTAATATAACTTAAAGCTTTGCATTCTAAAATGACATGAAATTCATCACCTATTCCTATTAAAACATAAATCACAAAACCTATTTTCCCTCGGAATATATTTATAACATCCTCTTTCAACTGGAAGTTTGTTATTACACAGTCTGTACATAATTAGAACCTTTCTATATTTATCTGGCATACAAATAATGTTCAAATTTAAATTCTGTTTTAAATATTTTGGAAATGTAACTTTTTGTACTGGTTTTCATGTCGTTTTCATGTCATTTCATTTCATGGAAAAACTGATCTTGCATCCTTAATTTTACTTTTCTGATAAACTCTGCATAACTGACTGACTTTGGATTTATCCCAAAATTTGACATGCCAAGATTGTTTAATTGTGTTTTTCACGTGAGTAAACCGATTTGAGGAAAATACATTTCTGTTAAGTTATACATATTTTTACATAATTCATAAAGTAATATTTTTGGATTCCTAAATAATATTGAAAACTATAATCTTTCGTCTTACCTTGTACCGGCAGGTCCAATCTCCGAGCCTTTCGTCCAGTGCAATCCGTACCTCCTTTAGTGAAGGTACGCAACGAACGAAATGAATTTTGAGAATGTGGCAGGTCGTTTAAATCAAAATGTAATGAAAGCACGACAATGGATGTCCTGTAATACGTCAACCCGATATGTGCTAAGTTATGATGGAGAATACCCTAGTAATTATATTAGGCAGCCATTAATGGCTGATTTGCGAATTAATTTCAGCAGGATCAAATTCAGTCGTAATCTTGTTTCAGTGATGGCTATCATAAGAGATATCTAAGAGATGAATTATGTACATACACGACTATAGAGTCTATAGAACATCAATGATTTCTAACCGGACAACACATCGCTTACTTACAATTTCATCCAAATGATCGGCCAGGTAGAATTGTAATCCTGATGGACCCCATGTTTGACCGGCTTGAAATTTGGCAAATTTTGCTACATCACACGTAACGGTGGAGTGATGGAGGTCGAAACAAGCATGAGGTAACTTATATTAGACTACTCATATAAAAGTAAGAGTCACAACCAGTGGGGAAGCCATGATATCCTTAGCAAAGTCAACAAGTGAGCATGCATAAAATAAATCAACACATTAACGTTGACATCTATCGAATGTATTTGAAAAAATAAGTAAACTCACTATACTTGTGTCAAGTCAGAACACTTCGGCAAGGGTCGGAATAATTGGGTAGCCAAGAACACTTGGGCCTCCACACACGTCTGTTGAAGCCCAACTGTTCTGAGCTACTCGAGCGTCCGAACTCATGCCAAACTACTATCTAGTATTCCGACAAACGATTTGTTACAGAATGACGGCATCTGACATCACACAAACGACTGCTATGTTTAACAACAATATATGTCACAATGTGTCATATTTGAAATATATTATGTCGTATGGATATCTGGTTACATATTTAGAGGTGTAGATATATTGACTTGGGTCATCCTCAATATTTATTATTAATAGTTTTCAACAAGAATATTTCAAAGATTTGAAAAACAATGTTTACAACCTTGTAACCTGTATGCACTTCATCAAATACCTCAGTTCCTATTCCCCGTTGTAATCTAGGGTACTTAAGGGTAACTTCTTTCTGTCCCTGTGTATGACGCTTAGTCAGTGTAATGTTACAATAGAAAGAACGTTCAGGCATGAGTTGGAAAGACAAGCGCCCCTCCACAGAAAATATTAATTTTCCCACAAGATTTCAAATTTTTGTTAAATATCGGCTTCACTTTTTGTGTATAACAAAGATGATGTCACACTTGTAAAGGCATTTATTTTCTAAATATGTTATCATTTGGAGATGTAGGTGGGTGGAGATAATGTTACAAATTGAATCATGTTTTATAGGATCGAACGAATTCCGCTGTCGACGTTTCATATCTCTATTAGTGAATTGAACTCCGATTTCCACACCCAAACCCCAAAGTCGCCCCAAAGTAAATAAAAAACACAGTGACTAATCCCCTTTGAAGTAGCTGTTCCAGCAACCGCAGTTATTTGAACAAAATGGATGACATACCCTGTATGTGGATGAGTTGCAATGCAGATCATTGTCAATTTAATGCACAATGGAATCGTTATATTAGTTTTGGTTTATATTAATGTAAACAATTTCACACATAAACAACAATATCACCAAAATCAAATAAAGTTTAAAGGTATTAGAAACTATGTAATAATGTTATGTACACGTACAATATGGAAGACTAACATATTGTAAAAGAATTGATATACACTCCCCTCCATAAGTTTGGCAACCTTTTTTCCCCATTGAACTACGTGTTAAAGCCTCTTTACGTTTGAATTTTTATTTACTTAACCGGCGATGAAATAACTTATAATATTGATGGAAACGTAACTTGACTTTATTTCCAATACCTCCAAATTTTCTCAATTTTTTTCCTGAATTACAATAGGTCGAACATTGATGATAAATTTGATGAATTTTTGAAAATCGTCATTCCAATGTAATCCAATGGGAAATGGAGGGTTCGGGGCAAATCAGAAATCAGGATATATTTTCAGTAAAAGATTCAGCAAAAAATATTTTTATATAGAAAATTGAATTGTCTAACTTTTTTGAACACTAAGTGTTTAGTTTATTTGATGAATATTAAAGTTACAGCGCTTCAAAGTCATTTTTGAAAATAATTTTTCGCCTCATGTGTTATTTCAACGGGAGAGGTTTTTTGAAAAACAATTTTGACTTTAAAGCCCTATAACTTTGTTGAACCTGAAGAAACATATCAATTTTTTGTTAAATAAAGTTAGCAAATTCAATTGCCTGCCTAACTCGCATTTTTTGCAAGGACTCGGATGGTTGGACATTCTGTCATATGACTTGCGGCAAACCTACCATTTCCCATTGGTTAACATGGGAATGTCGATTTTCAAAAATTCATCAATTTTATCATAAATTTTCGACCTATTGTAATTGAGGAAAAAAATTGAGAAAATTTGGAGGTATTGGAATTAAGGTCAAATTACATTCCCATCAATAGTTTAAGTATTTCCATCACAGGTTAAGTAAATAATAATCCCAAGGTAAAGAGGCTTTAACACGTAGTTCAATGGGGGGAAAAAGGTTGCCAAACTTATGGAGGGGAGTGTACATTCAATTGATATACATTCAATGATTTTGTTCGATTTGAATTCGATGCATGGCATATTTAAATGCTTAAAGGGGTATTTCTTACAGACCCATTTCTCTCTTTGCGATAGCCATTTTTATCCATATTTCACTAAACATGGAAAATGTTTAAAAATGCAGTGCTCATTTCAAGTAAGCTGCAATATTTTCAGATTTCACACAGGAAGTGATGTCATCGACTATGAACTTTTATAAATTTTCCCCAAGGAGGATTGGCAGCCATTATTCAAACTCGAGTAATATTGTTATACTTGTTAACTTGGAATAATGAAATGTTATATTAAAGAGATAAGTGATAAAGAAGCTTCAGCTGGTTTTGCAGTTCTTACATACCTTCTTACCATATATGCTATATGCAAACGTTAGAGTTGATGACATCAATTCCTGTTTGAACCGTTAAAAGATGGCGGCTACGTGAAATGAGCGCTGCATTTTTAAATGATCAATTTTGACCATACTAAAACATTTTCTCATATATTTTTATACTGTTGATTTTATATAGTTAGTTATAGCAATCATATTAAAACAGCAATGGGCTTGCATTGCATGCAAGGAATATGCCTTCAATTCCAATACTTTAACCCAGCTTTCTGCTATTTCTTTTTTTGTACATAAGTTAACATAAGTTGTTGCTTATTTGGCTGTATTTGCTTCATCGTGGTTCTATAACGGCACTCAAGGACACGTTTAGTCCACGGTGTATGATCCTTAGGGGTAAAGTTCTAATCGACTCTGTTGGAACTGATGATTTTTAATCAGGTATAAAAATTAAACGTGGTCATAGCATGAAGTCATCTCTGTTTGCATCCCAGAGAGATGAGATAATCAGAACATTTCGTTACATCATTCAAAATACTATTTGGATGAGTTTGAAAATGTTTAAGCAATTTTAAGCCATAGCATTGATCAGTCAGTATACGTACATATTTTAAGATGCGCCTCATGAGGCATTTTAAAACGGAAATCCTGGTTTTCAGATTAAGCAAAAGAAGACAATCCATGCGATATCCTGTTTGCTATGTATAAAATAGCAATAGAATTGATTTGGGAAAATTTGAATGTTTAATTGGAAAAATGGACAATTAGATTGTTTAGGAAGGCGCTCTGAAAATCGTGTTTGGTTTTTAGAATATATTCTTAACTGCTTTTTAAATGTAGAATTATAACACTGTCCAAGACAAATTTCAAAATCGACAAGTTGATCACAAATAGCCTGCCCATTAATTTTTAAATGCGAGATTTCTTACAAAATGTAACCATTCACTCCCCCCTAGAGTATCGAGCACATCAATTTCCATTCATCCTATAACACAGGCTGGTATCAAAATATTTGTCCGCTGTGACGGAGCATGCTATTTTTCATAAAAACACTAAGAATACTTCACGATTTATTTTTTTACTCATATCTTTCGTTATACAATACAAAATTACTTACTCCATGCAATGGATATATCATTTGCGGGTAATTTTCACTTCTGTTTGAAGTCCAATTACGCTGGGAAGAAAAACTATTGAAAATGGCGCCGGAGTATCATACTTCAAAATGCACCATTTCTTGTTTAACTTTCTAATGGCACGATATAGTGACACGATAATATTTACACATGGTTTCAGCATAACTATGAAGGTATAAATGAGATGTTGATGTATTTGGTCTTTTTAATTCTTTTATAAAAAATGATGTTTAATTTTTTTGTCCGCTGTGACGGAGCAGTTGCAAATGTGAACTGTGAAAATGCTCCGTCACAGCGGACAAAAAATATTAATATTAAAATTAAAAAGACCCAATTGCATTAATATCTCATTAATACATTCAGAGTTATGCTTAAAACATATGTTAATATTATCGTGTCTCTATATCATGCCATTAAAAAGTTAAAAAAGAAATGGTACATTTTAGAGTTTGATACTCTCTCGCCGTTTTTAATAGATTTTACTCCTAGCGTTATTGGACTTCATACGGAAGTGAAGGTTACACGCAAATGATATATCCATTGCATGGAGTAAGTAATTATCTTTGATATAACGAAACATAATATGAGTTAAAAAATAAATCGTGAAGCATTCTTAAGTGTTTTTATGAAAAATAGCATGCTCCGTCACAGCGGACAAATCTTTCGATACCAGCCTGTGTATTAGTGAATTAATTTTGTTGATTTTTGTAAAAATATTCTAGAATTAATGGTCTTATTGCTCCATGTCCATTGACCCAGGATAGCACTTTTACAATTTGTCACAAAATGTAGGTCAAACGCTAAAAATTTAGGCTGGTATCGAAAAAGTTGTTCGCTGTGACGGAGCGTGCTATTTTGCATAAAATACCCAATACATCAAGATCTCATTAATACCTTCAGAGTTATGCTGAAAACATGTGTAAATATTATCGTGTCACTATATTGTACCATTAAAAAGAAATAAAAGAAATGGTACATTTTGGAGTATGACACACCGGCCCCGTTTTCAATAGCTTTTACTCTTAGGCTTGTTGGACTTCAAACAGAAGTTTAAGTTTCCCGCAAATGATATATCCATTGCATAGAGTAAGAAATTTTCTTTGGTATAGCAAAACATATGAGTAAGAAAATAAATTGTGTGATTTTCTTAGTGTTTCTATGCAAAATAGCACGCTCCGTCACAGCGGAGCCTGTGATAGTCTATCGGAATATGTAATTAATTGAAGTGCAACTATATATAGTTCGAATACAGTTGACTACACGGCTACCGAATATACAATACGATAAGAAATGATCCTCAGGTACTACTCAGGTACACCTCTTCACTCATGTAATAGTATGGCAATTGACTCTTACCTAAAATAACAGTAAAATTAATAGACTAGATGCGAGTAGATAGTTGGTTTACGTCATTAAAAATTCAAATTTCGGCCAAACTAATGTCATATTTGGAATCTACATGTAAAATGAGTTTTTCAACTTTGAAAATTTAATTTTTTTTGAAAATGTCCCCAAAGACTCCATGTTGTAAAATCACAAAAGGTGAAAGAACTTTGTAATACCCTGTCCAATGGTTAACGTTGTTTTATCAATGTGCGAAAATCAAATCAGTGCACCGATTAAAATTGTTAGCAAATCAAAAATTGTTGAAAAATTAAAGATAGAAAAGGAGAGAATATATTATGGAGGTATTTGAAATGTTTAATGGGATTAACAGGATTGAAGTTGAGTCTTTCTCCAGCAACCAGCTTAAAACATTAGAAGTCATCCAAAGAAATATAATTAATCGTTTCTCTAGGAAGTAAGGAAAAACATGACCTGGTAAATCATTGTTTTGAAATCATGCCACGGTTTCCGAGATATGTAAGATTTTCACATATTTCGGATTCCTATAGAGGTCCATTGTGAGTTTGGAATTTTAAACTAAACACTTCAAAACTTAACGGTAAAAGTTGAATATAAGGTGTATACTGCTCTGTTGTTTAAAATTTATGATTCATTAAAGCAATAAAATATTACATATCATGAAAATCTCTTTCTGGGCAGGAAAATTATAATAAAGGCTTAAACAGGGTATGAATCGTAAACTTGTGTTCAAAACCCTCATTAGATGGGCCACCAGTGAGTAAATATTTCCCCATATACATTTTATAAAGATTTAACGACCAGTCACTATCATAGTGAATTCAGATGAAAATAAGTCAACAGATAAGATGAACTCGTCTAAGCCTATGATCCTACACGAATTTTAAACACTCTCGATTACTGGAAGTTTTTTTAATCAGGGCGTTTTTCCCGCCCCTATCATACACATCTAATAAACATAGTAAATAGTTCTGAATATGGGGTGGAGAAATAATTGTAAGATAAAGAAATATGATTTTAATTCGTAGATATGTCACATTTTTTTCTGCCAAAATAAATAGTAAATTAAGAGTGTCAAGCTTGTTTATGATAACTATATTTCTCTGACCTTGTTGATATTAATAACTTGTAAATAGTATGAGAGATTTGATATCATTGAAAACTTGTTTAGAATCGTTCTATTCGGTTCAATATGTCTAAAAATGAGGCAATGCTCACCGTCTCAAACAATTCACATGTCATCGGTACATTATTTATAGTCATTTTGTGAACTTGTGTTCAGGTGTATCAAAGATGTTACAGTAGCTATTAATTGTACCCATCAGTTTGACATTTTATATTTCATTTCCTCATTTTTAATAGTCATCTTTTTTATTCTTTAAACATCTCAGAGCCTTTGATGCCAATCTCCTTTGTTGGCTGATTGTTCGGGATAGTTGCTCGTGTAATTGGTATCATAGCCAGAAAAGTGTGCTCTGTTGAGTCGGCTCATAGGTACCAGGCTATGAGAGTTGGCGTTTTACAACCGGTCGCCGTGAGCAAAATACAAATCACTACATCTAACCACCTGGGCAAAACACGATAGTAATTACATCGTTCATTATATGGTTAGCCCTAATGAATATTTATTAGGAACTTCCCGGGATTCATCAGGAACCAATAAGATGTGTGAAACCAAAACACGTGACGGAATCACGTGACCAATTAATCATACGGGATATTATATTTGTGTTGCACTATAATTATTGTCAAACCATTTCCTCTATGACTCTTATGCGACAACAGAACAAAATGTTTGTGGTTCTCCACTCAATAAGACGTGGTCTTCTCAATCCGACGTAACCGGGGCCTCTGCAGAGAATAACAGTTTGGAAGCAAAAATAAATAAAAAATCAGTAAAAATGGAGATTAGTTACTTCAACATTGTTACTATTATTGGAGTGGTTGTTTATATGAATGCAGAATTGGTATCAGGAAGACGATTAAGACGACTGCGAGAGGGAAAAATCAAGGTATAGTAATTTCTTTCAATTAGCCTAAATATGTAAACACAATATTCTTTCGTTAGGTATGGATTCAAAATTAAATTTATATCTTTATTAGATAAGACACAATAGTGTACGTATGTAGTAACACTATTTCGCCGTGGAATACAGCAAACAAGTACTTATTCCAGGAATCTTTGACTACTTTATGCATTTATTCATTGATTTCTTATTTTTATTTATTAAAGTCACATAAACACATTAACAAAACCGTGATAAAGACAACTTAGGGGGTGTATGTTTTCTCACTAACTAAATATTTTGAATTCTGTTTCATGTGATTGGAGTAATACAAGACTGTTTAAATATACATTCAATCAATGAGCCAGTCAAGGCTACTTGTCTTACTCATTCTGAGATCCTTAATATCCTGGAATAACAGTTTACTATTTTATTTGGAATCAAGAAAATGTAAACTGTAATCTGAAAACCTTGCCTTTTGTTTTACAAGTTTTCAAAAAAAGTTGAACATCGTATTGAGATATTGTATATACCGTAATCAAATTTGAATTATGCAATACATACTACAAAGTACAAATGTATGAATAGATCATAATAGTGAGTCGTGTTTCCATCGTTGTGTCATAGATGGGAAGTGATTGAACAAGGGATAGCCAAAGGAAGTCTATAACATTGAATAACACAATTCAAGACCGTTAACATTACTACCAAGTGTTTGTGGTTTCACTCCCACAGCCTCATCACTGCCAAAAGTAAAAAAATAATTGGAACACATTTCCAGTTCTAATTTATTTTTTGTACTTTTGTTTGATAATTTAATGAGTCAAGTAGTGGTCATTTCAGTTGAATATATGACGAAAGATATGCGTAAAAATCAATTTAGTGCTAAAGATGTGACGCGATGTATGTCGAAGAAGATAGTCTCGGGGTATAATAATCATCTCTTGTTTCTCACAACACGTCTTCTTACTGACATGCCCATAGGCAACAATTTTGGCATTTCATTCATAATAAATATTCCCATTGCAAAATCACAACGTTCAATTTGCTATAAAACAAACCAACGGAGACGTAATTTAATTATTTTTTAAATCAATAATTGACGCTGATTACTACTTAATGTACAAGGAGTCATTAGAGATCGTCAGCTGTCAAATGAGTGGCCCCTGGACACTAATAGAGCACTCTGGAATCTCTATAAATACAAGTTGTATTGACTACTTAAGTGCCAAAAAGAAATAACGTTTTTGGGGGTGACATACATCAACAAGAAATATACGATGATAAATGTGTTTAAATTAGCTTAAGGTCTCAATGTGAATGAGAATAATATCAACATGTTTAAAATTATCATCATTTGACCAAGAAAAATGACATTTTTATGTAAACTAATTACAAATTAATTGTAACTATTATGACTAAAGAAAGTCAAACATGCACTTCAACATGTGAAGCGTTCTGACTTTAAAACATGATAACCATACATATGTCGTTTGATTGCGTAATCCGATTCTTTAGATGTAGCTAGGTACATGCAACGAAGAGCTTACAACATGCTCCGTAATAAATTTGAAATTCTAAAAATTTGAAATATTAAAATGCACTTAGTCTTGGAGTATTCCAGGGTATTTTGTGGTCCTAACTGGCGTAATTCCAGGATGCTTTCATAGCCAGGGGGCTTTTTCACGACCTATAGGTTAAACAGCACTCTGTAGTCGTATTCAGGGCAATAGCATAATAATTGCATATCATAAACAATGAATTTCACATTATATTCTTAACTTCCTCAAGAAATAGAACGTAAGGGTGACCAAGTGTATGTCAAAGAACTAGATTCCAAAAAGTGCATTTTTAACTTAGAGCTACAGTATAGTAACGATATTGAATCTGGCATAACTAACGACTGAGGAAAACTAAGTTTCATAATGCTAAAAACAGCATCTCGAAATTGCACCAATTTCCTACAAATGAAATAATTTCCACTTTTATTATGAAGTAAATTGTCAGATATATTAAGTCCGGTTATTATCTAAATTTCATATAGTCATTCCATCCAAATAAGTTGTCACTAATAATATCTATTATCTTCCCAATGTATTGTATCTTATACTCACCTACAACTTTAATTCTCCTTTAAATCATTCAATGTTTCATTAATTATTTACTTATTTCAATTTTCAATTCTTCATGTTCTTTAATACTCGTAAACTCTTTTGCTTTCTATAATTATGTTTTATCAGTTATAAAATGATTACTAAGCATTTTTAAAACACCACTGGTCCCCAACTGGTTATCTTATTCTTTAACTTTAGATGGAATACCATTGAAGTGTTCACTGATTGCCACCTGATTATAAAAACGTTACGTCTTTATAACAAAATGGATGAACTTCTATCGCAAGAATGTTTTATTTTCACCAACAAAGAAGTTGATTTGTATTTGTATTTTACCCGTGTGTCAAGAGTAACACCCGGTTACTGAAAAGCTTGTCAGTTACGAGCAAATATATCCAACATCTCCAATAATCGAATAAGAATTCCTCACTTCAGCAACCAGGACGTTATCTGACGATTTTAATAATGTCTTGGTTGCATTGTGTTAACGTCCAATAACGTCCTGGTTGCTGTAGTGAGGAAATCTTACTCGATTATTGAAGCTGTTGGATTTATTTTCTCGTGACTGACTAGGTTTTCAGTAACCGGATGTTACTATTGACATATAGGTAAAATGTTTGGATATAAATTGACCTTGTACTTAGTGAAAATGATGAAAATAACAATTTCCTCCTGCAGAAGTTCATCCATTTTGTTATAAAGACAAAACGTCTTTATAACCAGGTGGGGACCAGTGAACACATCAATGATATCCATTTAAAGAATAAAACTCAGATATTTTCAGATATTGGTCAGTTTTTAACCTTGTATTTTAGCTAGGACAATAATTATAAATGTTGATTGATATTGGTTGTTTATTATTAATGCCAACTAAGTTTGATACCATATTATGTCTATACGAAGACGTCACTTGAGAACCTTAACTTCTCCCCTTTTAAAGATTTTAACGATCAACTCGTCAAAACTGTACCTTTTCATCATATCTTTATTTGAATCTTTTTATCTATTTCAGCTTGACCAAGATGCGCTGCAAGAGAGAAACAGAGCAATTATTGATATGGAAGCGGAGAGTACTAGAACAGTTCAGACTGGTCGAAGTCTGACCACATATGACAACTCTTATACTGAGTGGTCCGAATGGACACGATGTACCAACAAATGCAGACAAAGGAGGGCGCGGAAATGCACTGACTCAAATATATGTGGAGATAGTGTGCTGAAAGAAAAACGATATTGTTACAAAAAACAAGCAAAATGTGCTAAAAGAGGATCGAGATTAAACAAGAAGAAGTCAGCCAGATGGTTGGAAGATATTGTTTATGAGCTTTTATATAATGATTGGAGTGAGTGGGGCGCTTGTACAAGATCTTGTAAAACGAGGAGGACTCGATCATGTGCCATTAAGAAATGGTGTCGTCATACTGTTTTGCAAGAGGAACGCAAATGTTACGCTTCCGGAGGAGCGTGTGAGAAACGCAATGATGAAATGGAATCGGAGGAAGTGAATAGGCCAAATGATGAAGAAGGTATGTATTACTTATTTAATATGTTATCTTTCATAAATGTCAACGCCCTTTAGGCGATCGATAGTTGATAAAAGTGCATGTTTATTGTCTTTGAACTGTTGTACTATCTTACTATCTTTATTGCCCTTCGAATGAAAATTCAAAAAGCATGTCCTATAATTTGAGTTACGTACAGGAAAGATAGACATAGTAATGTAGTCCCTAGTGTGCACCACTACACACATGCAAACACAACCACAAACTGCAGTCTTGTTTTGAGCTGTGGACAATTGAAGTACCACTTTGTTCAATCATAAATTACGCATTATAGACTAATGTCTCTGTAATATGGTTTCACATCTCTCACATCCACATCTCTCAAAAGCGTTAGGTAAAGAGGGACTCTGATAAATCAGAATGACACTAAGGGGACATTCCGAGGTAGAGAATAAAGCTCTCTGGGCAAGCTTGCCATATTAAAACTTAGACTTAGACTTATATCAATGATGTAGTTTTTCAAATAAAATAAAACTAAATACACTCTGATTCTGCTCCAATAATAACACTTATATAACAATCAACCTGTTATTCTTTTAGAAGGAAAATCTGATAGAAATGAAAAGCCAAAGGGTCCTGGGAAACATGACAAACCCGAAAAATCTGATAAACCCGTAAAAACAGATAAACCTGAAAAAGCAGATAAAACAGAACGACCAGAGAAATCAGAGAAGAAAGACAATAAGCCATCAAAAAATCCAAAAGACTCGGAAGAAGAATCAGATGCACCTAAAGTGAACTTTGCAGATGTTGAAAAGAGTTGTGGGATTCGAGATGTAACAAGTTCATTACGGATCGTTGGCGGAAATATTGTGAGACGCGGAAGTTGGCCTTGGCAGGTGAGGAAAATCGGGGAACAGAACCGAAGAATTTACATTTTAAAATTCGCCTAATAATTCATGAGAAAATGAAACCAGCATTCCTGTCAATTCTATTCATTGTAACAAAACGTGCATCAATATTTCCGAAATCGAACTCACAATGTTTTCACTTGGCATCAGACCTTTTAAGATGGGATTCTGGCTATGGTAATGATCATAATTTTCTCCTGATGACCATTGTTAATTATCGTGTTTTATAGATTATGGCGAGGGCTTTGTTAATGGATGTTGACCGGATTTCGTCTATCCCACATCATTTGAGACTGAATGCTAGATATCTTTTAAGAGTTGTTAATCTCAGCTAGTATCTGCAACGATTTTTGATGTTATGCGTATTGGCTATATATTTTACAATTTTATCTTCAACAAGTATTATTGTAATGTCTTCACTTTGAATGAAATGTCCCTTGGTGTTCTGCTCTGGTATGTAGTGCTAGTGTAATCATAGTCTTATTTCCGATCCTATTTCCAGGTTGCCGTTATGACGAGATGGAAAGAACAATACTGTGGTGGCACCCTTATCCATCCCCAGTATGTGGTCACGGCAGCACATTGCTTGAGAAAAAAGGGAAGGCGACGTAGGGTCCTTGTCAGAGTAGGCGAGCATGATTTCGGAGATTTTGAAGGATCAGAAATAGACATCCGTATTGCTCAAGATTTTGTCCATAAAGATTTCGATCTGGAGACAATAGACAGCGATATTGCTGTTCTAAAACTAAAAACTCCCGTAGAAAAAAGCAGATTTATTGATTTTGCTTGTGTCCCACCATCTAACATGACAATCACCCCAGACATGAGGTGCTACGCAGTTGGGTGGGGAAAAATGAAGGCGTCTCATGTATTTGGGACGGATGTTTTGCGTGAGGTACAAATCCCCGTTGTGGACAAAGAGACTTGTCAAAAAGCCTTTGACTATGACATTACCTCAAACCAATTATGCGCCGGTTATGAAACTGGTGGAATTGACTCATGTGCGGGAGATAGTGGAGGTCCGTTGCTCTGCCAGGCAAACTTGGATGGTACTGCGAGGTGGTACGTTTATGGCGTCACCAGCTTCGGAGAAGGATGTGGAGCCAAAGGGAAATATGGTATTTATGCAAAAGTGACCACATTTTCAGAGTGGATTCGAAGTATTGTGTCATAAATCAATCTATTTACCCGGTGATTTTATGGTAGCTATACGATAAGGGATTTCTCACCTGAATGTGTAATACTGGTCATCACCAAGTTAAAAAAACGTTCTGAGATATTGGTAAAACGCCCCCTCGTTCGGCAACTAAATTAGGACGAGTGAGTTATAAAAACCAGAGAGGACCCAAGAAAACAAAAAGTTAATCTAATTGTCACTATTATACTTTTGTATTGTGAAACTCTTGAAACAATTGAAATAACGGTGTCGCCGCTGTAATTTTTCACAGTAGTGGCCAAAATATTGAATGGTTCTTTTAACGGAACTATTGTGAATTATTGCGAACCCCCCCCCCCTGGCCAAAATTTCTTTCAAAATCATGCAGTTTTTCACCATTCTGACTGTCTATTTTTTGAATGATTTTTGGCCAAATTTGCCAAAGTGAACCCCCCATAGATATTTTTGGAAAAGTGAACCCCACCTCGGAAAATTCTGGCTACGGGCCTGTTATTGAAAGTCACCCTTATGGTAATGCTGAACTCAATGTAAATATGTGTATGGTTTTTGGAACTGATATATCTTAAGCTTGTCAAATTTGAATTCCTAGAATTGTTGAATGTTTCAAGGTACATTATGAATTTGACGTTATAGTGTTGAAACAAAACGAAGATGTTAGCCAACGCGGCTAATGTGACAGCTACTCAGGCCCGTAGCCAGGATTTGCCAAGGGGTGGGGGGGGGGCAGTTTTCAAAAATGGCTACTATAGGGTTATGAAGTTTCAGCTCGAAGAATATTTTCATAAACTTCAATATTATATATTGAAGAGAATAAAAGCGTTAAGCACCAAGAGGGATTTGATATGGGGAATTTTAAAAGGATGATATCAATATGCGTTTCCTCGAGAAATATCGATATCGATATTCCCCACATCGTCCCGACAAGTGAATAACGATCATATGCCATGGTCAAGAGCAATATCTACTAACTGAATACGTGATTTCTACCTCGTTACAGCATCAATGATCACGTGAGATGGTATTGCGCATGCGCGGACATACATCACATCAGTGTATTGCAGGCACGCTTCGAAAGCGGACGTGTTTACGAGTCAAGCGTAGGTAATACTTTGCATTAGGTTTTTAATGCGTGTCAATAATTTGATACACTTTGTTACTATAGCTTGTCTTGTATTGCTACTGTGATTAATATTACAGTTTACACTGGAAACGGTATCAATAATTTGATATTATTTCCTAAATTCGAACGCCAAATAAGTTTGGTGTAGTTCATGCAAAATTCCTTATTCGGATTCCTGCCAGTAAACCTCAAGGTTTACTTACTGATAGACCGTTGTAAACGTGTTTATACATTTGAATCGGTATCAACAATTTGATAACCCTTCCTAATTATACGCCAAATAAGTTTGGTGTATTTTATGCAGAATTCCTAATTAGAACTTTTGCCAGTAAACCATACGGTTTACTTATTGCTCCGTTGCAAACGTGTTTGAATTATGGAAACGGTATCAATAAGTTGATATTCCTTCCTAAATTCGAACGCCGAATAGGTGCACGGTTAATTTACTGCTAGACCGTTGCGAACGTGTTCATGCATAAATATCTCTAGTTCACGCTCAATAGCTTTTGACACGTGTACTGGTCCGTTATAGGCCACCACGTTTCTTTATAATTAGAGAAAATCATGTCAAAAACAGAGGTATACTGTAGAAGGGATAAATCCCTCGATGATAGTCTGTTGGACCAACCTGACGAGTTGAGTGCGGGAGGTTCGTGTTCCGGCGTTTGTAACGCAGAATTGACTTCAAAATCAGATCTGGATAAGTCCAAAAGATCTTCAAAGAAGGCAAAAATGTCGAAGGACATGGAATTAGAATCTCTTTCTCAGGCTATAACATCCTCTATTTCCACTGGACTAAGTGCCATAAAGGACACAATGTCAGGGATTATGGCTTCTTCAGTAAAAGATCTGCAGAAGTGCATTCAGAGCCGTCCTTATGAGGTTGACCAATACGACGACCAAGAAGAGTCGCAATTCATGGATTACGATCAAGATGATCAGGATTCTCTGGATAATGAACCAGAATTCAAGAGACGAAAGGTCTCTGAACCATTAGATCAGCCAGGTACCAGCCAGGTTTCATCTTTAATGAAGACTTTAAAATCGAAAGTGAAATCTGTCGATGAACAAGGACCTCCCCTTGTTGATTCGACAGCTGATCTTTTGACAGACATTATGAAGTCAAATTTGGATGAAGATGAGGAAAAGTCAAAATACGACAAGTACAAGACTCCATCAAATGCTCCATTATTGTGCGCAGCTAAAGTGAACGAGCAGATATGGTCTCGTGTTTCGACAGATGTTCGATCTAATGATCTGAAACTCCAAAAGGCCCAAACTCCACTCGTCAAGGCCGTAGTTGCATCAACTCGTGCTTTGGAACTAATCGATGAGATGAAGCAAGATTTGGGCTTGTCGACCGACCTGTATGACGACAAATTGGGTAAAATTGCCGAATTGATGTATGATAACATTGAGCTTTCCTGCCATGCTAATTACAAGCTCAATCTACGTCGTCGAGAACTTTTCAAATATGAAATTAGTCAGAATTTTAAACATCTGTGTGCTAAAACAGTGCCCATAACCAAAAATCTCTTTGGTGATGATATTACTAAACAAGTTCGCGACATAGCGGAAATGAATAAAACACAGCTGAAGGGTGTTTTTCCGTCCCAACAATATGGAAGTCGTGGTGGTTTTCGTGGACGTAAAGGACATGGCCGTGGTTCTAACAACCATTTTTTAGGCCGGGGTCAAGGTCGCAAGAAACCATACAATCGCAATGGCAACCAGAAACGCGGACGAGGCAAGAGCCAGAGCCCAGAGTCCAAACAGTAGCAACCATGTCATCTAGTAGTGATATCTCCGAGGTAAGACAATCACTTAGACATATGATTACTGAATTCAAAGGTGGTCGTTTGAAACAAATATATCACATTTGGTTTTCAATTCCTTACATCTGACCAATCTATATTAAATGGCAGAAGCTATGCCATTGAATACAGTGATGATATTCCTCATCAAAATGGTAGTCCACGTTCAATGAATTTCTCAAAAGGAGAGGAATTAGCAATTGATAATGAGGTCCATGAATTTATGAGTAAGGGCATTCTATAAGTCGTACACGATGAATTAAAAATTGGGTATATTTCATCCATATTTTTGACGCCCAAAAAAGATGGATCAAAACCATCTTGATTTTGAAGAAACTCACTGAACACGTGGAATACCATCACTTTAAAATGGAAAAACTTTAGAATGCAATAAACCTCATGACTAAAGATTGTTTCATGTCCTGCGTCGACGTACCTGTAAAGGACGCATTCTATATAGTATACCAATATCTGAACAATCGAGGAAATATTTGCAATTTCGATGGCGTGATAAAATATATCAATACATGTTTGCCACAAGGCTTGTCGTCAGTCCCTCGTATATTCACAAAGGTGTTAAACCCGTTCTTTTCGATATTATGGAATGAGGGTTATATGTCTGTATCTTACATAGATGACGCTTGTTTGTTTGCAAATTCATATGACGACTGCAGGGACAACGTTTAAGACTATTGAACGTCTCCAGAGCCTTGGTTTTATCAATGCATCCTGAGAAGTTTGACCTTGGCCCAAAGCAGGTATTGACATTTCTTGGTTTTCAATTAGATTCAAAATCCATGAGAATCTCGCTTACATCCGAGAAAGCAAACTCAATTCATATCTTGTGTCAAGGTATCGTAAAACGAAATGGTCATTATTCCATTAGGGATATAGCTCAGTTGATCGGAAAGTTAGTTCTTTCCCAGGGCCATTTGCTTTATTGAAATCTTGAATTAGGAAAAACTGCGGCTTTATCAAAGAGCCATGGTAATTTTGATGCAAAGGTCATACTCTCTAATGATGCATTGAATGAAATCCATTGGTGTATAAAAAACGTAAAATCAGCGTTCAAAAATGTTCCACTTTCAGATCCCCAACATATCATACGCACAGATAGCAGCGCTACTGATTGGGGAGCATATGTCGTTACAAACAACGTTCACACTGGTGGACGCTTGAGTTTAGAGGAATCAAGTCACCACATGAATTACTTAGAATTGATGGCAATTTTCATTGGCTTGAAGTCTTTTTGTAGGTCACACATAGTGGTTTACATGTGAGAATCGAGACTGACAATACTACTCCTATGGCATACGTGAACAAGATGGGTGGTACTAAATCAAAGACATGCAAGAAATTAACGAAAGCAATTTTGCAGTGGTGCATATTCAGAAATATTTGGATATCTTGTTCTCATATTGCAGGTGTAGCCAACATTGAAACCGACCGTGAATCACGGGTTTTTCACGACCAGCATAAATGGACAACCCGATGTCTTTCATGTTATTTGTAGTTATGCCAGATGGCCAAAGCCTGATATAGATTAGGTTTGCATCCAGGTTGAATAAACAACTGTCTTCATATGTTTCTTGGGGACCAGATCCAGATGCTATTTTTATTGATGCATTTTCTAGATCTTGGGCTTCGTATGTAATGTATGCTTTCCATCCTTTCAGTCTTCTGATGCGTGTACTACAAAAGATTGACTTGGACAAATCGCCGGAAGCTATTCTGATCGTTCCCGTCTGGCCAACTCAACCCTGGTGGCCCAAAATGCTTCGCTTGTTGATCAACAATCATATCCTAATTCCTCGAAAAACAACCTGTTGACTTTACCATACGCTCTGCATCCATTAGGAAGCATTTGACATTAGTGGCATGTCATGTATCCGGGGATACATCCAGAGCTTAGGCGTTTCGGGCCAAGATTCCGATTTTATCATGCAATCGTGGAGGCCTACAACACAACATCAATACGAAGTGTATCTCCGAAGGTGGGTTCAGTTCTGTAAGTCGAGGAAAATTGATCTCTTTCACCCACCTTTACAAGTAGGCCGGGACTTTTTACGGAGCTATATATTCAGAACTTGAGTTACGTTTCAATCAATATAGCTCGCTCAGCACTATCTACTTGTGTACAATTCAATGACAATATTTCTTCGGGAAGCACCCGTTAAATGTGCGTTTCATGAGTGGTATCTTCAACGTGAGTCTCCGACTCCACGTTACAAGACTACTTGGGACGTTAATATAGTTCTATAACATTTAAAAGGACTTTTTCCTTTGAAAGATTTTAATCTTCAGACTTTAAGTTTAAAGTTGGTAACTTTAATTGCTCTTGTCACGGCTCAACGTTGCCAAACGCTACACATCATAAAGTGCTCAACGTTACAATTATGGTATCAGAATCAGATCCTACGTGTTTATTCATCAAGTTCTGACAATCTCAAACAAAACAAGCCAGGCAATGTGGTTCCCAAAGTTGTCTTGAACAAGTACGGCGATGAACGTACGCTCGTTTGAGTCGTTTCAATGTTGAAAGAATATTTGACTAGAACTACATGTATACGTAATTGTGATTAAAATCCAATTAAAGAATGCTGGCATTATACTGACGTTTTTAAAGCGAATTCGACAAGGTCAGCAGCCAGTTCAGCTGCCAAGATAGGCGGTGCAACAATAGACTGTATCCTAAAAACAGCAGGTTGGAAAACAGATTGTGTTTTCCGAAAGTATTACAATAAACCTGTTCATTGTATTAAGGATTCTAATGAGTTCACTAATTCTATTTTGAACAATCAGATATAGTCTGAATCTGTTAAATATATGTTATCTTTATAAACCTTAAGTTTATATTTTTGTGTTTCGATTTTGAACTGTAGTTTATGCAATTGATTGCATTTCCATCAATATTTCTAATATGAAATATCCAATTATTCAAAATCGTTGTTGGCTAAAGTTTCCAGATGGCTTTAAATCTCTCACGTGATCATTGATGCTGTAACGAGGTAGAATTGAAAGTTAAACGAGACTTATTTATAAGTTGAAGTTTGACTGGAATTCTACCGAGTTACACTGCATCAAGAGATTACGTGCCCACCCTTAAGGGCCCAACCCTTCACGTAGTTAACTTCTCATCATTTGAGAACATTGATGTGTACATTATCTTTTATTAGATATTTGTGCCAGCTTTATCAATTGCCAAATCTTTGTTCTATTTGATTTCCAAAATCCATATTGATAACTGATTTATACTTATGATGATTTGGAAATACCTTTTTCATCTGGCTACTTTAGCTTAGTTAAAGTACTGATGTGATGTATGTCCGCGCATGCGCAATACCATCTCACGTAATCTCTTGATGCAGTGTAACTCGGTAGAATTCCAGTCAAACTTCAACTTATAAATAAGTCTCGTTTAACTTTCAATTATCACTCGCTATTATATCTTACGTACGTTGCTCTGGCCATGGTATCATTGTTGATATCTATGATATTATATTTGAAAGGAGTTTCAAGGTCATGTAAACTCTTTATATACACCATCTGGATGTACACATGTGCAAGGTCATCTTAAGATTGTTGTCACATCCCATATTGTACTTATTAGCAATAACATTGACATATTTCTTACAAACATTTATAAACAGTACAAGTTCACATCCAATATGATTGATCGTCTACGTGAACAAATGGGTCGAGGATGTTTTGTCCCTTTCTACGTTTGTAAAAACTAGAGTTAGCCTTTTATTCCGAACTCTTATGTAACCGAGATTTTCCCTTGGATATAAAAATTAAATGACATTTATTCTTTGAACACGATTATGGGGAATTTGTGTGTTTTTGTTGGCCTACCTCTGCCAAAGAGGATAGTTAATTTGCTGACATTGTCATATGTTGTACCATACGCACTGTATGAATGTAAGGAATGTCATCCTTATCTGAGATAAACATTTAAAATTGTACCAGTTAAGGAAAAGTGCCAATTTAGTTTGAAATAATACAATTTGTACGCAAAGTTCAAGGAAAGGTGACAAAATTGTCAAAAGCCCTCAGCAAAAGTTTAGGAATATGAGATGATTGTGTGATAAGGCGAAAGGATGAGAAAATAGTAAATGGCCGGAATATAATTAAGGTTAATTTAGAATACATATATTTAACCACTTGATTCAGTGATCAATTTGATGAAATTGGAAATTGCCAATTTCTAGATAGTCTACTTCAGTTGGTTAGATTTAATGTACAATCATATTTTAATTTAGATTTCACCAAATATGTTCCTCTAATCTCTGTAATATATAGGCAAATTAACTATTCATTACATGTGATGATTTCAAAATATCCTATTAGCAACAGTACAGACTTCATTACTACGTATTATACTTAATAAAGAATAGCAAGGAGGATTGGCTCACAGAGTGCAATATCGATATTCTGTCCCAAATATGGAGATGTCGTGATTCAAAATTCGAATTCAAACAGCCGTCATTTTGTTCACTTCAACATTTGAATCGTGAGTTTTTGTCTTATTTCTGAACGAAAAATTCCCAAAACTCACAAGAAATGATCGAGATATTGGTTCGAATCTTTTGGACTGTTTATTTTGAATTTACAGTCGGTTATAATTTCAGAAAATAACGACATTTCGACGTTTTCATTGTTGGAAAATATCAAATTTCGATTCTGGGAGCCAATCCTTGAAAGAATACATTTAATTTGTAAATATTGTATATATATTTCCGGTAAAACCCTCATACGTAAATGTAAATAGCAGTTTCTTATTATAGTGTTTGTTTCCAATATATATTTTAGGGGGCATGCATGTGCACTAAGTTATTTACTAAACTACAAAAAATACGTTCATGTTCAATTTTATGCACGTTGTATGTAACGTTGTGAAATAAATACTTTGTGAACTATACATGCTGTTACGTCATTTTTTCTGAATTTCATGGTGGATGGTGATACGAAATTATATATTTCAAATAATCAATGAATAAAAGAGAATTGAATACACGCTGTATCCATCCCGGTCCCGCTCCTGATTTTTTCAACATTTTTTTCCAATTTTTTTTAAAAAATTGTTTTTAAAATTTTGTCAAATTTTTTTTCAATTTTTTCAAAATTTCTTTTTTCAATTTTTGGGAAAATCTTGCAAACTTTAAGACCAAAAAACGTCTAGTACCTTAAGTATGTTTTGGAATTTTGGATCTTTACAAGGTATGATGTACATGGAACTTCCGTAGGTATGAAAATACATCTGTTATGTACGGTCGGTTTTGGATACAGGGTTTATCCCGCGGGAAATATGTGTATCTCCCTCGGTCCCTCGGGAGATACACATATTTCCCTTGGGATAAACCCTGTATCCAAAACCTCCCAGTACATAACCCTTATATATTATCAATATCCCATATGTGTCGTAGGTGAAGCATTTGAAAATTGGAATTATCATTTAGGCCACCTCATTGATTCAATCACATGGAATTAGTGTTTATTGAATAAATCTATTCTGAATTTACAAAGGAAGGATATATCAGGATAACCTCTGAATAGTTGAGCACCATACGTTAAAATTGACCATGTAATATGCTTCGTTAGTGTTTCTTTTCGATTATCGAATTAACTACGTAAACCCAAGTCTTATCGGAATAAATAGAACGCCATAATGTACAGTATCTGACTATATACTGTATATGTATCAAGTACCGTGATTTAAAATTTTCTTGCAAAACTATTATTAAGTTGCAGATAAACTACAAGCACTGCGTTTTAGGATAAATAATAGCCGAGGGCCCTGGCCCAGGCTATTAGTTCTCCTAAGACCCAGTACGAATTGTTTATCTGCTTGACGGTAATACTTAAGTCATTTCAACGGAAATTTCGTAATGCGTGTTACGGACACAGCAGAAATTTAACAGAAAATTAAAAGCATTAATTGTAAATTCCAAATTGAAATAATAATTGATTTTGATTTGATATGCTTGTTCAATTGAACCATGCATATATTCTGAACAATAAACGGTCGGGTATTTATTGCAAAGTATAAATCAAAAAGCTATCGATGTTCGAGATGTCGAGACACTGAAGAAAAGTATTCTAACAAAGACTTACCTACTAGAAATGATATAATTATTGTGTTCATAGTGTCCTCCTTAAAATCGTAAATCCCCAACCTTGTTTTTCTTTCCTCTTTAATTCATCCCAATTTATCGAATTAATTTATCTACCCATGATATAAAGTGTTCTGGGAATTTAGTACATGAATATAATGACGTTCAGTAGTGTAGTGTATTATCCTATGCCAAGTAGAGTTTTAGGGAGATTAGTTGATAAGATATATCCCGTATCCTGATTTTGAGGTTTCCATATCCTGAACCTCCATATCTCCCGCCATATCTCCCTACGGTCCCTCAGGTAGATATGCATATCTCCCTCTGGATAAACCCCATATCCAAAACCTCCCAGTACATAACCCTTATTTATGTCTATTCTGAGAAAATTAAAGGGGCACCGACTTCCTAAATACGTTGTTCGGCCAAACGACACAATTAACCAGACAATGTTAGTCCAATGGGCCACCGTAGGAATTTGAACTTTAATATTTCTCAATCCAAGATTTCAGAAAATCAACCACGTATACCATGTTAGAGAACTATGTCTCCTACCAGAGATAATTATATTTAAAAACATCTAGCTATAAAATCAACCTGACCAGTTGTTCCCGCCATCTATTCAAATTTCTTAGAAATTGGCGTATGGATCTGGTCAACCAGTAAACGTCATAATGTTCCAATATTAGAGAGATTTCGCACATAAGTGAAAGTACAACTTATACGTATACGTATAGTTTAAAGGGTCATGTCGAACTATTATATTTACTAAAATCAATTTTAAATTTTACTTAATGGAACATAACTATTCCCGTTATAGAAAAGCTCCATCAACTAGAGACTGTGAATGCACTGTCATCTGCACGTGTAGATTATGCACATTATACTTAAATGCTTGCTTCCGTGTCGTTGTAGTGTATTATAAACACGATCCTTTAAAGTGAGTCATAATTCTTTAAAGTGAGTCATTACATAAACAAGTTGATTATGGAATGTTATAAAAACCCTTCGACCTTCGACCTGCACCTTCGACCTTCAGCTTCGACCTACAGGGTATCCAAAAAGCGGGCCAAAAAGAAAGTTATAAAAACCCTTCGACCTGCACCTTTGACTTTTCTTATGAAAATTGTCAAAGTCCAAAAATGTTTCTTTGAAAAACGACTGAGTCCAACTTCACATTGATTATGAAATTGAACGGAGCTCTGTCCTCGTCGAAAGCTATAGCTGTCATCTCTTGAGTTTACATCGGCGAAATACTTTATATGCCTGGTGACGTCATCACTTTTCGGACAAGATTTGAAAGTTAAATAACAAGTTATTGACGCCATATCCCGTTTTAATATTGATCACACAACAAGACTATGATTTGAACTCAATAAATAGAACAGTAATTGGTCGCTACTTACTCTAATCTTACTTCGATTCAATCGAATCAAAACCAGGAAGTAAGTTCTAAAAAGGGAAACTTCCATTTAAACTACCCGATTGACTACCCGATCAACATTAACAGAATCTTAATTTGATAACATGCAAAACGCTATTTCACCCCTGTAACTATACCTAGAGTACTGCAAACGTTGCTACAATTTAAGATCTTAACGATCTCACCTGTGAACCACAAATCAAGTGACTCTTGCGTGGTCTGAGATCGGCAAAAATAGCTTCTATAATATTTTCTTTTGGACACCCTGTAAGTCGAAGGTGAAGGTCGAAGGAGCAGGTCGAAGGTCGAAGGGTTTTTATAATATTCCGTTGATTATTTCAATGTTTTCATGATCAGTATAAGTTCAATGAACCTACAAAACGGTATATTTACGTAGATGATAACGTATACAGTTGGATCTCCGTATAAAAAGATTTGCCTATATGTGTGTGGAACAATTGACCGCAAGCATTTTTTGAAATTAATTGGCTGAGTGGGAACAGTATCCAATCAAATACTTTAACCATCAATTTGAAACACCAATCAAACCAGTAGGTTCTAGCAATTCCTGGAAACGACCCATTCAGTAGCTCAACATATGACATACAGGGTGTTTCATAACGAGCATCTCCAAAAAGTCAATTTGAGAAGAGATGGGTCTATAACATATGTACTATATGAGCCTATTTTATTCTACTAGAGACAAACACATTTGGATCAACTAAACATGCTACAATTCAAGAAAGTACAAAAGGCATCCCTTTGGCCTGTATTTATTACAGTCCGAGAAGATCTTTCCTGACAAAGCCCACATTATGAAACACCTTGTTTACCTATAAGTATAAGTATACGTTATAAGTTGTACTTTCACGAGGTGCGAAATCTCTCTATTCTTAGAACATGTTTATTTTTAATGATTATTTTTTTATCAGAATACATACTTAACATATCAACAATTCAACATGCCACACTACCATATTTCCATTCAGGAGTACTGCTACAGATCTACTATCACGAACTATATTCACAGTTTTAAACATCGATTTTTTGTCCCCTCGATTTAGCGGAGGGATATAATAGTGTGCTTATGCCTTATGCTTATTAGTGTCATGGTCGAATGAATCTATCATTAAATCAACGTTTTTCTGAAAGTATGCTGTGTTTCTAGATTGTTTGTGTAATTTTAGAGCATTCCTACCTTTGAATCATGAATTATGGTATGAATTATTTAGCTTTCTCTCTACTATTCAAGGGAATATGACGTGTAGGTTCTCAGAAAACGTAATGCTTCATTATGACTTCCTATGACTCCCAAAATCATCCTAGTGGCCCCCAGATGCCCCAAAAAGCATCCCAATATCCCCCAGATGCCCCCCAAAAGCATCATAGTGGCCCCTTGTGGTCCTCAAAAACAAATTAGTACTGCTATGAGGCCCTCAAAGTATCCTAGTACCCCTCTGTGAACCATGACATCAACCCAGTGGCCCCCTGTGGCCCCAAAACGTTGCCCCGAAAAGCATCTCAGTGGCCCCAAGTGCCTCTAAAAGCACTCCAATGGCCCCAAACTCATTCTAGAGGCCCCAAAAGCTTCCCAGTTGCCCCCCAGTGACCCCCAAAAAGCATACTAGTGACACCCAGTGGCCCAAAAAAGCATCCAAGTGGCCCCATTATTCCCCCTAAAAGCATCCTAGTGGCCCCCGAAAGCATCCTATTGATCCCTGTGGCCCCAAAAAGCATCTCAGTGGCCTCTAAAAGCCCCATGTGGACCTCAAAATCATTCTAGTTGCCAAAAGCTTCCCATTTCCCCCTCCAGTGGCCCCCAAAAAGCATAGTAGTGACACCCAGTGGCCCAAAAAGCATCCAAGTGGCCCCACTATGCCCCATAAAAGCATCCTAGTGGCCCCCGGAAGCATCCCATTGGCCCCCTGTGGTCCCAAAAAGCATCTCAGTGGCCCTTGGTGGCCTCTAAAAGCACTTCAATGGGCCCTAAAATCATTCTAATGGCCCCCAGTGGCAAAAAAGCTTCCCATTTGCCACCCCAGTGGCCCCCAAAAAGCAAACTAGTGACACCCAGTGGCCCAAAAAGCATCCAAGTGGCCCCATTATACCCCTTAAAAGCATTCTAGTGGCCCCCAAAAGCATCCTATTGGCCCCCTGTGACCCCAAAAAGCATGTCATTGGCCCCAGGTAGCCTCTTAAAGCACTCCAATGGGCCCCTGTGGACCCCAAAATCATTTTAGTAGCCCCCAAGAAGCATACTAGCGACACCCAGCAGCCCAAAACGCATCCAAGGGCCCCATTATGCCCACTAAAAGCATGTAAGTGGCCCTTGAAAGCATCCTATTGGCCCCCAGTGGCCCCTAAAACCATCCTAGTGACCCCCTGAGGCCGCCAGAAGCATGCAAATGACTCCTCATGGCCATAAAAAGCACCCTGGTGGCCCCCTGTGACCCCTAAAAGCATCCCGGTGGCCCCCAAGACCCAAACGTATTCCAGTGGACCCCCAAATGCATCCTAGTAGACCCCTGTGGTCCCAAAAGAAATTTAAGTAGCCCCGATGGCATCCAAAACATGCAAGTGGCCCTCAATCAGGGCACGCCTTAAGCGTCGGACAGCTGGTCATTATCTGGTTACTTTTGATACTGACCAGTTGATTTTTTCACTAGGTATAGGAAAATAACATTGCAACTGGTCAGTAATGCCTTTTTGACCAGCAGCTCTGGAATCCTTAGGGCATACACTGCCCTCAATAGCATGGTAGGGCCCCCTATGGCCTATGGACTGATATATCAATTTGAGGGACATTGGGCCCTTTCCTGTGAAAAATTCAAAAGATGTCTGCAAAAAACAAAATGACCTTGAACTTTGAAGAAATCTACTATTCTAGTAAGTCTTCTTTTCTAAGAAATATAAAGTACTAAGGATACAGTGCAAACATCTTCCAATATACTCAAAAGAACATGCCATATTCGGGACACAGACACTAATGGGTTAAAGCTTTTCTTCTATCTAATGGTTCTATCTTATTGTTTATGGGAGGGGGTTATGTTAATCCAATATGATGTTGCTATGGTAACCAGGTGAATAATCCCAGGTGAATCAGAAAATGCATGGATAATGTAGATTAACTGACTGGCATACTCGTTATGGTATCATAGCTGATTTTGTGATTATTTTCTTGAAATAAGGTAGAATTGCTCAAAATGATTCCAAATTGGTACCTTGTCCTTTGACATTCACCATAAAATGAGCTCAAAGTGAAAACTATGATTGATTCTCATTCCATTTCTTTACAAGTATGAATATCTAAGCGCAAATGCCAAAGAGAAGGGACCTAGCACTGTAAAGAAACCCAGCAAGAAAATCAAACTTTAGCTTCCATTTGATGAAAATTGCATATACCCCAGAGCTATCATGATGACAAAGATAGAAGCAAAACGTTGGAAAAGTCGTGAAAAATGGGGACTGCATATTCACCTGGTTACCATAGCTAACATAGGCATACCCAGGGGGTGTGATTAGTGCACCTCCCCATAACTAATAAAAAAAGAACCATTAGATATAAGAAGAATAGTTTTAAAATGCATTTGACTCAAACCTTCTAGCTCAGTTTTGAAGGGAGTTGCATCAATATTTGTAAAATTAAACAAAATCTTTAATTTGTGTTGAACCACTCCCCCCCCTCAACTGAGAGCGTGCTGCACCCCTGATTAACAATTGCCCTTATGGCATCATAATATAACACAATCCAAATTAAATAATTTTCTATAGTTATTAGGTTAATTTCTGTCACCAAATTTTAAAAAGAATACATGTCAGTCAAATGGTCAAAATGTAACATTTCCTAAAGAATTCTCTTGTTTACAGCGGATCGTTTTGCTACTTGCTGTTACCATAGCAACAGTGTGAATTGGACACTTCATTACATTTATTCAATAATGTTTTATGACCATACATGTATGAATGTAATAAACTAATAAACTCAACTAAAAGAAATAAACTTATTAACTAGTTAAAAGCATTACTGACCATTTTAAAAATACTAATTTCACAGATTTATCCATCATGATTAAAATAAAATACACAAAAACAAACAATTATGACGTCATAATTAAGATACAAATCACCCTATTTGCATATTTTATGAACTGTATGATTGCTTCATCTATTACCTTTCATTTGGCGCAAATTTCATCAAAATCTAAGCAATAATGACGAAGATATGTGCCAAACACCGAAAAGAGCCCCTAAAAGTGGGTGTGGCATATTTACTTTGTTACCATAGTAACGCTGCCGCGGATTCAGAATTGCCAACTTAATATATTTTGAGTGTGTTATCTATTCCCTTCCATTTGGTGTGAATTTCATCGAAATCTGAGCAATAATGAAGGAGATAAGGGCCAAACACTGAAAAGAGCCCATAAAAGTGGGCGTGGCTTGTTTACTTGGTTACCATAGCAACGCCGTCGCGGATTCAGAATTGCCAACATCATTTTTCTTGGTAAGTATCACATATAGTTCATAAAAATATATGTCGCTTAGCTCGCCTCTAAAAAGGACACGGAATTACCTTTGCTCCCATACTATTAGAGTTGCTAGCGGAGTATTACTCATGTAATGCACTTTTCATAGAATATACCCTGTAAAAGGAAATGCAATTAGTTCGAGTTTGCTAGATGTGTATAGGGACTGTTGAATTCACCGAAATACTATGTCCCTAGGCTGTATGCTCTCACAGATCGCATGAGATTTGACAATATTAGAAGCATCGTTGATTTAATTGAATTTTTACACGGTCATTATGAATTACTTATATATTTAACATTTTATTACCAATTACGCAATTGTCTCTCTAAATTGTATGGTATACATGACTTATCAAATGACAATCTTAAAAAACATATAATGGTGTTTGATTTGTTTTTCTCATTCATACTCGCTTTACTTTATAAGAAATACTTAAAAAAGAATACTTTATAAGAAATACATAGGTCGGTAAATGTATGTCATATGCATGATATATTTAATGTCAAAATATAAGGTCAAAATAGCACTTTTAAACAGCAAAATCTTCATTTAAACTTTATCCCAAAAGATCCGATGTTATCGGACGCCAGACCCGATGTGAAAACTATCATTACGGATAAACTATGAGTACTGGGTTCAAGGAAATATATAATAATAGCCAAGGGCCTTGATCCGAGGCAATTAGTTTTCCTAAGACCCAGTACGAATTATTAATCTAACCTAAGCTCCACATCGACTCTTATGAAAGATAAATGGTCCATGGTCCAATTTTGGGAAAAAATGATATCATTTGTATTGACTTCGAAATAAGTGCGTTGAGAAGTGAGTGGGTGTAATTAGTTCAGCTTCAATGCACTGCATGTAACAGGCCAGCTACAGTTTATTAGTTTGTGTTTATAATTCAACTATTAGATGAGTGAATAGGGTGTCATTAGTTCAGCTTTAGTGTATTGCATGAGACAATCAATCGTCTTTTTGTGCCACATTGGTTTTATATATGATAGCTTGCTTCTTTAAAAATAATGGAAAAATAATGCACGCTTCTTTGTCAAAACTGTACGTTCTTTAAAACAAACTAAATTCCATTCTACCGTGTTGCTCGAGTGTAGCACAACGAAAGCCTAAAGTATATCATTAGCTATATCACAAGTGATTTGTGGGAACTTTAAAGCTATCTACACGTGTTAAAATGTTAGGTCCAGATTGTTAATTTTAAATTGTATATTTAGAAAAATAAATACAATTACATGACTACCTTTAGCCTCGTATGTTAAGAACCTGAAAATGAGTAATTTATTGGTAAGTCTATTTTGTACTAATCTTAGCAGCTTCCATTTGCAAATATCGCATTTAATTTGGTGTGTCTATAAATAGAATAGAACAAAAAACAACATAATAAGATACAAAAGGAATCACAGAATCTCTGAAAAACTCAAAACAGCTTGTATGTATGTAAAAGACGACCCAATAGTTGATCGAGTACTTATATCAGCTGGTATGGCCGTAGATAACACTATGTTCGCTTCATCTGTTCCATGTTACATTCTCCAGTGCAATTGTAACAGTGTAACTAGATAACGACAACTCCGCGGAGTAGCAAATCCCAACGAACAAAATATCAATTACCGAATTCCAATCAATTATACTCATTAATTTGGTTAAAATTGAAAAAATTAGATTTTAGAATTGCGAATTCCTGCAAAGCAGCCTTTTTGAATTTTCTGAGATACAAATCTGAAAAAAATACCATAATTGTGATACTACTAATTCCTTCAATTTGAGTATAATATAGCCATACTTTGAAGGGATCGAAAAATTATTGCTAAATCGTACATTAGACGGCCATTTTGAATTTTACGAGGCTCGAATCAGAAAAAAGATACAATATTTGCAATCTACTCTTAATTGCTTTTCATTTGAGTATAATAAAGCTATACTTCAGAAAGATCTAAAAATTAGCGAAAATTTCTGTTTCCTGTCCCCCCATACATGGCCCCTGGGGGTCAGGATGAAAAACACAGAATATATGTGAAATAAATAAATGTTGTGAATATACTACCAACATTTCAAACAATAATATTAATTACTTTGGTTTAGAATGAAAAATTTATGATTTTTGCGAAAAAGTCCCGTCATTTTTTAAGCGGCGGCCATCTTGAAAAAAAAAATTTTGCGTAAAACTATTCACCAATATACATCTTTCCACTAAATATGAAAAAAATCCGTCTACTAGTATTTGAGTTATCTTCCGGACAGACGGACGGACTGACTGACTGACTGACTGACTGACTGACTGACTGACTGACGGACTGACGGACTGACGGACAGACGGACGGACGGAGAGCTTCACTATATCCCTACCGAACTTCGTTCGTTGGGATAATAACCCCACCCACGTGTCTTGATCATTACCCCTTTAGGACGTGATTTCGCTACTGTTGACTGTGAGCTTCTGCAAGACAGCATGGATTGACGAGCCATGTAGAAACAGCGCTACACCCCAGTGCCCCGCTGGGTAAGATTTAAATATTCTATAATTCGCAATGTTTCATGGTCTTGCTTGTGCTTTTGGATTATGTTAGAAACTGTTTCGTTGTACTCGTACGTTACACCATTGTTTGGAATTCTGGCCATTTATTTTCTTCGGATCGCATTCAGTTCCTTCAATAAAACTCGTGCATAGTATCACTTAATTTTTTCATGAAATAAAAGTTATTTACTTGATAGATAAATGGAATTTGCACTTCGTGGTTTCTTTACAACTGCCTGCATTTAAATGCATTGGCAATTTTCACTTTTCAGGTACGACGAGCCACCTCTTCTCATTGTTTCCTTAGACGGATTCAGAGCAGAGTATTTACTTCGCAATCTTACCCCCACTCTCCAGAGATTTACCGAATGTGGATCTCATTCTAAATACATGCGTGCAGTCTACCCAACCAAGACTTTTGTTAATCATTACTCCATCATATCTGTAAGTAGTACTAACGTTCATTATGTTAGGTTGGTTGGTTACCTCCAAGTAATACCAAACGTACGTCTTTCATCGCCATTTATATGTGTGTATATATGTACATTTTGTTCCGATTTAAACTTTTGTTTCATATACGATACTATTTAAAATTTACATAAAACGTGAGTTGTTCTTTACCAGGGTCTCTACCCAGAAGACCACGGTCTGATAGATCAGAATATGTACGACATGGAAATGAGGGCGCAGTTCCGGTTTACTACCGATTCAAAGAACGATCCAAGATGGTGGCAAGGAGAGCCAGTTAGTATTATTATATTATTATATATCATTATTAGTCCAGCCACACTCCCCTTCATAAGTTTGGCAACCGGAAGTACCCTTTTGAATCAAGGAGGATTGGCTCCCAGAGTGCAACATCGATATTCTGTTCCAAATATGGGGATGTCGTACTACAAACATCGAATTCAAATTGCCGCCATTTTGTTCACTTCAACATTTGAATCATGAATTTTGGTCTTATTTCCTAACGAAAAATTCCAAATCTCACAAGAAAGGATCGAGCTATTGGTTCGAATCTTTTGAACTGTTCATCTTTGATAGACTAGGTGCGAGTAGATATAAGCTTGATTTACATCATTGAATATTCAAAATTCAGACAAAGTGATGTCATATTTGAAATCTACATGAAAAAAACATCTAGAAATATGATGTTTACAAAAGCACCAAATGTGAAATATATATTTTTGTATTGGACAGATAACATTTTATTTTGCTGGACATATTTTAATTTGCATAACTATTAGTATTATCGTAGATACATATAATAAGGGTTATATGAAAATTGAACCACTAAAAGAGATGTAATTTAAGTTAAAGGGAACTTTCTCCTATACCCGCCATGTTATCTGGCCCGAATGAGCCACCTGGTGGTGAAACTGGTAACTACTTACCCGCATCTGCATTATTCACAATCGGTTATAATTTCAGAAAATAACGGCATTTCGGCGTTTTCATTGTTGGAAAATGTCGACTCCGATTCTGGGAGCCAGTCCTCTTTGCTTTTGAATCATTTATCAAAGCTATATGTTTAGCGATGTAAACAATTCATCAAAGCCATAAACTTCAGAACTATTATTTTTAAGAACCAAAATTAAGATTAATATATTGACATGCTTTGACATGCTATCCAATGGAAACTTTCGGTTGTCAAAGTTATGAAGGGGAGAAGGGGGGGGGGGGGGTATGGGTGAGGGGAGTATGGCCAGGGGAGTGGTTATAATATTTTATCTTATGAGGTCAAGGTAGAATCGGAGATTCAAAGCAAGCTTTCCCAAACTTGCGTCTTCTTCGGTATATTTTGTCTATTATCCTACACTTAGTGTACTAAATGTATAATAACATTAAGAAATAAATTTGATATCTATTGGCAAAATGAATATCCGGAGGATATCGTGATGATATACTCCGGGCGGAGGATATCGTGACGATATACTCCGGGTGGAAGATATCGTGACGATATACTCCGGGTGGAGGATATCGTGACGATATACTCCGGGTGGAGGATATCGTGACGATATACTCCGGGTGGAGGATATCGTGACGATATACTCCGCTTGTTGATTTCCCGCCAAAATGACTCTATTTGGCATAAAATTCATTTTGCGATGGTATTATACATTAGGTACACTCCTTGTAAGTGTAGGATAATAAGAACATCCTATGATTTTTTTCAGAATATCATTTTAATCTACTTGGTGATATTGATATTGCACTCGTTCGCTTTTCCTCAAAATCATAGGATATCCTATAAATATCATTCATTGGCATGCCTATTTCCCTCATATTAATTCAAATAATGCCTTACCTCATTTAAGCATTGGCTTTCAATCTATTTTGAATGCCCATGATTTAAGGTAACACAGAAATTAGTTCAACATTGACTTTAATGAATTTTCTTTTTGGTATTTTCGCGATGACGTGTTTATTTTATTAATTTTATTCTTGGAAATAATAGGATTGGTCATTTCGAGAATTTTTTTCACAAGGGTATTAGAGATAAACAAGTTTGATAGTCGAAGATGCTGCTTGCAGTTCTGTTACCCAAATATTTCCAATTCTAGCTTTAAAGATGGCATAAACGTTTCATTTTGTATTTAACGACGTATATGCTTTTTCTGTACATAAAAGATGGCGCACACATGAGCCAGTAGGAATATAAACAACTTTTACAACCAGAACTAGATTATATTGAGATGTTTCCAGCAATTGTCAAGTGAAGGGGTGAAATTTTAAAAATTTACATTGTTCGTATATGGTGCATTCTAAGCATTCCAAAATATAATTTTGTTCTTTGATCAATTTTTTAAAAAAAAGCTTTTTTCTTTTTTGTTGGAGTTTTTCAAAGAAATATGTCAGTAATTTTTTGAGTCATGAAAAAATTATTTGAATGATTAAACTAATTTTTTCAAAATTTGCACGTCGCCTTTAATTGGCAAGGTGGTAAACTCACCAGAAATACTTTACTTTCAACTCCCCTTATCACATGCTCAAGTCTTCCTACAATCTATTTGTGTTTCCTCGAGTCTGATTTCAGGAAGGCCATTAACTTAAGTGAATGAGGCATTGTAAAGACTGCGATAAGTTAAAGACAGACGGCGTATTGACTTGGTAATTAAGGAAGAATCTATCACATAGAAACCTATCACACGATACACAAATTAAAGATAAGTCATAGAATGGGCTTTCAAGAGAAAGCCCATGGACATTGGTCATAGTTATTCAACTTGATCAAAAAGTTTACAAGACCACAAGCTGTCTTGTAAAAGTTGTTTATGAGGTAACGGTTACAGTGAATATCAGCAACGCCCAAGATGTCATTTCAAACGCAGGCAAGGTTAAATCTAAACCTATTTCCTGTGACAACCGAGACTCTGATAGCTGCAGATATCACTATCCATATAATAAATACATTGACTTTGAAACGTCACTGTTGAAATTGTAGATCTTGTTTGAAGATCTATCTATCAAAAAAAAACAGCTCAGCAGGCCTTCTAACATTTTATGAAATATCACTTGAAAGATACGTCACTTACACGTCACTTACACTGGCACGTTCATCACCTTTCACGTTCATCATCATATTCCCTCGCGAACAGAGATCCGTCCTCGCCAACCACACACCTGATCGAAAAAAGTCCTTAATCTTATTCGTATTATTACGCATTACTAAAATGTTTTATTTGGAATTCGGAAGAAATACTTCCCCAGTTATCATGCATGTTAATGAATATCAACTAATTGAAGATAACAGCATCTCCAGGAAACACAAAACATATATTCTTGCGATTTTTTTCTAAGAATGGTACATTTAGGAAGTACTTACGCTCACCTTTACAAACATACCTCAAATGGCCACTGTACATGCACTTAAACCTACTATACACACCATTGAAGTTGGTATGGCATCGTTTTTAAAGTATTAAAAAACACTACCCGGAAGTGCTATTTACCGTAGTAACACCTTGTGTGTCTTAACCGCGTTGCAGTCTCGTTTTGGATAGATATGCTTGGCTGGACCGCGTTCCCTCTGTCCATGGTGAATATGCAAGAACAAACTATACATGTACAATCAATTTGTCGTATGTACCTAATTTATATAATGATAACGTACCATTGGTACATCTTTAAAACATTGTAATATTAAAAAGGGTTTCAAAAACCTTGTCATTGTATTATGCACATCTGAAATAAAATTTTAATTTTTTAATGGTAATAATAAAATCTTTTGTTATACTGTAGTTTTGGAACACTGTGATGAGGCAAGGCAAGAGAGCAAATGCGATGTTTTGGCCTGGGTCCGATGTGGAAATCCAAGGTATGAGACGAATCAATGTCCATGTATTGTGCTAAGAAAGACGTACACCCCTACCCCCCAAAGTTTGACAACTGGAAGTCCCCTTTGGATCACTTGGATCATTTGACTGTTCTTTAAAAACACTATACATAATTATTTTTTAGGAATGAGGCCCAATGTCTGGTTTCCATATGATGGGTAAGTAACCTTACAATTTGTCAATTCGATGTTGGCGCCATCTTTAGAATGGCATACATGACCCACCCAATAGAAATCAGCTCCTATGTTCCATAAATGTAATCAATTCAAATGTTTCAAGGATGTCTCGACCGCTGATGACTCGACCGTATATGACCAACTGAACAGAAACATTATTTAAAAACGTATCATGGTTTCATAATTAACTGAGCAGTACCATAATTGGTAAAAGAGTGGAGTGAAGTCATCACAATGCAATATGATTTCATAATCTAGAGACAACGTCAGTTTTAAAAAGGCATTTAGTCTTGCTCAAAGACTGTATCCATCCCCCCTCCGTCACCTTCACTCTCTTTACATGGCAATATACAGAGAGAAGGATAAAGGGGGGGGGGGGGAGTACAGGGTCTTTTAAGCAAGACTAAAAGGCATTCATGTACAATATATACAATAAACACATCCTATTAATGTAATCAGGCTCCACCCCAGTGTACTGGTCAGTACATGCACTCGTGCTTTTAAATTTTCAATAAAGAGTGATGCAGGACTACTCCTTAAATATATGACGTTTGTCTTAATTAGAAATCCCAAAGATACGTTATTTTCTGCTGATAAATTAGATCATTTCCGTATACCGAGAGGGTGGAGACAGTATTAGGATGGATTGACGAACCTGTAGGGACGAGGCCAGACTTCATGACCCTGTATTTTGAGGAGCCTGATAGTTCTGGTCATAGCGTTGGGCCAAACGAACAAGAGGTATGCGTTTATCACAAATAAGTCAAAAGGAAAATGTAATTTTTAAATAAGAACCGTGGATTTCCCCGATCAAACATTTTCTACTTTTCTTTGTATTCCATCAAGTTCGTGGCTACCCCTCTCTTAAAAGAAACCCATACATACATGCTGAAACCAAGAGACTAGATGCGAGATCGCGGTATTTTAAAGAAACTGCTACCCTCATTACAAAGTTCCCCCTAAGAAATATTTTCACAATAGTCCTATAGAGATCGATTAGTCTTCCATGGGGCCCTCTGTTGAATGCCAAATTCGAGAAACAAGTTTCGTTCAAAATACGAATTCCCCTAAAATCACTACTGAATAACGACAGTCCGATGCAATTCATGTTTTCTAATTTTACTGAATTGTAGGTCCTTGATGCTCTTATCATTATTGACGAAATGATAGGCCTGATTATGGACGGACTTCAAGACAGGGGACTGGCAAATTGCATCAACATCATTATCACAGCCGATCATGGTTTGATTATACTATACTACAACTAGCATTTAACTAATCATGGATTAGTCAACACAAATTACACTCTAAAATGCTGGATACCTTGATTTCGCATTCGAAGGCTAAAAAGCCGGTTTATTTTTGCATTTTTCATCGATAACGTGATTTTTACAGAGTGTTTTCAATGATTGGTTTAAGAGAAAAACATTGTTGAATTCAGTTCTCCATATCGATACCAATCCTTTGATGAATTTTAAAAAATTGGATGATGTAACAGACTTAAAAATGAGTTCTAAAAAAAGAGTTGATGTAAGCAAATGTTTGAAGCACGTTGAGTGTACATACGTTACTTAATATTCTTATAATCATACCTGCTAGTCGCGGAAATATTCTATACATATAACATTAGTCTATAAGGCAATTCTATCAATATTGACGTTGATACTAAGCGATTCATCATATAGAAAATTAGGGTAGCTCAGTATGATCGAGGTATTAGGGAGTTTAAGCTTGCACATGAACTCGAAACGAGGACACGTAGCGTATAAAACGCGCGCTTCACTGTTAATGCTTCGAATGGGAATGCGAACGGAAATGATTTTAAGCGTTTCCTGAATATAATAGTCATGTGTATTTCTTTGAATGCCCTTGTACATCACAAAACGTCTAAACATAATATACGTTATGCATGTACGCCATTTATTCAAAGAAATATATCTGGACTACACCGCAGCATTAAATATGCTATTGGCAGTTTTATAGCTGGTATTCTGATATACTGTATATATATATATTTAAACAGGCTCGACTGGTAAGATATTTGGAGCTAAACAGGCATGCCATACATCTTCTTCAGAAAGAATTCTGCTGTGCATCGAAATCAAAATTGCCAGCATAGTATTCATTAGACATGCGTATAATGAATCCCGTATTAAAACCAACGTGAAATTCCAAATTTCCTGTTCTAAACGTGAAACATTGAAGCTAAATTCCATATAAAAGTATGCACTCTGCATACTCCTATATCGATTCCATGTACTTAAGTACACACTTCTTAAATCTTGAGACTTTTCTTGATCATTTTATGTGTGTGTTACTAGAATAGTATATATTTTCCACTGCCGCACTTGGGTCCGATTATATTATTTGAAACTTTGTGCGTAAGACAAAACATAATTGTAATTCTATTGAACTGAGTATCTTGGTTTATCTTGGTTGGCCCTTCAACTTTTGAACAGAAAGAAACGATCTTGTTGCAATTTATGCAACAGTGGAGGTTGTATGCACCATGATGTATAAATCAACTTGTATTTATTTAAGGAATGGGCCAGTTGGGTTGTGATCAAGTAGTTTACATGCGTGACTATATTTTCATGAACGACTACTATATATATACTGGGCCCAATGGTCGGATGAGCAGCCGATATGTTTATCGAAACGGAAGAATTGAGCATGTTCCCGACGGAGAAGGGCGTAAGCAATTTATAAAAATTAGAATTGTTTAGTGCAATTTAGTTTAATTCATGTACCCTCTGTAAAGAAAAAAGGTGCATGGTCCTTTATCAATCATATATTTTTTTTATTTTTCGATATTATCATACCAAACACTCAGAGGTATAATGTACGTATACCTTGACCAAATGGAGAACATTTCAAAGAATTTTGTAAATATGGTAAAAAGTTAGAAAGAATTGAATATAGCAACTCCCAAAATTGCATATAAGTGTGACTTTTTACCATAAATTGACGTCATAAATATGGGAAATCAAATACTCAGCCAATGTGCGCAATAAGGGGATCTTCTGCGTTATGAAATTACATTGTTAGTAATGTTGAAAAGAATTCACCATTTTGAAAAGTTTTCAATCCAATAAAACTTTGTAAAAATATCAATTATAGAATGAAAGTCAGATTACTTACAACCGTTTTGTGATAAAATTTGAGGTAACGTCCTTCAGATTTAGAGGTCTTCTCAGTTCAAAATTAGGGGTAGGGGTAACATACAGGGTGGGCCAAAAAAAACGCCACTTTTTTTTCAAAATGCTATAACTTTTTTATTTTTTGATATTAAATCATAATTTGCATACCAAATGAAACTTGAGGTTGTTATCAAGCCACGGATCATAAATTATATACTTTTACTTGAATAAAATATGTCACCAGCGTCTCACTTAAACATGTGGTGTGCCATGAGAAATAAGCATAATTTGCAAAATGTTCCTGAACTGATACGGCCTGATGATCGTTAAGCTAATAGCCCTAATGCAAACCTCAGTGAGTATAGTGTATGGGAAGGTCTTCAGGAGATTGTATGAAGGCACCCCATCTAGAAAATTGCTCAACTAAAGCTGGCAATTAAGACAGGTTGAAAAAAACTTAGCTAACATTTCATCTTTTAGATCAAATATAATCAAAGTTGAAGGACTTGTTACATTATATTATTACTAAGAACCCTTGACACTATATAACTGCAAAATTTGGGGTATTTGGGTTGGAAAATAAAAAAGTTGTATTGTCTTGAAAAAAAGTGGCGTTTTTTGGCCCACCCTGTATATAACAATAACTTGAAATTGTAAGATAATTATAATTAGTCTTTCTCAATGACCCGTAAATGTATAATCATACTTTAGTTCGCTTATGTACGAGGGGTGATCCAAAAGTCTTGGACGCCCTGCTCTGATTTTGTTGGTTTTTGATAAAATTACTTTAAACTTTCCAATAAAAAAGACCAACAACCTAACTACTTTGTGTATCAATTTCATGGTGAAATGATATATTTTATGTAGTTTTCTCGATAGTTATTAATATAGTGACCCTGCCACCCGGAACGGCATTCGCACATGGCAACTTTCAGCCTTGAATGTTGCCGCTATTTGACTTGTTTTGCAAGTCTTGACCACTATCTTTCCTTAAATTTTGAATGTTAAACCATGTTAGTTTACTTCCTTTGTTACTAGGCAACCAATTAATTGTGTTTTAATCATAATGTCACATATGGCAATGGAAAAATGACAGAAAATGACATCAGACATTCAACTCTCATTCTGGTGTCATTTTTGCTCCAAGATGGCTGCTGAAATGCAGAAGATGAAAAAAATCAAAGTGGAACAAAGAATACTACAATATAGTTTCACTATTATTGACATTCAGCTGCTACCATATGCACAATACAGTATCGATATGGCTCCCTGTGATTTTCTTCCTTTTCTCCAAGTTGAAAGGAGGGTTGAAAGAAAATGTTTGGTACACATTGGATGAGGTTTCGAGTAGCACTCCAGCAGAATTTGTATCACATCGGCAATGGCCATTTCATAAATGTCTTTCATTCATTGGTAAAGCGGTATGAAAAATGTGTTCAAATTCGTGGAAAATATGTTGAAAAGTAGAATTAATATGTGAATATGATGATAGCAGATGACACTCAGACTCAAAATCGGAAATGCTCTCATATCATGACTGGTATTAGGTTGTGCACCTGCACCTAAAGTATTTGCCATATTATAACAGTTGTGACGTGATTTGCTATATTTAAATACCGTTCCGGGTGGCAGGGACCCGGTATCAAAAAATATTTAGAAAAGTAGCTAAACTATATTAGTTTCTGTTGAAACTTATACACAAAGTTGTTAAGATGTTGATCTTTATTATCTGAAAGTTTCATGTAATTATATTAGAAAATAGCAAAGTTAGAGCGAGGCGTCCAAGACTTTTGGATCACCCCTCGTATACCAACATTTATGTAAGATGTGATATATAATTGAGAAAATTGGTTACATTCTATCCCTAATTTCACTGCTATTAAAACGTAAAATCGTCTAAGAATCATGTTTTAGACAGGATTTTGCACTACCACAATTTTCTGTCAGTGTGTTTATGTTTATTTCAAACCTGTCAGTTATGACCAGTTTGGGATGGGCTTTACAATGTTATGAAGAGTATTACATATAGTAAATGATGTCCTAGCCTTGAACGGAAAATGAATTACACTGTATAATAGCAAACTTTAACTTATGACGTAATTTAAAGGAAAAAGTCACACTAGTGAGTTTGTGAGTCAATGTTTTTAACCATTGCTAACTTTAGTAAATTTTCATCTATTTTTTTAACTTTCCACCAGTTATTCACAATATTTACGCCATATGCCTGCACGAGTTAAGTAATATTTGACCATGCACCTTTTTCTTTACAGAGGATATATACATGTTCAACTAATTCTAATAGATGGAAAATTATGATATCAATACAGTCTAAACCTAGCAGGATAGATTTACTCTAGTATGGATCTTCTCTACCTCAATATAATATCAACATTGGACATGACGTTTACTCTAGTATGGATCCCCAAAACATCAGTGTAGGTTTTACTCCAGTATGGATCGTCCACACCTCAGTACATGTACAACCCAGTTTTAGGTATTTACACCAGTATGGATCCCCCCAATCCCTATAAGATCCTAACACACATCATAACATATGACCTTTATCACTCTGATTGCATTGGGATATTACTTTGTATGATGATAGGGATATAATGTGAACTTATCCAACATGAAGGACATACGGGAAAATTAAAATTAATTAAATTAAGACAAACACATTAGACATGGCATAAAACGTATACTAATAGAATTTACAATTTTTGAGAAAATATACATGAGAAACTACTAAATATACCCTGGGCATGGTGTAATTGAAAAATTACAATTCGACATTTTTGTCGAACGGGACTAGTAGCGCCACCAGTCATTCTCTCATGGAACTAAACTAGAGACCTGTTATTTTGTGGCACATAATTTTGCCATATTTATTTCGCCTCCATTTTGGAGATAATAATGCCTTATAACATAATGTATTAGAAAAACAGATAGTAGTTCTTGGTCCACTCTTATATACTAAGAGAAACGTGTTCCTTACGTTATGATTGATGTTCCTGTTAAGTAGAGAAGTGGCTCCCTGGTCAATCGGTGAAGTACCCTGGCTGAAAAGTAATGAAATTATCGTGTTTTATCTTGTTTTTGTTATTTTAGCCACTCCGAATGAAACAATTGCCCAACTTAATTGCGTCAACGACCATATGGATGTTTTTAAAAAAGAGGATTTCCCAAAGCGACACCATTATGCTAAACATAATCGTATAGAAGAGGTTTTAAACGATATTGACGATGGATGGTTTCTTACAAGGTACTTGTACAATTTATTTTAAATGTCTTATCTTGTTTGGCGTAGTATCGACTTTTCTGCCAGAAAAATGAACAGGGGATTTCCTATCAAATAGCTATAATATCATGAGGAACAAGTCTAATTGCTACGTATTCAAAGGTATTTTATACTTAATCTAAAAAATATAAATTTTGCAATCCTACATTTCAAATATGACACAAAAAGTTGATAACAAACAAACATGTTATTAAACATAACCGTTGAATCGTTACCCGTAATTGGTAGTTCAACTTTCTAATAATGACATATATGAGTAATTTATTTTGATGTCCACTGGTCCTGTACGTACGTCATTAGAATGATCAAGACGTGTCTATATTGTACACTAGCCCCTTGACTGGACGAGAAGTTCAGGAGCTGCTTATTCTTATGAATAATACCATAGTACTCTTCAATGAAGGAATAAAAGTTATACAATACAAAAATACATCAAGTCACCGCTCTCATGTAGCTCTTTACAAAAAGCTTGTATCAGTCATCAATAATTACATTTTGGTGTAGTCTATGATGATTTTCAATTCTAGTCCTATTTTAGGCAGACTGATGATTGTTAAATTGTGTTTAGGTACAACGCACCACTGGGATGTTTAGGTGGGAGCCATGGCTATGATGAAACATTTACCAGCATGCATGTATGTAATGTTCAAAAAGTGCAATGTGGCATGGAAAACATTTTGAGTGATTTAAATCATGAATTTATTAACATGAGATATGTAGTACCAAATGGAAAAAGTAACAATGAAATTTAAACTTTGAACTTCTAAAAAATATCTCAATCGCATATTTATATACTGTATATTGATAATGGTGCATGGAATCATTATATGCTCTCATTGCGAACTCCAATCTACTAAGGACAGTAGCCAATGCATTGAGTAATATAATGAAACACTGAAGAACATTAATATTTTAATATGGATAAATTGCTTATATTTTATACACTATATTAAACATGAATTTTAAGGTACTAAATTTTATAGTCTCTCCTAAGCCGGCAACGGCTTGATGTTCACGAGACATAAGAGACTCTAATAAACAAAAATATATACAAACATAATTTTACATATATATTTTCATATTTTTGTTAGGCAATCTTTCTGGCACATGGGCCTGGAATAAAGAGTGGAGTGGAGATAGACGCCTTTGACAATATTGAGGTGTACAATATGATGGCTGGTATGTTGCCTTTTTGAACTATCTGTAATTGTTTTCTTCATTGTCAGATCTTTGAGATTCACACTGCTTACGGAATGATACAATGGTATATAAATCAATTGAATAATCTACTTATATATTGCACTATATTTGTGGCACATATCAAGTACTATTTTTTCATATGATAAGTATTTTGCCTTAATTTTGATTAATTTTGATTTGCAAATTGTTCCCGGGATATTGTATGTCCCACCTATATATTACATTTTATTGTATAATATAGGTTTATTGGGGGTAACTCCTTCTTTAAACAATGGGACATCCGGAACACTTAACCAAATGTTGGAGCAACCCCTTGGCATTTTATCAACACCATCCATTCCTTATGCTACATGCCCATATCCGGATGAGCAGGAATATAGCTACAGAATTTCTAACTCTGACTGTGTCTGCGAAGCAATAGAGGTATGAATTGACTACTTGACGCAATTAGGTGTAATTAACCATTTATCACTTTAGAAAAGAGTAAAGTGGTCAATCTCACATGACGTACTGTAATTACTTGGTGCAAGTAATCATTAATAATCACTCTAATAACAGTGAATAATCACGATATGGGGGTCATTTTACGATCTTTAAATTTTGTTATGGTTTATAAAATCAATGTTTGTGTTGATATTAGTATGTGTGTTACCTTAATAACAAAACAACATTTTATCATTACCATTAAAGTGAATCTTTAAAAAAATCTTATTTTTTCTGAAAAAAGCTTTGAAGAATGTCTATGACCTGCGTGCCGCCATATTGTTAAACCAGTGTATTCCTTCAGTCATCATATGAATTACCTTAAAGGATCAAGATGGCTCGCCATAGCGCGTTGTATGATATTTCTTACTCGTCCGTTCTTATCAAAGGTCTAATCGGTTAGGTTAACTGCACATAGTGCATTAACCGGTCTGTATTTTTATTATTAATTAGTTGACCGTGTAATTCAGTTATTTTCCGTGCATTCATTACACGGAAAATAGATGTCATCCAATATATCACTTATTGTAAATAGGTCCATGGACTTATTTTTTCAAAATGACCCCCTACCCTCAGTTGAAGAAGGGGTGAGGTTCTTGTGATTATTTTTTCACAATTATTTGACAACTCACTGCCATACTTTCTGGATCTATAAAATGATACATGAGCAATGTTGCAAATTTTCCCATTGGTATCAATGTGATACAAAAAAGCTATGAGTAAATGTTCTTGTTAATAGGTAAACACAACATTGAATTGGGGGTTAGTAAAACGCTTAAAATCACAAATAAATTAAAAATATCCTGCAAAATGAACGTCATACTAATTGACCATCTTAAGCAGGATTAAAAAGAATTTTCATAAATAATGAACTCACAAAATATTTTTTCATATTGACCCCCCACCCCACTGTTGAAGAAGGGGTGGGACTGTTGGGATTTTTTCTCTCCATATTAAATCAACACGTCGCTGTCATACTTTTGGCTCTACCAAGTGATACTTGAGCATGGTTATGGATTTTTTTCAGAGGCATTTATGCACTACAACAAAAGTTATGAGGGAATGTTCTTCAAATTAGATATACTCAAAATTGAATTTGGGGTAGGAAAATGCTTAAAATCACAAATTAATTCCAAACATCCTGCAAAATGTCTAATAAATAGTGAACTTCATGCTTATTGACCATCTTAGGCAGGATAAAAAACAATTTGCATAAATAATGTACTCACAAAATATTTTTTCATATTGACCCCTACCCCACTGTTGAAGAAGGGGTAGAGTTTTTGGGATTTTTGGCTTCATTGTAAATTAAATTAAATGGATGTAATCATCATTGGTTTTTATGGTTTTACAATGTTTTTGCTTGTTGCGTTTTTAGGGACGCACTGTAGATCAACACGCATACTTGTCATCAAAGTCAGAGTATTTAAAAGGCCATGGTTATTCTTAACATCACTTGTTCGATTTACACTAGAGCCCTAAGACGTCTTGGGTAAAACGTTTTAGCATTAAAATCCTTTAACATCCTTTAGCAAAAAGTAAGGATAAGTAGGAGCGGAATAGCCATGTTGACTGAACAGTCCTTCAACCAGTACTGAACTGATATTTTCACATTACGTGTATACTTACATATCTCCAAGACGTTTTAGGAAAACAGTGTAAACTCAATCATATTTCGTAAGATGTCTTGAAAATGCTGATGTAAACTCAACATAATTTTTCTAACACGTTTTAGCCAAGAAGTCTTAGAATGCCGTGTGTAGTGTAAACTGGGCTACTAATAGCATCATTTGTTGCTTTCTTTGTTGCTTTTGCAATCGCCCACTTGTCCTTCTGTCCGTCTATCAGTCCGTCGGTCTGTCTGTAAACATGTTTTAAGTTATTTTTGTTTAAAATCAATACAGTGAACACCCGTGACTCCTGGTTCAAAATCTCGCCTATTTTTAAAATGGCTGCCAATTGACTTTTGGACCATTTTGTATATATACAGGTATATAGTTTATAAATAACTTCTGGTGTCCTGCATTGTTAAAAGCCATGTCAATCAGTCAATGTAAACAGTAAATTTATAAAATAATTTTGGAAAAAATTGCAAAAGATTTGTATCTGCTTTTTTATTGTCGGCCATTTAAGATATTGTTCACTGAGCAACACTAGGTGAGCCCACTGCCCAGTGAAGTTTCCTCAATAATATTTTCCCCATATCGAGCTAAGGATGTTAATTTCAATCGTCCTTGGTACACCATTAGCCTTGGGGGTATATGGGGTATTTGTTTATACCATCAACTGAAACAATAAGATGTTTTTCTGTCGCAGATGGAGAAAGTTGAACTGAGGTCAAATCTGCAATGTGATGAATTCGAAAAATTAAATGGGTATTCGTGTGATACTTCCTTATATATGGGGATATTTTCAACACAAAAACGTTTTATTCCTCGAGACTCGAGAAGGTCGATTGATGATATGTCCCATATTTTTTATCCATGAGCCTTCCTTGAGAAAAACAACGCCGCCAAATAGGCCTATATGACAGCAGTCTATTGGGTCTGACAGCTATCCAAATAAAAAATAATTCAGCATACTAATAAGTTTCTTCATGTTTTCTTAGGGTTATACAAACAAGACAATAGTTGAATTGGATGAGCAGCTCATACTCGGTGAAACAGAAATAACGTCGTCCCAAACACGTCACGCACCCTATGGACAGCCGTTGTTAGTAGACAACAAGGGGGTTGCAGCTTGTGTGTTAACTCAACGTGATTACATCCATTCGTTCACGCAGAGAATCCATATGCCCCTTTGGTCATCAGTGCAAGTAACATCATCGGTAAATCAGTTGAATTGTATTCTCTGTAAATTGTATTCTACGTTCACCCAGGCGCTCTATAGCTTTGAGTTACTGTCACCAGAAGTGGACGGCGTTCGGCACCTGTAACAAATTCTTACAACTTCCATTAACTTAACAAGTACTGTTTAAGCTAACTTCAAACTATTACTGTGAACATATATAAAGATGATATTATTTGGTTCTGTATCTATTGTTACACTTTTGTAACCATTTGCAATTCCTAACTCGGCGGTGACATTTTGTCGTGTTAATGCCTTGTTGTGTGCTTGTATGTATGGCATCAAGATTTTTGCTGAGAACCTATTCAATAGTGATGGTTTATTACGGAATGTGCAGCATTCACACATGAATCTGCAATTTTGATATGTGAATCGGCCATATCTACAACGATTCTGCACTAAGAATCATGATATCTAAACCTCGACCTCGACCTTATTGGTTGAGAGAATCCTGTTTAAAAAGAGCACGGTGGAATAAACTTATAAATAAACAAAAAAAACAAGAACATTCTGAACGAAATCACTCAATAATGCTTTCGTTCAGTCCTTCGACATCTATCTACCCGCAGCAGGGGTCCCACGGTAGGCTTACTAGAGATTGAATATTAGTATGTTTCTACGATACTGACCTCACGATACGATGCGAACGATACGTTACAGCGTGAAACAAAACTTTATTCAGATTTTTTATTTATGGCATCACGGAAGAATATTTTTTCAAGGCATGTTCAGATATATTGACAAGTAAGTTGTTATAACTTTTGATCAAAACATTCGATCATTTGATGATTTTTAACTTGACAATGTTTCAAAAACTTGAAGTTATGTACTTTCATTTCAAAAACCGATGCGATGTGTCGTTTAGAAATATAGATATCACCTAAAATCACGCCTAACCATCGACAAGGTACTGTGACAAAATATACCGTAGTACACTTTAGATGTACGATGTCACTATTTAACCGATTTGAAGCAAAGACAGTGATATAGGTTTGATGTAGGTTTTAAAAAAATAATCTGAGGAATGCATTTAGGATTTCATGTTAGATTTTTTGTGTATTCGTTTCGGAAGATATTTAACTTTCTAATAACGTTAACAGATTTTCGAACAGTGCTCGATTTATTTCGTAGTGTACATGTTTTATGATGAAACTGAGTGAAAAATAGCTTCAAATTAATGGACTTCATCTTTCAATTGTTATGACGTCATAACAATATTGTAGAAAATACATGGATACGCGTGGCAACAAAGCTCCATTGTTATGACATCACAGCTTAGTTTTGTAGAATGAGCATGGTGTATCCGTTGCTATGCTACAAGGGGCGATCAACAAATAACCCAAATAGAGCCATATCTCAGAAACTTATTGGAGTTAGAACACCAAATTTGGTACGTAGTATCACCAAATATTCATTATTATTGCAACAAAATCTGAGGCACAAATATTACTTCATGCCAGAGTTGCGGCGGTTGCCATAGAAACCCGTGGTATGGGCACCTGAAGCAGGTCGTGAATCATAACAATAAGGTATCGAACGTCTGTCCAAAATGAGTTTGAAGGCTATACATGTCAATACCAAACATAAACCACAGGCATTGTGGAAATCAACGTCAAGTTAGACAACCATACTGAAAAATGGTAGAATTGAAAACTCCAGTTACCATACTGCCATAGAAGACAGAGAGAATTGATATAATGCTGTATTTTGAATGAAATGTCACTGCAAAATACTTATCAAATGCTAAATAAGTCATTTGGTAATGAAAATGGACTAAGCAATATTTACAGATGGTACAGAACGATTTCTGAAAAACCAAGAAGATCTGCTGAGGATGCTTCCCGTACAGGTGCTCCAAAAACAACATGCATAGGAGAGATGATTAAAGAAGTAGAGCAGCTGGTTATGGTTGATAGAATTGTCACTACTTATCATGAACTGGGCATGAGTTATGAGTCTGAAAGTGATTGTTAAAAAAACTGTGATATTATATATTTGAGGTGTTTCAGGTGCCCACGACTATGCTAAATCCTTATTGTTACTTAATATCAAAAGACCTGTTTCAGGTACCCATACCACGGGTTACTATGGCAACTGTTTCTTTGGCATATATCGATGTTTGTGCCCGAAACTTTCTGGAAATATTTATGAATGTTTGGTGATAATATGTGTCAAGTTTAGTGTACTAACTCTAATTAGTTTCTGATATAGGGCTCTATTTGCGTTATTTGTTGATCACCCCTTGTATGTTGTTAATGTTTATAGACCTGTGATGTCACAAGTAAATCTCATCTTGCACGTGTGACTTTTTAGGATGAAATATGCAATATCTTGCATGGGGTAAAGCTGGCTGTATCTTTGTTAGTCATATAAGAAAATATCATCTTCCAACGACATCTTGGTAAAATATCATTCATTTAACAATTTAGAATAATCAGCATGATTTGTGCATCACACTTTAAAATATTTTGCATTTCAGTAAATATATCAAATCATGTATAGTTTTATAAAGATGTAGTTTTAGTTAGTAGTAGATAGTAGTTTTAGTGAGTAGTTTATGACTAATGTAATCAGGTAATGATACAAGATGTCAATAAAAGTTATAAAATACTCATATTAAAGGATATGGCTGTGTTAAATCACACTGCATACTATTACGCGGTAAACACGATACAAAAATATGTCATATTCCGCAACGAATATGGCATATTCACTTGCGGTGTATGACAGATTCACCTGCGGTATATGGCATACACACTAACCAATGAGAACGTGATACGGAAGTACGCAATTGTCAACTGCCTCGAATGTACGAACAAGTGAAACGTTATAGATTATTATAATGATTACTGAATCAACGTGTGTATCGAATATATTAACTTAGCAGAAGTATAAGTCACCAATCTCGCGTAATAAACTTACTCAATCAATCCAGGATTCATATATTAGAACTCGACGCACAAACTACAGGTATATCGGTAATTCAGCGTAGTTTTACATTTGGAATCGATTCTCGCAACCAATCAAATCAAGGCTTTCTGTATCACGTTTTCACCTGCGGTATAAGTCATATTCACCTGCGGTATATGGCATGTTCCGCGAGTGAGTATGACATATTCCGCAGGTGAGTATCGGGTATTCACTGAAATCAATGTATCGCATATTCACTGCGGAATATCGCATACTCACCTGCGGAATATGCCATATACCGCAGGTGAATATGGCATACTCACCCGTATCACAAATACCGCGCAGCCATGAATGTATGCCATATACCGCGTAACAGCATACATGTACCATGTAAATCTATGTTTGAATGTCCCGACTGGATATAAATAGTTGTAAAATTGGTAAAATTTGTGTTGTCACGAAATTACGTTCAAATAGCTTCAATAAGACTAATATACATCATATACTAGTAGTCTAATTAACAAGGGTTCGTTTTCTTTATGACTGATGTACACTTACACGTTTTTTCTTGCTGTGTTCTGTACAATAGACTAATACGCGATAGACGAAAACATGGTCATTAACATAAATTTCTCCCGCAATGCATCACTTCAAGTGAGACAAAATTTCATTGGTCCGTTGATTAAACCAAATTCTCCCAACCTTAAAACCATGTTTTTGCGTATTGTCGGGACGATAAAGGTCATACTAATTTCAAGTTACAACCTTCACAATTGATATAAGTTAAACATATATTAATGAACATCAAACCCGCGTTATATACACGAGAACTTGCTTCTTTTTCATATTGAGTCATCGAGTCTCAGCTTCCGGGAACCAAGTCGGTGACTTCACCATGGAACATTTCATGATTATCATCAATTTCGAAAAATATTCGTGAAAACGCTTTGCAGATTACCATAAGGACCTATATTTTTTATCGATTGTGCAAATATCCGTGAAGAGGAATGTCAAATAATGCTGAAATGATGTATTCAAAATCGGACTCAGTATATTTCAATGGGGGAAAAAACGGATGTAAAAAATCTGTTCCGGAATTGGAGCTCTTCAACAGGGGAGGTGAGAATATTGTTGTCATTCTGAACTATCGCGTACACCTCTATTTGTCCTTCCTCTTGACACTTGTGCTTCCACATTAATCATTACTATCTAGGCCCGTAGCCAGGATTTTCCAAGGGGGGGGGGGGGTTCACTTTTCCAAAAAATTCTAGGGGGGGGGGTTCACTTTGGCAAATTTGGCCAAAAATCACTCAAAAAATAGTCAGAATGGTGAAAAACTGCATGATTTTGAAAGAAATTTTGGCCAGGGGGGTTCGCCCGAACCCCCTGAACCCCCCCTGGCTACGGGCCTGCTATCTAACTATACAAAAATAGCCTAGACTATAACATCGTATAATAATATTCATCAGTAAAGCTTGAAACAAATACCATATCATATTATTGTCAAATGCACGATACAAAAACCACTCAAGGCATATCGCATGTGTCTGTCTAGTGTTTTTTTGGTTTAAGTGGAAATAAGAAAGTGCTAATCGACAGATTCAAATTATCTAATTATCGTTATGGCTAACTGGACACAGCTAACTGAAGCCTACATGTTTGATTAGTAGTCATATACGCGTGATATAGATGTATTGATAAAGTGGGTCTCTTCAAGTAGGGCTGTCATCTTCTGAAAGAACTCCATAAAGGCAGCAGCAAATACACCATTCCAATGAACCTGTCCACCTTTTGGTACAGTTAAGAAATTATGATAATTGACTAGATTGATGATGTCGTCGTTTGTTGTAGGTTGCGATTATCAAAAATAGCATAAACTTACAGTCAATATGTTACAACGAAAATGGGACTTCTGCGCATGTTAAAATTTTTCGTCAAAACTCAACTTTTGTTCAAGTTGATACGATTGTCTTTCGAACTAGAGACTTAGCTCATTCGAAAGATCATAAAATACTTTATCTATACTGAAAATCTTAGATCCAAACATAGTAGAATACGCCGTCAGTCCGCATTTGATTTTTTGAAGTGAGTTTCGTAGATCGTCAGATTTCTCCGACTGATATCGGGTTATCTCAAATTGGTTCGTTTATAAATACGAATTTCTTTACCGTTGTAAGGCGCATGCGCAAAATTGATTTATAAACGTTATTGGTTGATGGTTTTTCTCATGAGCATGCTTGAAGTCTGATGAACACTTATGACGAAGACCGGAGCAAACATCACTAGCTCTCGAACGAAATTTCAAGATTCAGATCATTTCGCCGTGTTTACTAAGCGTGTATACGTGAATGACAATAATATATAAGCACAAATGCCAAAGGGAAAGGTGACTAAAAACTTTAAAGAAACCCAACAAGAAAAGCAAACTGTAAGTGTAAATCTGTCATAAGAAAAGTAGGCCCTATATATCCCAAAACCATAATCTAACGTGAAAAGAAACAATGTCTAACATCCCCCTCCCCCCTTCAATCGAGAACCAATATCACAATCCAGGACCAGAACACCAAGGGACATTTCATTCATACTGAAGTCATTACAATACATGTTGAAGAAAAATTGAAAAAATTGATAGCCAATACTCATATCATCAAAAATAGTTGTAGATACTAGTACTCATAAAAGATAGAGTATACATTCTCAAATGATGTGGGATAGATACTCAAAACAAGCTGTTAGAGTAGATCAGGTACCTGTTTTAGACACAACATTGATTTAGCTTTACATTGATGTGCACATTGGCACTTTTGAACATGTTAATACAAGTTTTTACACTCTTAGCACGAGACGGGTTTTCGAAAAATCTTTTATCTGATTCACTCGATTATCGTATGGATATGTATTTCTGCTGACATTTCAACATCACATCACATAGAATTACGATGCAGAATGATAATAAAACACAAAACAACTACTCAATTCCACTTGTTATTTCACAGGAGGTAAAAATGCACACTGCCTAGATTCTTTGTAAGGGTCGTCAGACATCGGATTGGCCGCCATATGAAAATATAACTAAATAGAGCTCTGCGCATGTCTCAACATTTCGACTGCTTAGGCCGACTGCACTAACTTGCTACTAATTTTAAAAAAAATACAACCAATGACATCATCAATCTAGCCAATACAGCACAGCTTCTTCGATTTGCCAAAAGGTGGTACGGCTTATTTGAAAGCTCTATTCGATTGTAAAAATGTGAATTTGCGTTAGCACGTATGTTAATATGGCCATATTTTTATGGATAGTATAGAGAATCCTGTCTAAAAGTCACTTAATATTTCCATTTGAATGTATGTAGAACTCCATTGGCATATTACTATATAATCTCGTTGGCACGTGGATTGCGATTTAACATTAAGATTGTGAACCTTAAAAGAGTAAATAAACTAAGAACGGTATTTTAACATTGTGTCAATGAGGATTTAGCCCAACCTTTTTCAGTTTTTAGAAAATCCTGTATACAAGGGGCGATCCATATATTCTGATAAAATTTTGTGATTTTTTCACATATCCTTTTCATTTTTTCAGAACATGTAGCTTATGTAATTACACATACGATGCTAAACTATTTTAGCTGTATCTTAAATTAATTTTGAAATAAGGTTGCCATGGTAACCTGTATTTAGGGTAGGCAGGTCACTTAAATTATAACGTCTAAAATAGATAAATATGTTAATTTAATCATTCCTCGGTACCTATTTTAAGCAGATCAAACGCATCTTCCAGTCATTGTCAACTATTCATTGATCTGTTCCATACCCCTGTTGCCCTTGTTTGATAATTTATACAGTGGGATAGCTATCTTTTCATAAGTAACATCTCAATTTATCGTAGTGTTATTCTCTGTCCGCAAGCTCTTCTTGCAACCAGATTGCGGATGATCTTCAACAGTGACCATGCTTTCCTCTTTACAATACTACCTAGCTATATATTCTTTATGCAGATATAACACCTTGCCCATGCACTTTATGAGTCCATCTATGTCTCTGACAGTGTCCTCTTACTTATTCTTGAAATAAAATCAAATCTAATGGTATTCTCTAATGTATCTGTTAATGTGACACTCTGCATCAGCCACATTAACCTAATCTGACAATTTGATTTTTGGTGTGTCTCATAACATGTAATGTCAATTGGCCCATTCTGTCCTATAATGCTATTGTGATTTGTTGTGATGTTATAGTGAGCACATATAAACATTTGTTTAGCAACAAAGAACAAGTAACAATACCAAACCTTTTTAGAAAAAATGCATGATTTCCGCATGCTTTAAAATAATTAAAATAACAAGTTATTTTGATATTTATATGTTATAATTAAATTGACCTGTCTACCCTTAATACAGGTTACCATGGCAGCCTTATCTCATTGATAATTTAAGATATAGCTATAATATTTTAGCATTGTGTGTGTAATTACAAAATCTACATTTTCTGAAAAAATGAGAGGGATATGTGAAAAAAATCATAAAATGAGAGCATTTTTATCAGAATATATGGATCGCCCCTTGTATATGGATATTTTGAATATTTAAATCTATTTCACATGTTAAAATCTAAAACATTGCTGACTCTTGTGACTGCGTATCCACAAAACCACAATTCTGGTATTATTCCAACATACATTATAGAGATGTCACAAATATGATCGCTGGATCAATATATTATTATCTACCTGTCATTACCTTTAATTACATTCACAGCATCGTATACTCTGATTTAGATCTCGAAAAAACAGATAAGAAGCATCCATTTTCACATTATAATATAATACATGTATGCATTATACTCTAAGGGTTTTGGCCTAGTACAATGCAGATGGATGTTTTTTAAGCCTATACTATTGGAAATGGCAAAAACGTAATTGTATTTTCCTCTTTAATGATTTGCACATTAGAATATAATTCACAGGTATAACGACCTAATCACATTCAATATAACAATTTTTGTATTCAATCTGGGTCTGTTAGGGATAATATACCAATATCCATGAGTTTATAATTGCAAACCTTCGGTTTTTGCTTCAGGTTTAACTTTTTATTCTGTTCAGTTCATTATTCAAAGGAAGGGTGCGATAAGGGCCAATTACCCCATGGTCAAAAATAAATATATTAGGTGTAAAATGAAGATTACAATGTTAAATAATACTTTGGAAAATATGTAAGTGTTTGAACACACATAGCAAGTTTGTATTGACTTAGATTGGGATGTGCTCCGTTGACTTAACTAACAGTTGCTCTAACACCTCAATGAGGGTTAATTTGGTATATGACATGTGGGATATCATGTCTTTATATGTTAAAGGTAAGAGGGAGAACATATTTATATGACACCCATTAAGAGTATGATATACAAAGCATTAAATATATATACCGGTATGTAATTGTATATATTTATTGTATATATATTGTTGTTTAGATGAATGGACGTCCAATAGATGACGACACTGCGTGTATTAGGCAAGACGCAAGGCTAACATTAGATGGCGCTGCACGGTGTGCCGAATATTCGGATATATTTCAAGACGAGATAGATCGTGCACTACTATTCACTCCAAGTAAGTTTGAATTTTGATATACTTAAATAATATTATTATCTAAATGCGTGAAAACGCCTTTTTAGTCTTAGTTTGCCCTTTATTACCTTTAACCTTACAGTACAGCGTTCATGATTTTTCCGCTTAAAGTGGATAAGCCAATATTTTTGAAATTGATATATTCAATTGATAGATTCAATTTTTTTGTCTACAGCAACAGATTGAAAATTGTCATCCCAATGCGTTTATCACACGAATTTGTTTTCATTCTGAACAGCATGGGACTTTTTCTATTATATTCAACAAACAAACTCCACATTTATCTTTTCAAAAAGCCTAATCCAGGCGCTCATTATCATGCCCTGATACGTCAGATTTCGATTGCCCAAATTGTTTCATAAATTCTGATCTACTGTAAATAAAAAAAACACTCCGAGGCTTTTAACATGCATATACATATACATTTGTATATGTTAGCCCCATTGATGCCAACCCCTGTTACGTCATTGATTAGCCCCAATAAATGCGCCCATGTCCTCATCTTGACAACTACTCTATACTTCGCAATACACGAGTCTCGAAAGCTTTATATTGAGTGAGACTCTATGAATCTGAATGACTCCAGTGAGCAGAAGACTTTATATCTTATTCCTTGGACTCGGATAGAAAGGACAGCTTATTGCCATCGGGAGATTACTTGCAATAAATCTTACGAGTTGACAGTATCCATGAAATTATATTGCCTATTAGTAAGTCTATTGCCCTTGACATATCCGCACTTTTAAATCAATCTTGTTTTTCAGGCTTTTTGGGTACAACTGATAATAGACTAGATGCAATGGTTTCTTCCAATATGGTACCAATGTATAGATCATTCCGTGACAGTGAGTAAATGTATATTGTGTATCCAAAGCCTCAAAGTATATAACCCTTACATGTTACCATAAAAGCGCAGTATATTTTAGTAATATGGAAAAACAAAACAGAATATTAATTTTACACAAATGACTAAAAAACGTGAAATAGACCACAACGTAGCCAAGAAGTGAATAAGGTAACATTTAAACTTCATAAACAAGAGAAATGAAAAAAGGAAAGTCAAAATGTTCTTTCTCGTCATAGATATCTGGCGATATGTTCAATCTATGCTATTACAATATGGACAGAGATTTGAAACTGTACAGATTACATCAGGGCCGATATTTGATTACAACTACGATGGGCTTGCAGATTCACCCAATGACATCGAAAGGTGAGACTAATTTAGATTTACGTTCTACTTCTCCTTTAACCCAATATGGTGCAGCAGGTCTAGCATCGTGACTGGTGACATACAATGACGGATGAATATAAACCTGCAAGGATTGGAATTTTCACTTCAGTAGTGGCATCTCAAATATGCATCAGATTTCCAGTTTCAGTTGTTAGCCTTGCTCAAGTCTATATTATATTTTGTTTATTTTGATTTTCAAAAAATAAATATTAAGAGAATAAAAAGACAGCCTTGGGTAAGGCTATTATTTCCTTAACGAAGTTATTTTTTTTTTGTTTTTCTAACTCACTTTTCCACCTTTTACAATAAAAGTTGTCACATTTTCCAAGATCCATTAGAAAACACAGTAATCCTTAAACAACAAATGTCATTATATGTGCAGATGAAATGGTATATTTTAAAATTTGTGATGTCCTGGGGTAAAACTGATGTTACTTAGGGTGCATACCATTGCAAAAGGAAGGATCGGAAAATTATCAGAAATGTTTGGGGTACTTACGTCTCAATTTTCAATTTATTTTCCCACCAATTTTCAAAACTATTGAAATGCATGTGAGGTTGTATGCCATGCAGATGACCATTCGTTTCTTATCGGTATATGGGTGTGCCCCAAATACGATCTAAAATTGTTCAGTCCCTACTTTTAAATCTTTGATATGACATATCACACTTTCTCGACTATAAGTATGATAAATCATTTACAGGGCGTTCATAAAGTTCTTGCAAAAGTGCTCTAAAGTTTTTGTATCTCAGTCAATCTGGCTGTAATTTTCACTCAGTATACCTACACTATTCATACATTGAGATCCGAAGTTATAATCAATAGGTCCTTGAGGAAAAAAAGTGATGGTTCCTATAGTCACATGCGTCATGGGTAAGCGGAGCAGGCAAAAAAGGATCTGTTTTATTTGAATGTTCAAAATGTTTTTAACTTGTCCTATTTACTTTAATAACGGTATCTCAAGAGTGTAATGTATTCAATATAGTGTCCATCATGGTCTATACACCTCTGCTGTCTTACTTACCATTTCTCAAACAGACGGGGGAACCCATTTGGAAAATTATTGCGATTGATCTTTGTATGGGTGGCTTTAATCAACATCATCTGATCCTCATTGGATTTCGTTCTTGGACGGACTGATCTAGCATTGTCCTTACCATTTGTTCTACTATCAGTAAATGTCTTAGTCCATTTTGTAAATGGTTCTTTTGGCCATAGCCTCCTTCCCCTACACCTTATGAATGTCTTCAAGTGTTTGTTTTCTTGAATTTCCCAGTAAAACATACACCCCGATGCTACTGAATATTTGTAATAGCAAATCATCATCTTTTGCTGATTTTGCAGCCATTTTCACAAAAAATTAGAGTACTTTTGCAAGAACTTTATGAACGCCCTGTACATATGGTAATTATACAATATTAGCAAAAGTGGTTTAAATCTTCATATGTTTAAATTAAAGCAGTGATGATTAAAAGGTGGTTCTTAGGCAGCACGATTGCAGCACGAGGGCAGCATATTTGTTAAGCGGTGATTCAAATAAATTTCAGGCGAGTTGGCGATGGACCTGTGCCGATCCCAACACATTATTTCGTGATATCAACTAGATGTGCAGGTACTCTTGATGCCAATAACCAGTGCTCTGCAGAACTGAAAGTTCAGACATTTATAATCCCACATGCTCCGAGCATAAGTAACTGCATGGTAAGATGATTTCTCGTTTTATTGTACGACAAATAAATCAACAATTTCATGCTTTTGGACTTTACCGCAGAACCTCTTCAAGATTTTAGACCCAAAATAACAAGTTTAAGAAAATGGATGAAATACATGTAGTATTGGATTCATGGCTTATTGTGATAAAGTGGCGGCCATTTTAAACATATTTTGTTGAAGACTTACTGAACATTACTGTAACCTATAAATCAAGCTTACTATAATTTAAGCTTGGAATATATTTGGAATATAACTATGATTATTCGGCGATAAAATGGCCACCAACATTTAGAATGATGCGAGCTTCTGAGACTACTATATCTAGTATTTAGGATTAAAATCATTCGAATTGAGTGAATAATAACAATATCTATCCATTCGAGGTAATAAATCCCATCCATATTTTAAGTGTTTATGAAATATTCTAGTTTATATTGTAATTGTCTCGTCTTTCGCATAATAATGCCAGAAAAGAGCTTTATCACCTCCTTCGAACTTTCACCGCTTCACCAATTTTCTGAAATTGGGATTTCTGTCTTAGCCATTATTTGAATAATTTCTGGATTGCTTTCACCTAGTTTATCATAATAAGTCAAATTTACACATTTTCTTAAATAATTTTGTCATATTTGATGAACTGATTCGCGCATTGGGTAGATTTTCTGTTGAACAGATTTTCTATTTTACATTGTTGAGTGTTGTTTTGTGTTAGAGCATGCCTCCGTGGAAAATGAGATATCTCCACTTAAAGATCATGAAGATTCCTTAATCAATGAGAAAGTTATTCCAAAATTAGTGGGTGACATTTTTGTGTCACCCTGTATAGCATGTATAGTATTCACCCTATGCAGACAGAGCCTGTGGGAAATATTGGGTGCGGCGCAAATGAGCGGAGGGTGCGGAGCTAACGGTCATTTTTGAATTTAAAATTGGGATATTTCTGAAACTAAGCCGTTTTGGGACTTCAAATATACCAAGATATGTGTATTTGACACCAAATATCAATAAAATTGTGAAAATAGTAGTGCAATTCATTTTATAGCGACGCAGTATGCCTTAAACATTTCCCAGACCTATATATTTTGAGACTATCCTTTTAATACTGCGTCCCCAGCATTCATGAAAATGGTGTTCAAGATACACTACCCATGCAAATTATTTTTGCATCTTGGAAGCCAGGCAGTATCTGTGTGATTTTATAAAAATTCGGAAATGTTCTTCAGATATGAGCCCCCTCTAAATATTGGGTGCGGAGGTACGTTTATGGAGCTCCTCCGCACCCAATATTTAGAGGGGGTATTGGAAAGTAAAAAAGACTACAGTCGCTTTTGCTAATTTGTTTCATTAGAGCAAGTCACTAGAGCATACACTTAAAGAGACATTCCAATTTACGAGTTACATAATACGCCTTGTAGCAATATCGGTAAGTTGAATTCCGGTTAATTTAATCGAACATCTCCCAGAAAAGGATATGACATCCGTGACTCCAATATCACGGTGTCCAACCTAAACGCTCTTACATGCACGACGGAGCGTTTCATTCACGCGGAAACGCTGCGGAGTGAAATAAAATGGCGGCTAATGAAGAATTCCCATTATCACGGTGTTATAGCATGACGGTTACGTCAAGGCGATTTGCAAAATTTTGCGGTTACGATAACAAAAAATGGCGGGTGGGAAAGGCAGCATGTCCTCTTTCTCGCCTGTAGGCAATTATCACAGATAAGATTTCCTTTTAAACTAGTTCCATTCGGTGACGTTTATATGGATGGTTATAAAGACTGGGTCAAATCTGCCAGGTGGTCTACAAGAAGCAGAATATAAGCTGTAGACCTACCGACTGAGATATCCAAGTTTATAATTTTTGGTTCATTCTCGTGTTTTCTCAGTACAAGTGCCTCAGAGCAACTCAAAATATTAACTGTAAGTAAACTGTGTATAAACAAGGCATATTGGGGAAATCGTCAGACGGCTCATCATTCCCTCCGCCATTTTTCCTACTCCGGAACGTTTCTTTGTTTAGTTTCAGTAATGAAACGCTCCGTCGTGCATGTAAGAGCGTTTGGGTTGGACACCGTGCATATACTGATAAACGTTACAACACTCAGAACAAATTATTTTCCACCGAGAACATTCTTGCTTTAAATTCAGTATAAACACATTTCGAAAACGCTTATTGCTTTAAATCCTTGCACGGCCTTAACGTTGTTCCATTGTATATGGAATATTCCCTGGACTAAGTTAAAATTGATGGACACTGGGCCATAATTCTTATTTTCTAAATAAAAGGTTATAACTAAGTGTTTCTGTGAGTAAAAGAAAAGTTAAATATACTATTTAGTGTGTTTTGGAATTTTTTCTTGACCTAACTAATTTTAGTTTCTGTTTATCTAGCCACATTTGATATGATATCATTTGATCATGTCCGTCCGTATGTCCGTCCGTCTTGGCGATAACTCAAATACCGACTGACGCGCGGATTTGATTCAAATTCTATAGGCGTATGCCCTATGGGTGTAGGACCTTTGCTCGAGAAGGAATTTTCAATATGGCAGCTCAATTCAAAATGATCGTCATTTTTCGGAAAAAATGTAATCTTTGAAAACTCAAATACTAGTTGACACATGTGGTTCAAGTTTAATATGCTTGTGCTTAGGAACAAAGGAGCTTTGCTCATGAAGAGATTTTGAAAATGGCTGCCATTTTCGTAAAAAAGCGTAATCTTTAAGTACTCAAATACCAGTTGATGGATTTGGTTCAGATTTTATATGCTGATGCCTCAGGACACGGGAACTCTGCTCAAGAAAGAATTTTCAAAATGGCAGCCGAATTCCAAAATGGCCTCCATTTTCGTAAAAGGACGTCATCTTTGATAAATCAAATACCAGTTGAGATATTTGGTTGAACTTTTATATGCTGATGCCTAGAGACAAAGTTGCTCTACTAAAAGAAACACTGAACTTGGAATTTCTAATTTTATAGGCGTATGCCTTATGGATGTAGGACCTCTGCTCGAGAAGGACTTTTCAATATATAAAATAGGATTTATTTGTACTGATGCCCTTTTAGGGCCAAACGTACATCCAACATTCAATTTTCAATATAATATGGCAGCTCAATTCAAAATACATTTTTTTGTAAAAAATGTAATTTTTGATAACTCAAATACGAGTTGACCGATTTTGTTCAAATTGTATATGCTGATACCTAGGGATACAGCAGGAGCTCTGCTCAAGAAGGAATTTTCAAGATGGCCACTTTAATTTGTATGGGCGATTGGTCATACGTATAGGTTGGCGTTTCGATTTTATATGCAAGCTTAAACTCCCTATTGTTCACTTTGTGTCATGTTTTCTTTGACGATGTTTGCTAGAATGAACGGTTGTAGTACAGCAACAGTTAGTATAGATGTGAATTCTATTGCACATCTTGACATTAAATACATTATCGGTTAATATGCTCAAGACATTATCATGGATATTAGCCTTCATACGCGTATTTATTCAGAACATCTATATCTTTTGTAAAATCAATAAATCTTTTTGTTCTGGAAGTATGGTTTAGAAATTGGATTCAAATGGACGTCCAGCTGACGATAAATGTATATAATACTTTAATGAACTGAATTACATCCATCATGTATGATGTCTTGTAGGATCGGTTTTGCCTCTTTGGTTTTTTATTTGTTAATTTTTCCTACAACAGACATAAAGAGCCCTCTTACGTTGCCCCTCTATGGAAATGGTGAACATTTGCAGTTCACCAGACCACATTTGTCCCCCTGGAGGATCAATGCTTCATTTAAGTTACGTTGTCATTAAGAAAACGCAGAATGAAAAATGAATTAAATTTTCAGTAGGTCAAGCTGGTTCTTCGCGTCAGAATAGAAGATCGAACCACATTTGAAGCGTGTACACATTATGACTCATATATAACCTAGAAGTACTATTTTTCGATTTTCCAGGCAAATGATGAGTTCCTTGCAAACAATATTGCAAGAGTAAAAGATGTCGAACTTCTCACTGGGCTGGAGTTCTTCCCAAATATGAATCAAGAACAGGCCGTGAGGGTTCGCACCAGCCTACCAGAAGCACTATGGTGAATATGATGGAATCGACGGAAACAAAAAACAACAAGGAGTCGATAACGATAACTACCTATCAAAGTAAATAATTAATCAAATGTGACCTATAAATCGAAAGTATCGACTTTGACCTGAAATATATCGAAGAAATAATGATGTTATTGCTAAGTTATTATTTACAAATCAAAGTTACTGTAAACAATGTAAAATACTGCAGTTGTTTTGAAAAGTATAACTGAGCTGGAAATAGCTAGGAGAAAAAATATGAAAAAGAAGGTACCAACAGATGATTAGAGCGATAAGATTATAGAAGGACACAAAATTTCGACATGTCCTAACAAATGTGGGATCCTGTAGAGATTTCTTACAAAGAATCATCAAAGTTGTCCGTCACATGATTCGTCTTAAAACTTGTAGACAAGATTAGGACGGAAAATCCAAAATGGCCATCTTAACATTTACCCAGAATGCCCAAAAACTAATAAATTTATTATTTTCGTACAGAGAATCATCCCATATAATTCGTAGACAAGACTTTTTACGAAGGTAAATAAAAATTGCCGGCAAAAAACATATATGTTTGGCCTAGTCCTTTTTACAAAATTATCGCAAACAACTATTGTTAACAGTGATATGGCTTTCACAATACAGGATGCCTGAAATTATTTATAAAGCTACTAAATAGTTTAATTATGAAAACTCAAAAACACCTTATGATATGACTGTGAAGCCGTTATTTGCAGACAATGATCTTAGCATTTGAAGCGATTTTGGAGAAAACTAAGGGACGGACGGAGATACGGACAGACTGACGGAAAGGCAGACATACAGACTCGCATAGGCCGACAATATGACTCCCCTCATTATTTTTTTTTGGGGGGGACATAAAAATGACCCAAGGAAAAATTGTGTAAGTAAGTATCGAATAAAAAGGATCTTGTTTTATGAAATGCCAATATATTATTGTTATATCGATACTCAGCATTGATACCAGTGTCACTATTTGTATATGTATTGTTTATGATATTTGTAAATGTATTCAATATCAATAACTAGTTGTTATTCCATGTGTGGTGATTTATTATCGATGTTTACACACAGAGCCGAAGACGCTATGCTCTGTTTAACATCATACCTTCCGAACATAGTGCTATACAGAACTCGTTCCTCACAGATATTCTTTATCTTGATCCCTGTGGTTGGTGGAGGAAATAAATTTCAATTTCGTATTTATTTTTGTAATAATCATTGGATAAATATAAATCATATGATGGTTGATTTTTAATATGGATTTTATTGCAGGTTAATAATGATATTGACCGAGGGAAATATATCTTATTTCCATATGCTTTACCTTATACATCTATTCAATATCTTCATATCTAACATCGTTGTATCTTTTGTGTAAATAATCTTTCAGACACTCAAAATATGTTCTATATAGTATATAAGCGTAGACATACCAAATTGAGGTTTTTGATAAAGTTATTTATCATTTAAGATAAACTTTTGAACCAGAGGGTAGTTGAATCGCAAAACGCGGCCATTTTAAATATTGCGTTTCCGGTTCACAGAGAAATTGTATTTATACCAAACATATTGTCGCACAGCATATTTGTATAGTTTCTGTTGAAAACAAAACACGATATTTTATACAATTTTAGTGTTTAATCTGATCTTATTCTTGCTGTCACATCTGCTATTTTTCTGCAAAATGAGACCCTTGTGTTAGCATCTGTTGATCAAGGACATTGATCAAATCACTTGATATACTAGCTAGTAATCGAGGATGAAAACAAGCTTCGTTCTCGAGAACCGAGATGTTACCGCTCAGAGAGAAATCAGAATGACGGAATGTCTATTAGATTCACCAGGTTCCATAACTTAGCTCATCTCGTTCCAATTTACCTCAAGACGCATAGGTTACGATTCACAGCTGCAAATGACAATCGCATGGCTTGATAAAAGCGGTGAGCAATGAACACTAATTAACAAAATAAAAACTAATGAAACAATTTGGAATGGAATTTTGTTTCTCATGAAGCGTATTGCAGATATATATAATCGGCCGTGGACAGAGCAAAGACATATAATAAATATCATATGTCTCTGAGCAGAACTATGAGTTAAGTATTAGCTTTGTAATGGAATATGTATTGTAGGACTTAAATGGCGCCAGGGGACTTTACATTCGGATGATAATTAATGTTATAAATCAAGGATTAGGTCTACCTCAATTTGTGGAGCCACAAATATGTAAGTAAGGCACTCATCCCGGTATTTTCTTTTTATTACAATTTAGATTACATCTACCTATTAATATCAAAATGTTTGGAAGTGTTTGAATATCCTTAGATACTTAGCTAATGATCATTGTAAGACATAGTTTCTCGAAAATTTACTTCAATATCAAAAATTTCCGTGCATTTCGATTCAATCACCATCAATAATCGCATTGAATGGAATGGACTAACTGGTATATTTTTGTATTTTTTCATTATTTTATCAGAGTTTTTAATTGTTTGACATCGGAATGTTTAAGCTAGTATATAAAATCGAAACGGCAACGCATACGTATAAATTGCCCGTATACAAATACACGTAGCTTCCTCACTTAAGGTAGTACTTCACAGTGTGTCAGTTTTTTTTCTACAATTCAGATTTTCTTGAAAAAATCTAGTTAAAAGATAAACTTAGTGAAAAAATGTTTTAATCTAACATTGCTCTCAATGGGAAATTCTTTTTTATTTTAAAAAAAATCCTGGAAATGGTATTTCTCGTTCTGAACACAAAACTCCGAAGCTGAACGGGTATCTGAAGTAAACTAATTTGCGCTTGTTTTGTATGCGCGCTATACATTGCTATATTGATTCATGTACGTTCCGTTCTCGGTTGCTTTGTAAAACATTGCTAGCTTAAACTCTCCATTGTCAAGGACATTCCGTGGATGTATTTTCTCATTTATTTTAAGTGTCATATTTAATACAAGTAAACCTTATTCAATGTTCCTTCAATCATATACAAGGGCCGAGCAATATATTCGCTACTTTTTGCTTTATTTTCTTTCATATTTTTTCATTTCTATTGAAATTTAGCACAGACATGCAGTGAAGAATTCTGCATCTTTTGATACCATTTGTGAGCCAATTACTATATACAGCAAAACATTCTGGTTGTCATAGCAACGTGAGTAGCGGGTCACCGGAGCTGCCCATTATTTTACCGCAACTGCACATACAACAATGTCTTTATATGCCCATTTCTCCTTACGAAAACATTCAGTTTGGGTAATTTTTTTATACATTGTTTACTGGACATTACTGGACACTGACCTTATATTCAGAACAATGCATAAAGATAGCATCAGAGTGAATTTAGCGGAATCTAACTGCCAAGAGGAAAGAAGGGCAAATGATCAGCATATTCACTAGGTTCTACTCTCAAATTGTTGGTTTACAGCCTGACCTGACATCATCAATTGAGTTACGGCCAAGTTGAGACCTTTTGAACCAATATCTAATGAAGTAATAACATTCACAATCTTCTTCATATGTACAGGTAGCTCTTTAGTCCTCAACAGCTTCTTTTAATGTATGTTCCTTTTTCACTGGTCTAAATAGAAGCTGTTCTCTTAGCTTTGCATTCATCATGTTTGTTTCATGTTTGCAACTCAGTAAGCACAAGTCTCCCTTTGTGATGCACACACGGATCAACTGTGACCTCTTCATTGTTTCAAATAAATATCTGTGACATCACAAACATTGTTTTGAATATTTTGTAAATATGGAGTAAACAATGTATGTGTATAAAAAATTACCCAAACAATGTTTTTGTGTGAAGATATGGGCATATAAAGACATTGTTGTATGTGCAGTTGCGGTAAAATAATGGGCAGCTCCGGTGACCCGCTACTCACGTTGCTATGACAACCAGAATTTTTTGCTGTATATAGTAATTGGCTCACAAATGGTATCAAAAGATGCAGAATTCTTCACTGCATGTCTGTGCCAAATTTCAATAGAAATGAAAAAATATGAAAGAAAATAAAGCAAAAAGTAGCGAATATATTGCTCGGCCCTTGTACAAGGTGGAGAATCAAAACGATGGCAAAGCCGAGGACTGCGACTCGCGTAACTGTTCAACGCATTACGGCACCAACATGATAGGACATCCGGAAGGGTGCCTTTCACGTTAATGGACAAAACTTAGAAATCCAGGTATTTTAAATGCTATTCTAGTGTTTTTTCGGTGACTAAGAGATTACTCTGTATCCATTCAGCATTTGTCCAGATTAACCTGGAAAGTAGCAAAATTTGATTTTACCTGTAGAACCTGTATATATAATCCAACTTTACCATACATTTGAAAAGATTTTCAACGAGTTTCTGAATACCTATAGCTTGATTGAAACTCAAGGTATGAGTTGTGAGAATGATGTGATAACAGAATGTGTTTATAAGGAGAAAATCTTGATTCAAACGGCGCATTCAAAGTGGACGCAGTCCAGTAAACGTCCTATTTTCCTTTGCCTTGGCTGTGCTTGGTTTATTCATGAAGCAACGGCGGACTGCGTTGGGCAGATGGATGGACTGCAGATATTCTTATCTTCCAATTTTCTCAGTAATGGTACGTTTTCAGCTTACCGAAGATCACATGAGATGTAATTGGGCCAACAGGGGAAACATTTGACAAAAATACATTTTTGTGGCAGATTTTTAACTTGTGTGTGTTCATTCTATGCTATTGGACAGCCGGGCAACAAAAATGCTATTGCAGATGTGAAGTACCCGCTCTTGTATTTATCTATCCAAAGCAATGATTTACCCCAAATCTTAGTTTGGATTTACCGCCATTGTACGCGTAAACCTCGTCGCAGTTCGCGGCTGTGCCATCGTTTTAAATCCCTACCGTGATATAGATCGATCTATACCACGGTGTATAACCCAAACGCTCCTACATGCACGACGGGGCGTTTCATTTACGCGGAAACGCTCCGGAGCGAAATAAAATGGCGGCTAATGAAGATTCCACTATGACCGTAAGTATTGTTTCTCTCGTCTCTCTTACATATCATATGTTATGGTGAAATATTATGTACCACTCGATGAACAATACCGTGAGCAAAGATCTTATTTATTCAACTTCTGGTGGTAAACTGTTATTTGCTTGATCAAAGCTCCGAAGTGTAGATCGAACGAATCTGAAGATAACGATTTGACCACAAATTACGAATTAAACTAGTATTTCTATAAAAACGTTAATATTTCTGTTAAAGTAGTAGATCACAAACTCGTATATTCTCATTTCCTAAAATCCCAGTCCAAATCCATTACTTGTTCCCAAGAAATCTCTTTTTTAGAACACAATTTTAGAAACGCTCTTACCATTTTGTTTTGATATTATTTTTAGATTATTAGAGAAGAGTTCCGAATCGAATCTATCTCTCAAAAACGTGTTGTACTTGTTAGGAAAATTGAAACATCTGAACCTGGTGGTGCTAAACGTGCAACTAGCTGATTTAAGCCTAAATAAATTAGATGATGTGATGCCTACATGTGTGCTAAATCATACAACTATAGAAAAAACGAAAAATATGTGAATTAATCTTTCTTCTTTTGATGCCAAGGGGTATAATAGATCTTTTCTTTCTCTTCCTGAAAAGGAAAGGCAAGCTATATATTTCCTAAACAGATCTAGACTACCGGAGCGTTTCCAGTTCACTGTGTTAACCAGATCGGAGCGTTTCTTGAATATGAGAATGTCATCATTTTTAAGACTGGATTTTCGGTCATCAAATCACTATTACGATAATGTATGGTGCGTTGAAGCATTGGAATTTGACTAAAATATACATTGGTGCTCTAATCTTGGCTCAACTAATCACATGTATCGACAAAAGGGGTTTTGACCGGTAGAATGACAATTACGTTTTTGGATTTTGATGACTATACTGCTTCGTACAGCTCTTCCTAATTGCTTCAAACGTCAACAGCCAGTCAAGTACAACATGAATATCACACTCATCGAATGGTATACTCGAAATATGTAACTCATACCTCTTATTCCCATTATTGGGGAAATCGTCAGACGGCTCATCATTCCCGCCAGCCAGTTTTCCTACTCCGGAGCGTTTCTTTGTTTAATTTCAGTAATGAAACGCTCCGTCGTGCATGTAGGAGCGTTTGGGTTATACACCGTGTATACGGGGGCCAGTTCATAATCTGTCATAATTTGTCGGGAGAATACATTTTGTTTTTATATGGCGCTAAACAAAATATTCCCGCAATATAAGGCGCATTATGGGTAGGGACTGCTGTGAAATAATGAACGTAAGTGACACCTATCTTAGATTATACGTTCTAATAAATTAATTAACTGCGCATGCGTCATAATAATTTCAACCAATTAAATCGCTGGATTTAATACCGTAAAAACTCCCGTTTTTTTCAAAATCTACCGTAAAAACTCCCGTTTTTTCAGAAACCTACCGTAAAAATTCACGTTTTTTTCAAAATCTACCGTAAAAACACCCGTTTTTTCAGAAACCTACCGTAAAAACTCCCGTTTTTCAGAAATCTACCGTAAAAACTCCCGTTTTTTAAAAAATCTACCGCAAAAACTCCCGTTTTTTACAAAAACCTACCGTAAAAACTCCCGTTTTTTCAGAACCTACCGCAAAAACTCCAGTTATTTCTGAAATCTTCCGTACAAAAAGTCGTTTTTTATTTAAAATTTACTGCGAAAAATACATTTTTTTAAAAATCTCCCGTAAAAACTCCAATTTTTTCAAAATTTACCGCAAAAACTCCCGTTTTTTTAAATCTCCCGTAAAAACTACCGTTTTTTTCAAAAATCTCCCGTAAAAACTCCCGCTTTTTTCAAAAACTACCGGATTTTGAAAAAAACTCCCGTAAAAGTACCGCAATTTTTTTTAAATCTCCCGAAAATTTTTCATTTTAGGTTGGCAAGTCTGAATACGTTAGCGTAACAATATTGAAGAACTTCCGGGTTTCGTTTTCGGTTCTTGATATTTTTATTTGAATTCTCGATTCTGCACCACTTTTGAGTCAAGTTGTGGACAATAATTTGACTCAAGTTTAGTAAGATAGTCTAGTTTGAGAATATGCAGGCGGTTCTATGTTTGGTATATTAAAGAAGACGCAATTGACATCTTTAATCCCTCGCTTTTGTTACGTTGACGATCTTCATGAATATTGTCACATTGGCAATATTCATGAAGATCGTCAACGTAACAAAAGCGAGGGACTAAATATGTAAATTGCGTCTTCGTTGATATTCCAAACATATGACGTATCGTCAGCGTAACTATGTGAGTACCAGTATGGCCATCTTACAAAACATGCTGTAAAAGACAGACGTCGTGTCTGAACAAGGGTTTATTTAATACCCGGGACTTGTACCAAACGAAAATGAACGACGATCAAATTTCCATGATTTCACGTCAGATATGATGATGTTAATGAAAATCAGATATGTTCCAAGAAAAAACTTATGAAATCTCTTTGGCACAATTGACCAAATCCCAGCTCTGAACCATTCTGGCATAACTTTCAACAAACTGCAGTAAAATCAATGAAATTCTAACCTGTGCTATCATACCACATCAGTGAAAATGTAAAATACAGGTCAGCATAAACTCTCAGTTTAAGATCCTTTTCCTCAGAACGTATTGATCGACCTTGTACATAGTTTTCTTAGTGCCTCTCATCAATCACTCCAGGGAGATGTGAAGATAGATTTACACGACGCTCGTCCAACGGGAATTAACGGTACTTTCAAGCACTTAAGAGGCAAAATGAGAGATTTCAAGTAATATGTCTTTAGTAACAGTCTCACCTTTCTTTCTATAAGGATGGGTTCAGGTGCCAAAACCAGCTGATACATAGATCATGTAGTGAAATTGAAATACTAAGTCGAACCCTGCTTTTTTAACCCGCAGCCCATCCAGTGTACTTTTAACACGTACTGGTTTTTCACCATCTCTTTTTCCCACCGGTTTTGGGCCGCTGTGAATATGGTAGAATGGAAGGATTCCGGGAGTAGAAATCTATCAACCCTTCTCTATTGATTTAGAAAAGTATGATAAACACAGATTGATAGGGTCTGCCCTCTTTTTGTAACTATTTCTGTCGCCCTTTAGTCTTTGTTATTTCCTCTTGGCCAATATATACCTATTTAGGATGCTTTCCAACTGCCTTTTTAGGTCATTCTTTTCCTAGAATTCTTCATCCTATAGTTATTTTCCAATGGATACAAAATAACTGAGACTGTAACTTGATGATATTAAATCAACTAAAGCTGATATCAGTATATTGGTAACTCTGTGATTAGATTCTTAAAATGAAACATGACGTGTTATGTATTGACAAACAGGTTTTTATTTATGAAACGAAGACGAACCAAACTTTCAAAACTGTCAGTGATTCATGTATCTTGTCATTAAGGTTGAAAACGGGGAGACTGCTTTTTAAATTTGTTTATCAGATGACCGAAATGATGAAAAGAATTATTGTTAAACGCTTCCGAAACTTATTTTCAACTCGAATCCCTTCTTTTTTTGAAATCTTTATTTTTCAATTCTGTTTCTGAATTAACTCCCGCAGTCATCTTCAGGCGCTCTCCATTGCGTAAACATTGACATAACATTACAGATTCGAATGTCTTTGCAGATCCGTTGCTTTTAAGTCAGGATAAAATTGCGAACTGTACGTGCTTCATCATTTATATTTTATTTCCTTTTACATCGAAAAACCGAACAATCACATTTATAGTCTCCGGTTGGTTGATGTGAAAATAGTAGAGCGGATGTTAAACGTCGACGAGTAATTAATGAAATTATCGGCAATTATAAATTACGAATTATACTTTCTCCGAGTCCTGATTCTACATTATTAATATAACTATATTAATTGCTTTACTGACTGAAGGAAATGCGATTATTTTATGATTTAAAAGCGAAAAAGAGTGCTGTTTTCAATTAAAACAATTTAAGTCTGAAGAGCGAATGCGTGTAATATAAATCTTAATTGAAGCTGAATACTACAAAAATATATCATTAACCTATTTTTCTAAAGACTGACGTTCTATCAATATGTCATGATGAAATAAAAAGCGATTTGACGTTTCTCCTTCCTCCAGACTACAAAAACATGACATCCTTGATGTAGAAAAATACCACAAAATAAAAGTAAGTATTTAAAGAGGCATTGTCGGAAAGTGGAGAAAACTCGGGAACCCCAAGATACACTGTTCATCTAATTAGGGGCGGATATGAAATAAGGCTTCTCCAGACACAGGCCGTAGTAGTACTAGTATATGTTTCAGACTCATATCCTTTGTTTGAATAAATTTTTATGTCAATTGCAATACAGTACATTGTTTTGGACCACCCTGTTCAGTTTGTATCGATTCAAGATAAAAAATACTGAATCGAACTGATTGTCACGTAGCCTATTATTGACATAAACTGTTTGATATCTATATCAAAGAATGTAGATACCTAGAAAATAAACGTATTTAGCCATGCAGAATCAGTGTAAATATTTTGAGATGGCGACAACATCTACCCTTTTAAAAGATTATTGTCATAATACCACGATTATTTAAAGTTTTCCTCATACTTTTAGCCTGGCGTGGTCCCGGGGACATGGTTATAAGGTGATTGTAACCTATAGCAAGATACAAGACAATTGTGAATTTCTAGCCTGAGTCTATCAGTAATATGCCTATAAAATAATAGAGGTTCTAGTGTTATCTCACCGATTCCATACTAATTTTGAAATTAAATCAACCTAAGAACATGTTACGGGCAATTCCTAGAGCGACCCATTTCTCTGCCAAAATTATTTATGCCTTATAGTTTAGAGGCATTCTAATCTTATATTGATTGGATGCAATCAATTGTGACCTGCTTTTTTATACCATGCTGTGTGTGTTTTTCACTTCCTTGTTGTATCGAGATGGTTTATATATTTGAACGGTTCATTGCTTCCGCAGGCCTTAGCCACTCTAATTTATGCCTCAATATGAACATTATTACAGAGGGCACAGTTTATGCCTTGGTCACATTTGCTCCGATTTTCACTACGGCGACCGGCCGATTGAATATTTGTTCAAAATTGAATACTATATTGAACAAAACACTCAATCGGCCGGGCGCCGGCCGATGGATCGAAGCATATATCATTCTCAAAATTCATTTCGTTCGCTGCGTACCTTCACTACAGGAGCTACGGATTGCACTGGACGAAAGGCTCTGAGATTGGAAGCATATGTGACCAAGGCATTAGAGACGAAATTAGTGTGGCTGGCTTTCGGAAATACTGTAAAAGTGAAGTTCAACAAAAATATAGCACATGATTAGAGCAGACATTTTGGATGTTGACTACTGTATATACAAGTTCTGCATAGATACAAAGTGGATTATGAATTTACCTATACTATTGAATAATGACTAAAATGCAATTAGTTACCTGTCTAGGTGTCAAGATATAGGTGGCCCCAGGGTGAGAAGGAGCATTACCCCCAGCTCATTTGAAATTTTGAATAATTGACTTAACACAAGGATGTCCCCATGTAAAGTCAATGGAACCAAAGAAAAAATGAAAACCAAAATTGTGAAATTTGAAAGTTTGACCTACTTTCAAAAGTCAAAGGTTGAGGTCAAAATTGTTTTAGCAACATTCTTTATTATATTTTCACATTTTAGGTCTTATAAATGATGATTTTGCACACAAGAATGTTTGATTTTCAGATATGCACTGAGTTGACCTTTACAAGGTCACAATGACCTCAATATCACTTTGGATGCACCTGAACACCATGCCATAATTAACTCCTTACTAAATACCATATTATATGTCATAATAGTTATATTTCTCTGGGGGCACTTTTTATATACTTGGGGTGACGGCTCCTTTGAGAATTTTCATTTGTGAGTTTTAGTCGCCCACGGCACCCCTGTTGTCAATGGTTTAACATATATCATATGAATCATTCATCTTTAAATGTGGGTATTGTTTTTTGGCCCACCCTGTATTAATGGTTATAACACGCACTGGCGAAAAAGAATGTAGAAATGTGCTCTAATATATCATTATGAAAAGAAGACTTGCTTGAAAAACTGTTAAATGCCACGATGGCGTATGTTGTAGTATCTGACGTCGTGTCATAAATTGAATGCCTTGGTGCTCTTCGCTTATCCCAGTTCTAGATATCAATCATGATGTACTTCGTCAACAAACGTAACCTATTTGTTTGTAGAAATTATTCATTTGAGTTTTCTGTGCAGGCTGAATCCTCTTTAAAGTGATCTAGGGCCTATAGGTAAATATTTTCAGCTTAGTTCGTCAAATTTAGTTCATTGCTATGGAATATACCTGATCCAGACCAGCATTTCTGAGTCTGTTTTGTTGATATCGTTCTGAGGTAAGTAACACCAAAGATGTTATTTGCAAAGTGTTATTTTTTGTTGATGACCAGACTTCAAGTAATCATCACCACAAGGTACCTGCTTGGAATATTTTTGCTTATGTTATTAAAAAACATCGTTTTTATGATGGATTTTTAGACAATTAGCAATTATTTTATTTTTTCGGCAAATATAAACTCGGATTTCTTAAACCTATAATATGTCGATTGCGTTGATATTTTAGCATGCATGTTACTAAAATGTATGTGCGATCAACTCTTGAAAGCGCGATGTTTGATATGTCTTTGTCACATAATTAAGTTTGTTGTACTATATATGAACGATTTGTCAAATATTTGCATCCTCCAACACATTGGCCATATTAATAAACTCTATTGATACATTATTTGGTGAAAGCTATGCCAGAAGGTATATTTTGATAACAAATCTTAAATTGTAGACAATGGAGATATATGATTGAGCGTAGATATTTCTGTCGTGAATTCAAGTTGTCTAGATTAGGCTGTCTAATATTTTGTATCCTCCAAACATTAAATTATCATCTTTGGGAAAACAATATTTTTAGATTATTATTTTGAGACATGAAAGTACTTAATAGAAGCGTTTAGATCATCGTTATTTAATTTTTGAATTATTTCAATTGTCTTTAAAATTTGTAAAACTTTATTAAGCATGTGTTGGAGAATACAGAATGACTTTAAAATGATGTGAAATATAAACGTACAATCAAAAGTTAGTTGTATTCGTATTTTTATGTTTATATTTAAATTACAGCAAAGTATGAGTCATTGCCAATTCAGGAAACAATATATTTCACTCTCAGTTTCACATATGATCATGTAGGAATAGCTATTACATGTAACCTTTACATACCTATTCCACATGCTATGCTTTCTTTTTATTCCCATGACCATACGACTTACTTTGAATTATGTTTCTCATTCCCTCATTGCCCACGCTGTGTTTATTCATGATATTATATTTTGAATGACGTCTGTCGTTCATTATGATGAATGTTTGGCTTTTACCCAAAATGATAAATGTTGCTGGCACATCTTAGTCATTATAAGTGCCAAAATACTTTTATATCGATTCCAATGAAAATTATTGCATCCACTGCAATCTTTAGTATTTCACATGCAATATGAGCAACATGCCCGTAGCCAACTTTTGATAAGGGGGGGGGGGGTGGAACCCATTCCCCTGCCCACACATAAAAAAATTTCCATGCTAAACCAACACCTGGGGCGACCTTTAAAATTCAGAGGATGGGAGACAAAAAAATGTTGAGTCCAAAGATTTTTAAATAATGCCCAAAATTCAAAACAATAGTACAATAACGTCATTTCTAAGGGCGATATAGTGAAATAAGGACTGAAACAGCAAGAAAATCTTACGCATTGAACGATATCTAATTTCCCGGGGAAAATTGCCTGTCCAGAATATATTCTAGACCGGTCCATATGGACCACCACTATGACGTCACACATTTCTCAGGTCGATATAGTAAAATAAACGCCTTCTAAACTAGCACTAAAACCCCTAGAACTGGCCTGGCAAGGTGGTAATAATGGCCAATAATCTAAATTGTACAATTTATGTGGAGAGGAACAGATTTTGGGCCAAAAAATAGAAATAGAAAGAAAATCATTCAAGATCGCACGAATCCACCGCCACCCTGTCTACGGGCCGGAGCAATATAAAGAAAGACTTCAGACAAAAATGTGCGTGCGCGTTATTTGGAAAAAATGACCCCAGTATCTTAAAATCATGATGGTCATTTCGAAAAAGCTCTGTTAGATTAGACGTACATGTAATCAAAAAAACGAATTAAGTATCCTGTTTAAAAAGCCCTATTCTTCACTAGATTGGTTAGATTCTAGGTTTGCTCAGAAACATATTTCTTCTACTAACGAGAATGACCAGAATAGTGGAACCAATTCTTAAAAATTCTTAAAAGATACTTCTGGTGGAATGCGCATCGGTTACGAAAACTTAGATTTTTTTTTATTTATTTATTCTTATCTATTCATATCTTTACTACAAATTACACTAAAAGGGTGACACATAATGTGTATATTCCCGTGTTTTATAATAATACGAGAGGTGATGGACGCTTTTTTACACGGATGCTTTTTATAGAACAATACCTTCGATTTTCTCACCAGTGATACATCATTTAATGATCTATCAACTCTGAAGATTTGAAAACAAAACATGTGATATATTTTGATATATCTTTATTTCCATGAAGGAGGTATAGGTACCCCGGGACCAACATGACGTCAAACATTCTGAAGCTATTTTAGCTTGTTTAGCATGCAACGTAGTAGTTGAATGGTGCATTATGCAGGCTGAACAAAACAAACCATTATGGTCATGAATTACCCCATTTTATTATGCCATAGTTGATTTTGAATATTTTATCATCACTATGTGGTATTCACTATTCATGCCACATTCATTCTACAGGGGCCTCTACATAGGTTCCACCAAGTGCTACATGTACACAATTTCTCATCCTCTTAACTCAAAATTGTGAGACAAGGCTGAATCCATTCTCTGACATGGTAGGAAGATGCAGTTGCACGGGTTGTTTTAGTTCATCAATGTCAATAAACCTGCGTCCCTTCTCTATAGAAATAAGTACTTACTGTTTGTGTGTTACCAGTCAGCAAAATATTTCAAACAACACAACACTTGTTGCATATAAAAAAGCTTAAATCTTACTGAAATTTGCCATGATGGCTAAAACCTGAATATGTGACGTAAATGTCGGTCCCTGGGTACTTGTACTCCCTTCACGGAAATAAGGATATATCAACATGTATTATATATTTTGTCTTCAAATCTTCAGAATTGATAGATAATTGAATGATATATCACTGGTAAGAAAATCAAAGGGATCATTATAAAACTAACATAGACTATAAATGATGTTATTGATAAAGAAGATATTTTTTTGAGTTCTTTCTTCATAATCGAGATGCTTCCAGATGATTTCATTCCATCAGTTAATTCATTCCAAATTATCTGTGCAGTGAAAGACAACATAGCTCTACCAAAATTTGTTCGTACTTCGGGCCATATTGTATCTGTCATTTATAACTTGGAGTTTTATTAATAACGTCAAAATGTTGCATTTATTGCACAAAATGGAAACTTTTGATGATAGACCAATCAAAATCAAATGTTTCCCTATATTGAACAAATAAATTATAATCAAAACCGATGAAATTATATGTTAGGATTTCTCCAAGGAATTTGCATGCAAAATGTGGTGACTTAACTCTTAAAAGTGAAGAAATGAAAGTTAATATACAGACTTGGGACTTGTGTTGTCTCGGCTACTATACAATACAATACAATACATGACCGCATCCACATATTCCGACTAGCCACAGTGTGATAGTTCGGGAAGGTTGAACTATAAAAATTCACGGTCAAGTTCACTGTCTAGGATGTTGTTACAGACATTTACATATAAAATATTTAGAAACTAGATCAAATCTTTCTTAAACGATGAAAACATTAGTTCGCTCAAATGTCAACACCCTTTTGCTGTACTTTCCTTGCGCGTTCAACCGTCACGCTTAATTTGGTACACACCCTGTGATAATAGGACACGATCCAATCACCTTCAAAATTAAACGTATTGAAAGACTTAACAACTTATAGAATATAAACAAGGAATATATTGAACTAAAATGCCTTTAATTTATATATAAAAGAGTGAAAATAAATAGATATTTTGACTTTCAACATTATTTATAATGTAGATGTTATAAAGTAGGCCATGTCATAGTAAAAGGGGTACTCTTTGAATGATAAATGGAGTCTAACATAAATGTATCCTCCAAAACAGATTATTGGAGGATTCATGATTATTAGACACTCTTTTCTGGAGCACTCATATTAAATGAAGCCACAAACTGTGTGCTATAAGTGAGGGCATCGAGGAAGAACTGTAGATGTGAAATTGTATGAACGTATCCTCCCTCATTTCTTAAGTAATCGCTTTTGACATAGGGGTCGTTCAAAGAAATTTGCAGCTAATGATTTCAAACGATAACGTTGACTCAATTTACATTTTTATTTTTTACAGTGCAATACTTATATCCAATGAAACATGTGTATTGTTTGTTTGACACTCACAAATATGATGAATAATATCTTATTTGAAATTAAACCAGACTTTAATTGAACGATTAACGAAAACATGTTAAGTTTTCATTTCTTTGAAAATTGAACCATCGCCATTTGAATATTTTAATTTTCGAATTTTGTATTTTTTAAATATCAATTATCGTAAATTGACCCAGTGATGCTTCGTTATCACTCTACACTCATGAGCTCTCTGAGACTCACTATGTTTGCCAAAAAGTAATTTATTATAAAACTAGCCGTAGAGTGAATAAAGCAATGAGTATGTTAACTGATTAACACATCTTGTATATAACGCTCATCATTTCTATGGTTTTAGATTGTGCCATGGCAACGGTAATTATACGAGATGAACGTATACGTAGACGACTATAATAAATAAGATACAGCTAGATCTAGAACGAACACCAGAATGACGGAGAGTGGAGACAAGTACATACCTATAACTAAAGTTGTCACAGAATCACAACCAGAGCTACTACGGCGCGGAATACCTCTAGTATTTGATGGTGAAGTGGAATGGCACACCACTGCTGATATGGTAGCCGCAACTGCTAATAGAAACAACACAACATTTAACATGAGTAACTGGGATCAGACCTTTGATGAAAGAATATATCACAGTCCGGTGAGCGAGAGCGAACTTGAGACGTATATGCGATGCTCAACTGTCGTTTATGGATATATCATTCCATTCATTTGTTTTGTTGGGATCGTTACAAACATAGTGAACCTGAGCGTTCTTACACAGCGCAGCATGTGGACGCCCACAAACGTTTTTCTTAAAGGGCTTGCAATTGGAGACCTTGGGGCGTCAAGTCTCCTTATAGGATTCTTTGTATACTTCTATAGTTTTAAAACATACGAGCTTTTGGATACACAACAGTGGTACACAACAGTACCCTTGTACTGGAGAGTATTTTACCACATTCATTCGATCCCTGCTAATATTTTAGTGACTGCTTCAAATACGCTGGTTTTTGGTGTGACCATTTTTCGATTCTACGCAGTAAAATTTCCTATTCACGCAAGGGATCGGTGTACTATGAGGAACGCACGAATTCTAACTATTGTTAGTTTCGCATGGGGGATAATTTTAAATCTGCCTGAATTCCTACAAAAACGGATAGAAAAGATCGAAATAAACAACGATACATATTACGGAGTAACGTCAACAGACATCTATTACGATAGGACTTTTCAGAGTGTGTACTATCCTTTGAAGACAGTCCTCAATATTCTGTTACCCTGGGTTGCGTCCTTGGTACTCATCATTATGCTTATTCATGCTCTTTGGAAAGGGATGTCTGGCAGAAACAATAATGGACAGAAGTTTATTGAACACACTGCAAGCGTTGAAGAGGCTAAACAGAAAAAGAGCGTCCACATTACAGTATCGTTGATTTTAGTAAACATTAGTTTCCTCATTTGCGAATGCCCTGCTGCAGTATGGTCTATGATGCTCTGGTCTATTCCCAGAGAAACGCTCACAAACGACATTAAATTTGGGATTGCAAGGATTTTCATAGACATGTTTCTCGTTCTAAATATGTCGCTCAATTTTTTTAACTACGCATGTGCCAGCCAGGCATTCAGGAAAACTCTTTTGCGGACAATATCCTTGAGGAGAGCATTTAAAAGAATGCAAAATAAACTAGGGGCGCATTCCTCTCTAAATAAGAATGTGGCACATACTTATTCCTGTGAGAAAAGTGATTCGCAATCAGACTATACTTTACTAAGCCGACAGTCTTCAAGCAGGGGCAATTTGAGCTTAAAACATTTCAAAAATAGCAAAACTACATATCACTTTTCAAACAACCATTTGCATGTTTCAAGTTTGTAATGATTTTTAATCAAAATTTTAAGTTTGACAGTTGCGGTTAAAGATATTCAAACATAATCACGCTCTGGTAGTCTCATCCAGCAGATTGCGTTGACAATTGCCTCTGTAAGAGATGAACGACCCTTTATGATGCAATCTGCAATTTGCAAATATCTTAGAGTGACGTCAATTTTAGGCCTCTGTCAAGGGATGGCTGTTGAATATGCAAAACAATAAAAAGTGGGCTTATTGGGTAATCCAATCAGATCAGAGACACTCCATGTACGAAAAGAATGAGTCATCAAAATAGTTTGGTACAAAGATATCGATTACATATTATGTATGCATTATGTATCATGCATATTACTATATTACCCCCCAAAAAATTATCAAAAATTAATGTTCGCGCTAGCAGGAAAAAATAATTTTGGGGCTCAGAAAACAGCCCCAAGTTTTGAAATTTAAGGCCCACTTTCTTTAAAATTAGCCCCAGAAGTGAAAGATAATGCAGAGACCGTAGCCTAATGCCATTTTGTTATATTTATGTAAATAAAAACTATTTGTCTGAGGTAGATGATCCAAATGTATTTTTCTTTTTCTATGGTGTTTGGGTGTGTGGAGGAAATTTTGGACCCCAAAATTCACAGTGGCCTGTCATAAGGGACTGGGCTGGCCAAGTGACCATTGCCCTATAATTTCGCCGTTGATGACTGTTGTTATTCGAAGAGACTTAGATCTCCATAACATTTCCATAGTTACATAACTATGATGATATATATAGATCTCAATTTCCTTCTTGCGTTTAGCTTATAAAATCTCATCAAAGCCAATCAGATCGATACGCTCAATCTTATGATTACATAAATATAATACGTTTAAAGATGAGTGACCTGCGATGGTAATTTATTTTACAATACATATACTATATATTGTTATATATTATTTTCCTATATTGACAAATATCGTCATGGTTTTAAATGTATTTTGTAATTTGTGTACTTATTTTCATGATGGTATACTAAATAAATTACGCTCAAAACTAATTTATTGTTTTATGTTATAAACGCAAAATGATGAAATGTACTACCTGTCTTTCATACGGTGCTGGTTTCATAGCATATCAATAGGCTTCAGTGGCGTAGCGTGGGTACTTTGTGAGTGAACGCTACGAGTGAGCGAAGCGAACGATCTTTGAGGGAGATTTGGGGTGGGTTCTTCCCCAAGAAATTTTTTAATGAGATTGCAAATTAAGCATTCTTGGGTGTTTTTAAATACGAAATTCCGACTAAAATGGACTAATAAAATGTAAAATATTGGCCATTTTTATTTTAAGTGTGGGGCAATTCATAAACCGGTCGGGAAATATAAACTAAACACATTAAAATGTTATAGAGGAGTTTCTGAATAGCTTTGAAATTTCGCTGATTCTCGTTTTTCATGTGATTTTAAGATATTTGCACTTTTTACCTCTAATGACTTACTTTTCTTTATTTTTGATAGCATATCTGAATTCAGTGACAAGTTTTCACCAATAATAGCTTTGATTTACACAGTTATGTCATTTAAATCATTTTCCATGACATTTTAAAAAACTCTCCATTGGTACAATATTAATGCTAATGTTCATTAAAACGTTGGCTTATTTGTCACTGGTGATCCACTCGATTACGCTGGTTACCGAAACGGTTCGTTTTTGGTAACAAAATGTCGGAACATCGAAGGTACAATTTTTCTTTTTTCCTTATTCCACACGTTGTAGGCAGAATTCCCACGACATTTTTTAACACAAACGTGTATCAGTATCATATGTAGAAGAAAATGTACATATTTGCGAACAAATAGTTCAGAAAACAACAGAATCGTCGATTTAATTCATCACTTAAGTTACATAAACGGTTTTTCGAAAAACAGTTAAGATCTGCACTTTTAACCCAAACCGTTTATGTAACTTAAGTGAGGAATTAAATCCACGATTCTGTTGTCTTCTGAGCTATTTTTTCGCAAACATGTACATTTTCTAAAACATATGATGCTGATACGTCGTGGGGATTCTGCCTACAACGCGTGAAATAAGGAAAAAAGAAAAATCGTACCTTCGACGTTCCGACATTTTGTTACCAAAACGAACCGTTTCGGTAACCAGCGTAATCGAGCGGATCACCAGTGTTTGTACAACAACCAACATTTTCAAGTTTAATCACAATATGTACATTGACGGGGTCATCCAATATGCCATTCGAGTTTCAGACAGATTAAACTAACACTTTTTGATAAATCATGAAATTAAGTAACTTTTGCAAGTTTCGGACAGATTAAACCAACACTTTTTCATAAATCATGAAATAAGTGACTATTGCAAGTTTCTAGCATTGAAGTGAATGGAGGTTTGGCCCAAGAAAATCAAAGACAAACAAGGGTGACATATATTATGTCAGCGTTATACGGCTATTTAGTAACTATACAATCTTTTTCTCATTTCCCAGAAATTAATTCAGAATACATTGAAATCTTAGAGAATATTGTGGTAAAGGAATGTTTTCTTAAGACTTTACAGGAATACATTAAACAACATTAAAGCTTTTTTGATTCTCATAGTAACAATATACTGTTTTTCGTAAAATGCATGGAATATTCCATATATGACCAACAGTGTATATTGCATACCTGTGTTTACTGTACAAATTACAGCTTAATCGATGACTGCTCTTTGGGTGATTGCTACGCTACAAAAAGAGTTAAAGTCGTTGCCATGGTAACGTATATTGCTTCAGATCTGTAAATTAATTAAGCTAACACGTATGGATTTAATTATTCAAGTCAGTCTGACCTTTTGTGTATTTGCTACTTTACCGATAATATCCCAGGGTGGGAAAATAAAAAATACGAAGAAAACCTCACAATTATCTTAATTTGGTAAGGGAGCCGGACACATTCTAGCCTAAAGTGTGTCAGTGTGTCGCAGAACTGTCTTTCATGTTGGAACCCGATTCCCCACAGCGGACAAACATATTTTTATCATATTGCGATATGGGAAAGTTGAAATAGAGGAAAACGGACATTTTAGAGTATGGTACACGCGCCGTTTATAATAATCATTTGATCTCGGTCTATTATTGGACTTCAAATAGAGGTGAAGGTTCCTTGCAAATGATATACCCGTTTCACGAGGAACGGATCTGAGTAAGAAAAGGTTCGTATTTTAGCGAATACCTGTGCATCTTTCACAAGTGATATTCCACGAAGCCCGAAGGGCAAGTGGAATATCATCTTGTCGAAAGTGTCACAGTATTTTCATCGCAGGTTAAGTAAATAAAAATTCAAAGGTAAAGAGGCTTTAACACGCGTAGTTCAATGGGGGAGCTAAGGTTGCCAACCTTATGGAGGGGAGTGTATATACTTACCGTCATTTCAAACTTTCCCAAATTGTAGTTTTTTAATTTAAGGTTTCATGTTAACATTATAATTAATTGTAACATTGCAATGGGTCAATACATCAAATCTACAATCTGGAAGATTTACGTACGCGTAAATTGAAATGTTATTTGCCGTTTTAATATGTTAATTAGTACTAGTGTATTGTGTACAATACAACGTTAGTTGCTTGATTTATTGCCTCACTGATTGACATTATATTAATTTTCTTTGTCGTTTTGCCGGTTGATTTATTGGTAAATAAATGTTGTTGCTTGTTTGGTTGTTTGCTTGATTGGTTGTGTCAATGGTACGTTGATTGGGATGTCAGTTGGGCGTTTTGAGGTAAAAAAGAAAAATAGAATCCCTAACCCTGGTAGGAAGGTAAGGTACCCGGTCACCCGGCTACCCGGTTACCCGGTCACCCGGTTTTTTACACAAACCCGTCACAGCAATGAAGCTGGTCTATCATGTACGCTAATTTTTTGGTACCCAACGGACTTCGGGAAATGGGGTTGTTGGTCTGTTCTCCCTAGTTGGTGAGATGAATTCCCTTCCGCTTATTTCCCTCGACATTTATACTTATTGAAGACGTGCTCTCTATTCTTCTTCGTTTTGTTCGGTAGAGGGACGTATTGTCCTTGCTTGATCTTCTCTTTCTGAGAAAATGCGTTAGATGCCTGATTAAATCAAAATCCTCGATAGAAAAGCTATGGCATTGACTACTTTGTGCTTTACAATACAGAGAAAGTTGGTGCCTGGGCCGCGTTGCCATACAATCTAATCTATGCTGTGGACGCATTGCCATATTGCTGAAAACGCCGTGTCGCGTTTCCGGCGAGTTCAATTTTGTAAAAAGATTGCGAGAAAACAAGCAAAAGTTTGTTAATTTGTATTGTAATTCTATACAGCTGTATGTGTCAAGCTATTGAACGTTAAATTAGCTCATGAGTCGTAAAATACCTCCTTAATTGGAATTAGAAGATAGCTCAAGAAAAAAAGAATCGGGAAATCATATTTGTGTTGACTATCTCTTTACTCTGGTCAATACCTGGACAGAATTTCTATAGCTTTACATACCTTGAGGGCTGTTCACCGAATGTGAAGCATGCGTTTTCAAAAACTTACCTATGTTTCGAGGAAATAGAGGACGAAGTGCCTCCGATAATCGGAGTTTGCCTCCATTGTGGTCTGTAATGCGTTGCAGTCTCGTTTTGAACAGCTACGAGCTCGAGTGGCTGTAACGCGTTACCCTGTATCTATGTCCACCTTGATGGAGTAAAGTATTACCTTCTAGGTTAAATAAAATGAATCGAACGAATGCAAAGGGTACAATCATGTAACAAAATTGTAACGTCAAATTCTGCGACAAAAATTGGTTTGAGGAATGGATAAATAAATGTTAAAAGTGATAACCTTTTTAGAAATGTGTATGGCTAAATCAAACTAAAGGGGTCTGGGGACGTTCCCTCATAAAAATTTAGACACTCTCCGCTACATATTTTAGAACCATATTTGCATCATTAAATACTAACATTCATTCGCAACAAATAGTCCCACATGTCAATCAAAGTTGTTTGTGCAAATTGTTAGTGGAGATATCATATTAATTTGATATCAAATAAATACAGATAAAGCTGTTTTTCCTAGAATAGTCACGAGGTGGCCTTACGTCAACATGTTTTTCATCCTGTTGGAATTCTATTTTGGTTGGGAAACCAAAATTAGATCCCATAACCTTAAAAATTGATTAAAAATTAAGAAAGGATCCCTTCTTATTTAAGAAATATAGACCGAAAAGCAAGTATTAATTATATCGACGAATAAATACAACGGACTAGTATAGGCCGAACGACCGAAGGATCCCCTTTTAGCAGTAATCGCTTGGTGGAATTGGTTTTCCCAAGGATGAAGAAAAGAAGCATTTATCCCAAAATTGGCAATTTAGCATCCATCTGAACAGTTACATTTCATATGGAATTAGTGGCACTTGATTAATTCACCAGATTTATTCAGATTATTACAGACTAATATATCAATGTAAAAGGGTGTTGGATAAATATCACGGGGCATTGATAACCATGCAAGTCATTAAACTTGAGAAAAATAGAAAAATTGTCAAATGTCTTCACCCCATAAAGTTATCTTTTATTTCGAGACGTTATCATCGCCACTAACCCTGGTCAGTTCTCGTAGGACTAAAATACCCATCGCCGACAAGTGAAATCAAGTGAATTTCGCTCGTTGTAGGCAGAATCCCCACGACATTTTTTCTCACAAACGTGTATCAGTATCATATGTTTTATAAAAGGTATATGTTTGCGAAAAAATACCTCAGAAGACAGAAGTGAGGGATTGAATCGACGATTCCGCTGTCTCTGTCTGAACTATTAATTGTTCGCAAAATACGACTAAGATAAGATAAAGACACACGAAGTGCTCATCAGTACTGGCTAATAAGATATCAAGAGTAATAAAATCCTGAAATATAGTAATCCTTCCATTTCTAAGATTATCTAACAAGAATGAATTTGAAGATGATTGCATCTTAAATAATATTGATGACAATTTTTTGAAAACAACTCCGAACTCTTCGTTCATCCCGTTTACGCACTCGTGTTAAAAAATAATGATATTCCACACCTGATGAGGAATAAGCATATATCCCAATGTTAACGTGTCAAGTACTCCTTCTCAGTACTTGAACACCCAGACGAATTTTATTTGCAGTGTGTTTGTTTTCTGTGTTTACTCTTCGTTCGCTCTTCGTCTGCCATCTTTGTATTTTGTTCAGCTCAATGCTGAAATATAGTAATGATGGAATTCAAGGGGCGGGATATATGGTAACCGGACAACTCATCCCCTAGACAACTCATCCCTGGACAACTCATCCCCTAGACAACTCATCCCCTGGACAACTCATCCCCTAGACAACTCATCCCCTAGACAACTCATCCCCTGGACAACTCATCCCCTGGACAACTCATCCCCTAGACAACTCATCCCCTGGACAACTCATCCCCTGGACGACTCATCCTTTGGCATGTTTGAGTAATTTAATGTAATATTATTAATTCATATAGTATTCAAATGATTAACACGATCCTCGATTTAATACCTCACTTTTGTTACGTAAACAGAAATTCAAAAAATGGTTAAGATCTGCACTTCTAACTCTTTCTATTTACATAACAATAGTAAGGTATTAAAGCGACGATTCTGTTGTCTTCTGACTGACAAGTGAACAAAGATTTTCTTGAGGGGAAATCTGGAAAATTGTTTAAAAAACTATGATATACCATGGTACTACTATGGTATTGTCAAGGAGATTATCAACCAATTAATCTGTAATTTGTTTTGTAAATATTTACCTTTAATTTTACTTTTGATATACAATTTCAATATTATGTTAACATTCATTGAAGAAGCTTCTTTGATGTCATAAGCTCATTTGATGTCATTATATGTGTGTTCATAGTTCAAATATTCTTAAATCAAAAGATATTTTTTCACAGCAGTAACAGATGAAGTTACTGAAGTTCATGTTTCAAAATTATGCAGAGAGAAAACTTTATTTTTTGTCATGAAATAATAAGTCATGTATTATAAGGACAAAATACGAAGGTTTTATTGGCACCGTTTGACCATTTTATGTGTCAATAAAGCGAAAAATAATATTTAGAATGATTCAAAGTGTATTTAATAAATATTTATTTTCCGAAAAAAACTTAACAATTTGGCTTCATGTGATTAAGGATGAGTTGTGTAGGGGATGAGTTGTCCAGGGGATGAGTTGTCTAGGGGATCAGATGTCCAGGGGATGAGTTGTCTAGGGGATGAGATGTCCAGGGGATGAGTTGTCTAGGGGATGAGTTGTCCAGGGATGAGTTGTCTAGGGGATGAGTTGTCCGTAAGCCGGATATATCTAGACATCGTATGTCCCGGAGAACGGCTTATGCGGGGTATATGATTTACATATCCCAGATCTTCGTTGGAGCGGGACATATGAGAAGTATTCGCCCGGATATGGAATATATGGTCCCTACGGGCCCACGGGAAGATATATTATATATCCCTCGGGATATTCCCTGTATCCTAAACCTCCCAGTGCATAACCCCTATATATTTCCATCAGGTGGTTTAATATATCGAAAAGTTACTCAAACAATTTGTTGACGCACTCATAACTGAGCTTAAGGAAGCGCATTCAAGTCTTAAGATAGGTTCGTATGATATTCCGTGTATTTTGGTGGTAGACGATACTACTCATCTAGCTTCCTCTGCGCACAATTTGCAAGTTCTGTTAGACATTGTATTTCGCTACAGTTCAAAATGGCGTATGGTCTACCACGCTGGTGATAACACTAAAAGCGCAATTTTGACATTTAATGAAACAAAGCAACAGTTTTTTCGAAGCAGAGGTAGTCGTCAGTGGCTACTAGGGACTCACTGGCGGATTAAGGGGGGGGGGGGCTGGGGCCCCCCCCCCCTTGGATGGGCCCAGAAAAAAATATTTTTTGGGCCAAACAAGGCCTTCAGGCCCCAAAAAGTGGGCCTTTTTGGTCATTACTGGGCCTTTTAAGGCCTTATTTTTTAATTTCAGGCCAAATTTTAAAATTTCAAAATTTGGGCCCACTTTTGGATTTTAGGAGCCCAAATATTTTTCTCTGACCTGAAATTTGCCCCCCCCCTTGTTGGTTCCTAGATCCGCCCCTGGGACTGATATAGTACCTAAGTTTTGGCACCCCACCCCAAAAACTATAATGCATTCATTTACTCAAACACATTAAAAGTGCTCAGAATTAACTAGACATCATCTTGAATTAGTAAAATTTTCCTGTGGTGCACACTCGCTCCCCTAATAAGAAGATGATTGAAAAAAATCTGAATTTCTTTAGATTAATTCTAATTATTAAAACACTTGAAAGTGTCCAAAATCACTGAATGTGACCTTGAACTGGTAAAAGTTCTCGGGTAAACATTTACGCCCTTCTAGCACACCCTCCCCCTATTCCAATGTCTCTCCAAATTGCTCATACAATATTAAGTCTAAAAACAATACAAAAACAATGAAAAACTACAAAATAGGCTGAGTGACCCCAATATAGGGAGTAACCGATCCCCCTCCCCCCCCCCTTCTGATTTACGCGATTTAATTTACGGGGCAAAAAATTTACAATTTTATGTTCTCTTTAGTAAAAACCGCACCCCCCTTGGAGAAAAGTGTCTTACGAGCCTGCATTAGCAGGTCTAAATTACAAAGGACCTTATACACCCTCCATTGGGATCTCCCCATGGGAAAAAAATAATTCATCTGATTTTTCAAAATGAGTATACTGCTTTTATTATTACATTTATATGCACACTAGTATCGGGTGTCTACAAAACAAAGACCTAAGACCTAAGACCTACAAAACTAAGACCCCCCACGTTATAAAACTAAGACCCTGTTATAAAACTAAGACCCCCCATGTAATAAAACTAAGACCCTGTTATAAAACTAAGACCCCCCACGTTATAAAACTAAGACCCTGTTATAAAACTAAGACCCCCCACGTTATAAAACTAAGACCCTGTTATAAAACTAAGACCCCCCACGTTATAAAACTAAGACCCTGTTATAAAACTAAGACCCCCCACGTAATAAAACTAAGACCCTGTTATAAAACTAAGACCCCCCACATTATAAAACTAAGACCCTGTTATAAAACTAAGACCCCCCACGTTATAAAACTAAGACCCTGTTATAAAACCAAGACCCCCCACGTTATAAAACTAAGACCCTGTTATAAAACTAAGACCCCCCACGTTATAAAACTAAGACCCTGTTATAAAACTAAGACCCCCCACGTAATGAAACTAAGACCCTGTTATAAAACTAAGACCCCCCACGTTATAAAACTAAGACCCTGTTATAAAACTAAGACCCCCCACGTTATAAAACTAAGACCCTGTTATAAAACTAAGACCCCCCACGTTATAAAACTAAGACCCTGTTATAAAACTAAGACCCCCCACGTTATAAAACTAAGACCCTGTTATAAAACTAAGACCCCCCACGTTATAAAACTAAGACCCTGTTATAAAACTAAGACCCCCCACGTTATAAAACTAAGACCCTGTTATAAAACTAAGACCCCCCACGTTATAAAACTAAGACCCTGTTATAAAACTAAGACCCCCCAAGTTATAAAACAAAGACCCTGTTATAAGAATCAGTCACCGTGCCTTGCTCTGCTCGCCACAAGGTAGTCTTGCCTCTGGGCCTTGTGTTCCCTAGTAACATACAGATTCTACAAAAGATAGTCTTGCTTCTGGTCCTTGTGTTCCCTTCTAATATACAGATTCTCCCCACTAACATAAAGATTCTACAAAAGGTAGTCTTGCTTCTGGTCCTTGTGTTCCCTTCTAATATACAGATTCTCCCCACTAACATAAAGATTCTACAAAAGGTAGTCTTGCTTCTGGTCCTTGTGTTCCCTTCTAATATACAGATTCTCCCCACTAACATAAAGATTCTACACATGGTAGTCTTGCCTCTGGCCCTTGTTTACCCTAGTAACATACACATATGGTAGTCTTGCCACTGACCCTTGTTTTCCCTAGTAACATGGTGGTTCAAGATTTCAGACCCATCTTTCTCACATAGATTGCTGAACTTATTTTAGTTGAGAATTCCTAATAGAATTAAGAATTAATAGCTGAAACTGTTCTGTTTGTCCTAGCAAACAATATCCCAATATGCATTTGAAATTCATTTTTGTCTATATGTGTTGACAGTCTGTGATGTCATCATCAATCATCACAATGGGAATTAGGTGAATTCTATCTGTGACAGTGAGATTATCTATGATGTCACATAGTAGTTTGATTTCTAAGAAATGTGGCAGAGTTCTATCTATGACAGAGATGCTTTGTGATGTCATCATGAATTATCTCGTTTCCATTGTGATGATTGATGATGTCATCAAAGTACTTTGTGATGTCATCGTGAATTACCTCATTTCTATTGTGATGATTGATGATGACATCACAGACTGTCAACAAATAGACAGAAGAAGTTGAACTACAAGTTGGAAAATTGTTTGCTAGGGCAAAACAACTCAGTTTCAGCTAATAATTCTTAATTCTATTAGGAATTCTTAACTAACAATGGTTCAGCAATCTGTGCCAGAATGATGGGTCTTAAATCTTGAACTACCATTAAACATCACTTCCAAAACAATACCAGCATAAAATGGAGTATCTCTTTTTATGCTCAGCATAAAATGGGACATCACTTTTTATGCCAGCATAAAATGGGACATTACTTTTTATGCCAGGCATAAAAAGTGATATCAAAAAATTACTTTTTTTAAAAATCAACAAATCCGGGTATTTGTTACAGTCCATTTTTATATAATCCGCTGTTGTATGTTACTGGGGAACACAAGGCCCAGAGGCAAGACTACCTTGTGGCTGGCAGAGCAAGGCACGGTGACTGATTCTTATAGCAGGGTCTTAGTTTTATAACGTGGGAGGTCTTAGTTTTATAACAGGGTCTTAGTTTTATAACGTGGGGGGTCTTAGTTTTATAACAGGGTCTTAGTTTTATAACGTGGGGGGTCTTAGTTTTATAACAGGGTCTTAGTTTTATAACGTGGGGGGTCTTAGTTTTATAACAGGGTCTTAGTTTTATAACGTGGGGGGTCTTAGTTTTATAACAGGGTCTTAGTTTTATAACGTGGGGGGTCTTAGTTTTATAACAGGGTCTTAGTTTTATAACGTGGGGGGTCTTAGTTTTATAACAGGGTCTTAGTTTTATAGCGTGGGGGGTCTTAGTTTTATAACAGGGTCTTAGTTTTATTACGTGGGGGGTCTTAGTTTTATAACAGGGTCTTAGTTTTATAACGTGGGGGGTCTTAGTTTTATAACAGGGTCTTAGTTTTATAACGTGGGGGGTCTTAGTTTTATAACAGGGTCTTAGTTTTATAACGTGGGGGGTCTTAGTTTTATAACAGGGTCTTAGTTTTATAACGTGGGGGGTCTTAGTTTTATAACAGGGTCTTAGTTTTATTACGTGGGGGGTCTTAGTTTTATAACAGGGTCTTAGTTTTATAACGTGGGGGGTCTTAGTTTTATAACAGGGTCTTAGTTTTATAACGTGGGGGGTCTTAGTTTTATAACAGGGTCTTAGTTTTATAACGTGGGGGGTCTTAGTTTTATAACAGGGTCTTAGTTTTATAACGTGGGGGGTCTTAGTTTTATAACATGGTCTTAGTTTTATTACGTGGGGGGTCTTAGTTTTATAACAGGGTCTTAGTTTTATAACGTGGGGGGTCTTAGTTTTATAACAGGGTCTTAGTTTTATAACGTGGGGGGTCTTAGTTTTATAACAGGGTCTTAGTTTTATAACGTGGGGGGTCTTAGTTTTATAACAGGGTCTTAGTTTTATAACGTGGGGGGTCTTAGTTTTATAACAGGGTCTTAGTTTTATTACGTGGGGGGTCTTAGTTTTATAACAGGGTCTTAGTTTTATAACGTGGGGGGTCTTAGTTTTATAACAGGGTCTTAGTTTTATAACGTGGGGGGTCTTAGTTTTATAACAGGGTCTTAGTTTTATAACGTGGGGGGTCTTAGTTTTATAACAGGGTCTTAGTTTTATTACATGGGGGGTCTTAGTTTTATAACAGGGTCTTAGTTTTATAACGTGGGGGGTCTTAGTTTTGTAGGTCTTAGGTCTTAGGTCTTTGTTTTGTAGACACCCCACTAGTATCTTGTTGACCTATATTCAGCACTGTATTGATGTATAGGCCACTTATTAGGGTCTTAATTCAATCATGAAGTGTAGAGGCATAGATTCCTAACCAGGAAGTATTTTTGTGTCTGTCAAAATCCATTTACATCCTACGCATCCCTGCATCTTATCCAAATATGTTACTACATAATGAAATATAAGAGTATAATCTTTGGTTTTACAAACTTGTATGATATTTGATAAGTGTAAAAGTTGTTTTTGGAGCATTTTTCTATAGCCATTTTGTAGGGAAAAAAATGATGAAAAAATGTACAATCTTTTAATTTTAAGTATGACCTGAATCGATTGCAAACTTCATATTTGCACATTTGATGAGATAAACCATTTGTGTCGTATTATGAAATTATTAAGTTTGCAATCGATTCAGGTCATAGTGTATTTTTGGTATTTCTGTGATAATCAATGGAAACCAATGGCCTCTATTGGGATCTGCTGATATCCTCATGTTAAGTCAATGGTGCACAGCCCCATGTAAGTCAATACAACCTTACTGAACGAAATGATCCCTATCTCAGCTTATGTGTGTCCGAGCACTTTAATATTTTCCAAAGTATTATATGACATTTTATTCTTCATGTTACACCTACGAATGATTCAGTTTGACCATAGGGATATTTGCCAATAATTGCACCTTGTCCTTTCTAATGTTGCTTTTTAAAGTACAATTACTACAAATTAAGCGTTAGTCATTGGTATCATTGACGTATATTATATATTGACGTATCTAGTGTGTCCTTGCCTATGTAAAGAAAATTGAACTAATAATACTCGTTAAGGGCCAAGGAGGTACGTTTAATGTTTTTTCATAAAAACTGCAATTATACAAATTAAGTGTTAGTCATATAGACGAGTAGGAAAATCCTCCGAAGCCTTAAAATAAGGGAGTTGACTGACCACCAGCCAAATATTGGTACCATCGGAAAGCTCTGATATCAGTTATTGCAAATTTGAGGTTAAACAGAATTTTGACTCGGGCCGTTACCATGGAAACGGACGCTATAAATAACTCCCACTTTTAACGAGTGTTAATACGATAAAATATGTATTCCCATATATCTTTTTTATTTTCTATCAGATAATTATAATATGGGTATCAAATGAAAATTGTGATGGCATCTTTACAATGAGGTATGAATTATGCAAATTAGCTCATTTACATAACCATTGTGACGTCATAACTGACAATTTTAAAAAGATTTTAACATAAAATTTAGCTGTGTACCTATATGAAGGTCCCGTTATTTAAAATTACGATGTATTTTTCCGTTTTTCATATTCATTTGAAAGAGTATGATACCAGCTTTAAAACAATGTATAAAATATGCCATTTCGGTCTCATAAATTTCTTTATTGAGCTCCAAAAGGGTAACATGCACAATCAAAAAATTGTTTTGAAACTGATGCTCTTTGAAAGAAATATCAAAAAATTGGCTCAAGGTATGTATTATCTTGGTGTATCGCTTTCGTTTTTCGTCAGATAATTTAATGTTTGGTATCAAATGAAAGGTAATGCTTTTTCCTTTTTGATGAAGTGTAATTTATGCAAAATAGCTCATTAGCGTTTCAATTGTGACGTCATTACAGACATAATTGACACAAAAATATTAGAGTAGTGAAATCTATCTCATTAATGTTAAAAGGTATAGAATTATTATTTTCAATCGGATCTTAATGATTAAAGTACCATCTGTATGCTTGTCATTCATTCCTTTTTAAAATATATATCAAAAACATCTACTGAATTGTGATTGAATAAGAGCCTTTTAGTCAGTATTCGTGTATTTAGGCTCTTTTATAAAGGCAAGCAAACAAATTGGGCACGACTGTCTCCTCACGATTTAATTGTCCTGCCTTAAAGGTTCCTGGCCTACCATTAACAAACCCATCGTTTCTACGGGAATCTATCCTAATTTTTTCTGAAATCTAACGTACAATTTCGAAATAAAAATGATTTGTTATTGTCATAGCCTACTGAATTCTGAACACGATGTAATGTTACGTGCGTTCTAACCATTTCAGTACACCATTAGAAACCTTTTTTTGTCATAGTGAATGTAGTTTCTACAGTTGACGTTTAACAACTTAATGAACTTAAGTTTAATGAACTTAATGCAATGTTATGTGCGTTTTCTCATCGTAATCCAAGCTGACTAATCAGAATGAAATTGGTCTCCTAACAACTGAGACATTGTCAACATAATCTTCTTACTATAAAGCACAGTGGTCTGTCTAGCTGTCCAGACATCTGCTCCAAGACAGTTTGATCTTGGGCCCTCATATACTTTGTCATCATACCAATTGAGGGGATCACGTGTATATAAGACATGATAAGACATGCTACTTGAATTTATTCTTATGACTCCAAATTTTCCCATTTTTCATTCTCCAGAGATATAATATCCAGTGTCTTACTGGGGTACTAAGTTTACTTTTTTCAAATACACGAGTTCTTGTGAATTTGTTCCATCGTAAAGATATATAAATCCCCCTCCATCCGATCCCCCCCCCTCCATCCCAAATTAATTTATTTCGATAATTTTTTTGT